CCCCCGCCCGCTGCGGAGCTAGGCACTTATGTTATAAGAAGTGATGCTCAGATTGTCGGTCGTGTCGACAGGCCTGTTGGAGGAAAGTTGAGATAGGTAGTAGGTTAGATGAGGGTGATTCCGTGGGAATTTAGTAGAACTGAAATAGGTCGAGCTCGCTGCTCGATTCTCAGGCTCTGGAAGAAGTCTGTGGTGATGATTGGCATGGAGAAAAAAGAAGCAGAGGAGCAACCTCAGGCGAGGAAGAAGAAGATGGAGAAGAACGAGTTCGGGCAGAAGAAGCAGAGGGAGAGAAAGCCGACGACGAAGAGCCTGAGGTGAAGAAAGAAGATGAGGTGGGAGGAGAAGCTGGAGAAAGAAGAGAAGGCGAGGAGGGAGAAGAGCAGGAAGAGGAGGAAGAGGGCTGGGGTGAGTAAAGAGGAAAGGAAGATTCGAGTTTCGGGGAGGAGGAGGAGGAAGAATCAAAACACAGGGCAGCCAAGAGAAAGAAATCTAGGCGTAGACCCGCATATCACCCCTCGCAGAGACCCGTCCCTTTAACCTATGCGGCGAATAAGACGACTCGCATTGCGAGGAGTGATTATGGTGTCGTTCGAACTGGAGGATGCGGCCAATAGAGCGACTCGCATCCTAAGGCCGGTCACAGTTCCGTGAACTTCCGCCGAGCTGAAAGCAGACGACGAGGGGCGAGGGACAAAGGGAAGGCCGCAGAGCATGCGGGCACAAGGTAGTGAGGGATGGAGGAAGGCCAAGGACCTGGAGGAGGGCAGTGAACATGGCAGGGAGATGTGTGGAATGGATCTGGTATGCTCTAACCTTTCTATATGACTTTTCAGCGAAGCTGGGATTGTTTCCATTCTGATATGTCTGAGCGCGTGAAGACGGTTTTCTGATCAAGATGCAACAATGCTGGAAGCTATTGCACACAAACAACGAAGCTTCGTGGGACCGCCTCCGGCGGCAAGCCCGGGCCCGCTTATACAATGGCATTATTCCGCGTACTTCCGTTGCGGTCACAGAAAGAACTTAATGAATGGATTATGCGGGTCTGGATTTTAGAGCACGAATTCACTGCGTGTAATTTAACGAGGCACCTAATCCGGAGAATGGAGTGCCGGGGCTGAGAGCCGTTAGGAGGGCGGTATATCAACAACTTGAAGATAGGCCGTCGTTGTCTGTATTACATGAGCCACGAGGTACCATCTCAGGCACGTTGAACCGTCACTACGAAACTTGAATGGTTCTTGCTCGGGCGGCAAAACCCAGATGTGGATGGCTGACTCCAATCCGCAAGTCGGAGCGGCGATATGGGTATTGGCATAAAGAGGCCGAGACTATGAGCTTGGAAGAACTAAACATCTGTGTTTTGAATCAGAATACCTCCCTGACTTAAGGCAGTAACTGGGAATAGCTATGTCTGGACATTGCGTTTTGGCTTCGGGGTGGCAAAGAGTAGTGGTGTATTCAGGGTTGCAAACAGAAAGTAAACAAAGCCATCAAGAAGTGTCTATATATCTTCCCCGCTGTCTGATTCTTTGCATTAAAGCAGAAGCGTTGTGATACAGCACCTGAGTTTATTGATACATCAATGCAAGATAAGGGGTTATGGACTGGAGCATTCATGTTGCAGAACTCAAGTGGAAGAAAGCGTGAGTGTAGATGGGTAAGGTACTTATTGCAGGAGTTTTATGCTCGCACAGCTTTAGCAATTAAGAGCACGCTATTCACATTGATTTATCTGGGGGGCTTCTCTTTACATTAGAACACGTAGTAAAGCTAAGTGTGTCGAGGGTTTGAGGATGATGTATCAGGGACTCACGATGAGGTCGCTAGGTAGCTTCAGTTCACGCCTATCTGTATGTACCTTAGATGACTAGACCTTGCAAAGATAAATAATACTACACTCAGTGAGTAAAATTACTGTTCGTCTGACAAGTACGTATTATTCTGAATCAATGAAATTGTTAAGAATATTATTTCTACCTAGTCAACGCTGAACTCAGCTCGCCGCATCCATGTCAGTCTGCTCGAATTCCGGGTTTACCCACGATGGGCTTCCGGATTTCTCACGCATTGCCGGGCCGAATCGATGCAATGCTGCCAGCAGCGGAATGCAAAAGAAGACGGTGATTATGGCATGACCAGCAAACGCCCAGGTAAAGCCGACATTGTCGACCCACGGCACAATGAAGAATGGGTCAACAAAGGCGGACAAGTTTAGCATGACGGCATAAAAGGTCATGGTGGCCATGCTCTGCATCGGGTAGGCATCCACCACGTACGAACAGATGGCCGTGTTTCCCATTTGGATGCCGGCACCAACTTGATTGAAGAGTTAGCATCAGTCTCGGCTTTGTCACTGAAAACCTGGAGGACAAATGAACTTACAGAGAGCAAAGGCTACTTGGCCCACCATCCAGTGGTAGCCCTGATCCACACTGACGCCCCAGACAATTAGACCAACCGCAGTCAAGACGGCGGCGGGATATGCTAGCCACAAACGCATCTCTGGCGTCTTTTGGTTGTTGTTGGACTTGGCGAGTTTGACCACCATCCAGTCGCTCAGACGGCCGGAGCAAAAGATTTCGGAAATCAAGGTGCCCACAATCAGGCCGAGATATAAAAGCCTTGAGTCGGGCGTTAGCACAAATGGCTGGTTGCTGGTGCCATAGGGGGATCAAAACAAAACAAAACAAAACAAAGAGCTTACCCCTGAATGTGTACCGCATATGTCGCGTAGGCGATGGGGACCAGCGTCACAACCGAAAGCACCCACCAGTACCAGCCAAAGCAGTAGGTCATGATGGAGACGGGGACCACAATGTACTTGAAGGTCTTGATGAAGCGTATGATGGTGTCATACGGCTTTGGGTGCTTGATTCCCGGGAGTGGCGAGACATTGGCAAAGGGCAACTTCTTCGTTTTCGGCACAGTCATGTGCATGTTCCTTGAAGAAGACCAACTCTCCGTCAAGGCCTTCTCATCACCCGCCTGGACAGCAGCCGTTCGAACCCCATGCTTTTGTGCAAGCATAAGATGGCGCGGATAGAGCGTCTCGGGGAGGAAGAACACCTCCGCAAGAAGAATAACCCCAAAGAGAATGGCCGAAACCCACTGAATCCACTGATAACCCGCAATATTCACAAACCCACCGATCAACGGCCCAAACAACAGCCCTTGGTCAATAGCCAGGACCCAAAGCCCCAGCTTCTGCCCTCGCTCATGGTCAAAGAAAATATCGTTGATGATGGCCAAACCGACATTGGACGCAGGGCTTACTCCCAAGCCCTGAAAGAACCGAGCCGCCATGTAACCGGAGTAGGTCGGCGCCAACGCGGCCCCGATGGTCGAGACCAGGGCCATGAGAGTGCCGAGGATGAAGATGGGCCGTCGACCGATGATGTCGGCTGGGGACGCCCAGAGCAACGGGCCCAGAGCAAGGCCGAGAGCGGGGATAGCGACGGTCCAGTTTGCTTGTTCTAGGGTTGCGGAGTAGGTGGTTTGGAGATCGGGGAAGGATGGGACGGTGGTCGTGGTGATGTAGGTGAACATGAAATACCTGTCAGGGGTGTTCCCAGGCGTTAGGATAAGTCATGGTTTGATCTCGAATTGTTGAAGCAGCTTACAGTGACATTACAATGGCCAATATTGTGTGTTTTTGCGCAGAAGACCAGTTCAGGGGGTCGAGGTCGTCGCCGAGGACGGGCTGTGGGAACAGCTTGAGGCCATCTTTGCTCAAGACCACTTCCTCGGTCACCTGGCCAACCAGGGGCTTCGGTTCAGACCCTGTAGGAGGAAAAGCCTTGTCTTGCTTTTCTGCATCGGCCATGTCGTTGTTGTACTTGTCCATGCGAGCGTCGAAGCCGTCAAGACGGTAGGAACTGGCATGTGCATGACCATGATCGATGAGACCAACTGTATATATGCACCATATATGTATATACATAAGCAATAATATGTTCTTTACTCCCTCAGATACTCTCCCGATCATCCAGCCCCGGTTGCCCCGTCTCTCGACCTTATCATTTCGTACCTATCGTAGTGCTGGCGTCTTATCTCCGCCCGCTCCACATGGGCGTTCCATGGGCACTTACTGGGCAATAATACCCAAAAAGGAACAATACGCGCCTTATCAGCCAGATCCCGTCCCATTGAAATGTTGGATGCCCTTATCTCCGAACTGTCGTTAATACTCGGTAGTTGGCCCTGGTCCCGGATCGTGGATTTCGTGGGGAGATGCCAGCCGTTCCCTTGGAGCTGGATAGACAGGATTCAGCCAGCCTTGGTAAGCCCCTTTCCAGGCTATTGGAGTTTGGAGATCATTGGCCAATGGGCTATCAGCGTGGCTTGGCCCCATGTCCCCCAACTTTCATGCTCGCATGTTCCCCACGCTGGCTGCTGATTGTGATACATTGAAATTATTCTCCGTAACGACACTGGTTTCGGAAGCCAGACCAACTCAGCCCTACGGCACCGGCTCGGTCTGCTTTATGGAATAATGGAAGGCTGCTAGCGTACCGGTATGGTGGTAGCCTTCAATGTGATCGATGCACCTTTGCTGATATTCGCATGTATCTCGATTACGTCCCTACTCAGGTACGGGGAAATAGACCATGGGGCACTCCTTCTGTATCACTGGTCCACAGTCAAGGATAGAAAACCAACCCAGGTAGCTACGGTATCTGACCGTCGCTTCCAAATCCCAGGACAAGTGGATGGAGCCTTCCCAGCAAACACAAACAAGCGCAAAGTGCGCTACCTAACAACACCCCCTCCTTCTCTCCGGCTCTCTCCCCCTCCTCTTCTCCAGTACATGGCAAAGTTGGAGTGCGTCAGCGCAGTTCCAATGCTCCACGGTTCAGTACGAAGGTTGGGGCCCAAAAAAAACTTGACTCCCCAGATAGTGCAAGCAAGCCAAGGCCCAACGTGCAGATGATGCGTAAGGCTCATAAGCCGCCTAGCCACTCAGTTGGAAGCTCACATTCTAATGCGTACAGTACCTTTTGCCCAAGTACTAGTAGAAATCTATCTTTACCCTAATGGTGTGAAACAACAATCGAATCGTGGCTCTCCTCGTCTAGCCGGTCCACAGCCCTTTGAACCTCGTTTTCCCAGTTGCTCAACCCGACAATGATCCATTCCAGGATGCCTACGAGCGACAGAGCAACGCACTGTCCCATCCACAAACCAGCCAAGCCCCAACCATGAAAAGCGAGGTAGATACCACCGGGAAGAGCACCTCCGTAGTAGCTTATGCAGTTCACGAGCGCCCCTACCCACTGACGGCCCATCCCCCTTAAGGCTCCACCACAACTGCCGTTCAGTCCGTCGGCAATTTGGAACAAGGCGACATAGGGAATGACATCAGCGACGAGGGAAATAACACGCTTGTCGCTGTTGAATAGGCCACCGATGACATGTCTCGTTGCGAAGAGGACCGTAAGGATGATGGAACCAAAGATGACGGAGAGGATGGCAGCGCAATGCGCGGAGCGTCTCGCGGCCCTGGGGTTTTTTGCTCCAAGAATATTCCCCAGCCGAGCCGATTCTGCGACCCCAAGACCAAAGGGGATCGTGTTGATGATCTGATCCGCCGTCATGATAACGGACTGGGCCGCAAGGGGAAGCGTTCCGAGCCGACCGGCAGCAAGAGCGACGATCTCAAATGCCCACCACTCGGTGCCGACATGAATGACACCCAGGAAGGCGAGCTTGGCAAAGGGCCACGAATTTGCAAGAGCCCGTCTTGGCTGCAGTCCGCTCCAGCACTCCTTGCCCCGAATCAAGGCGGCGTAGGCAACAAGGAGCAGGAAGGAAAGCCAGTAGGATATGCCCGTGGCCACGGGGGCTCCGTATATGCCAAAGTCGAAGGTGTAGATGAAGAGGTAGTTGAGGACAGCGTTGAGCGGGGAGGTGATAAGGAGTGCGTAGGTCCCTGGCCGATAGATGCCTTGGGCCTGCAGGAACTTCTTCATGCACTCAAACCAGACGTAGCCTAGACCTCCCGGGGCCAGCAACTGGAGAAACCTGGCGCTGTGGATGCAGATGGACTCGGGCTGGCCCAGTGCCCTGAAGAGCGGTTCTGAGAAACACCAGATGACGACGACGACGGTGTAGAAGGCCGTCAAGACGAACAGGCCTCGCTGCAGCAAGACTCCCAAGTTTCCCTTATCTTTGGATGCTGTAAAGCTGCTCGAAGCCAACGTGTCGAGCGCACTCGTCCCTCCCAAAGCAATCAGCCATGCCGTTGCCATGGCGAACATGTACGAGAAGGCAGCGACTGCCAGAGCTTCCGAGGAGAGGCGCCCAACGACAAGGACAGATACGGTTTGCAGGCTGTTTTGGAGCATGTAGGCCAGAATGATGGGTATCGAGGCTTTGATCAGAAACCACATCTCAGCGAGCCATTCGACGTATTCGGATCGGGCTGGAAGCGGCCGACGAGTCTCGGAGGAGGAGAGCAGGGGCGATGTCTCGTCGACAGGTTCATGTTGCTCGAGGTCTCGAGGGAGAAGGCTACTGTCCCTGGTTCGAAATTTGTTCATGTTTCCTTTGCGGGACTTGAATTTGCCCTTTTGTCGGAGATCGGCTGACTTCTCGCAATATCGACGTACACGGTTCAAAATTCGAACAATTCTCGGCCCTCGTCAACGGGATCCAACGGCACCCGAACCGAGCTTTCACGGGGCTTAATAGGGAACTTCACAGTACACTCGTTGCCGAGTTCTTGTACCTGTGCCCAATCCCAGGTGGCTTTCCACACGGCATGCAAGATCCATGCACACCTAGGCAGCCTATGCTTCTTTGATGGAGAAAGCATTTGCAAAGCAATCCGCAAGATGGGAACGCTCGGATGTTATCGGACCATGTCATGCAGCACGCCGTGATAACACTGCAAGCCATGCCCAGAGTCATGAATGATCGCCAATGGTCATCGGCCCAGTATCGGCCATGCACGGTTCCGCGGAAGACGCAGCATCCTGAGAGGCCAGCCAGCAACGACTGCTTGTCGGCGGCTATCAGACCTGTTTGGGAAGTGCAGGAAGCCACTGGACCACTGCAGAGATAGAGCCCAAGCTTCTCGATCTTGCCGTCGATCGAGGCAGTTGCATCCATACACTAACGCAATCTGGAAATGTAGCCACCCGAGTCCACTCTCGATAACGGCGATGTGGAGAAGGGGCCGGCAGAGCATGGAAACGTGGATAATGCCAGGCTGCAGCATCTGAGGCTAGACTCACTCTGGTGAAGTAGGCGCTGGACGGCACAAGATGACGATGTGATGGTGTAGAACTGTAGATGTATACTGGCGGTCTGGGGAAGAGTGAAGACCGGGAGAAGGGAACCTCTGCCTGACTCCTGTCTCGGACTCTTCTCGACACCCGTCTGAAGGTATAATAAGACCTAGCTGGCTGGTCAAGCGTCCAGAAAGAATGCTTCCAGGCTCGTCATTTTGTTCGCTACTAGAAGCTGGAGAACGGGCCCCCAAGTAGGAAAGAACGATGCATTCCTGGTCAGCACTCTTAACCCTCGGGTCCGCGGCAATCGCGACCGCCCACGCCGGGCATGAGCAGTCTCAGAAAATAATTTCGGGACCTCACAAATCTTTGTGGTTTAATACCCTTCCTGGGGATGGCGGTACACAGGCATGTCTTCACGCAAGCTTCAATGCCTTATACAGTTTGCCGTCGTCGCCCTCACTAACACTTCCATGATGATGTGACTTGACGCAGGCCGATTCCGTTTTCTCCGGCATATCTACCTTTGGCCGTCTCCCTTACCAGCCCTGTCTTCAGAACCCTGATGCCATCTACGACATTGCTTTCATCGGTAGGCACCTTCTCCAACAGGGAGTCTTCAATGCACGTCACATGTGGCTGATCATGCATGGCAAAGGTGCTCCCTTCGACACCGGGACGTCGTATCGTCCAGGCGCTCGCTTCGGTCCCTCGGGTATCCGACAGGGCTCTCGGCGGTTGAATCTCTAGTATGCATCCCTTATCCCTACCAAGCAACCCAAGTCGGGCTGACCACAAGCTAGTGGAGGATACAATGTCCCCCTCAAGACAAACCCCTTCAACAGCTGGGCCACCGTCCTAGACTGCGGTGACATTCCTGTTACGTCGTAAGGCTCCAAGCCGGCTCAACATCGTAGGTTATGTCCAGGTGCTGACAGTGATGAAGGTATGACAATACTTGGGCTCTTCAACAAATCGAGGAAGGCCATTTCAAGATCCTCTCCCGCCCTCCTGCAACGGATGCGGACAAGCGAGGACCTGCCATCAAGGGCAAAACGCTGCCTAGAGTCATCACGCTTGGCGGAGACCATACCATCACCCTTCCCTTGCTGCGATCCATCAATCGCGCTTACGGCCCTGTCTCCGTCATTCACTTTGACAGTCACCTGGACACCTGTAAGCCATCATTTCCAACCCCCTTCACCTTTGAACCCCCCCGCCCCTGACGCCAATATAGGGAAGCCCAAGGTGTTTGGCGGATCACCCTCTGAAGTCGCGGCCATCAACCACGGCACCTACTTCTACCACGCCGCCATGGAAGGCCTGCTTGCCAACGACACCAACATCCACGCGGGGATCCGCACCACCCTGAGCGGGCCCAGCGACTACGACAACGACGGCTACTGCGGCTTTGAGATTGTCGAGGCCCGCGAGATCGACACGATTGGCACCGACGGCATCATCAAGAGGATCGTGGACCGCATCGGCACCAAGAGGCCCGTCTACCTCTCGATCGATATTGACACGTTGGACCCGGCGTTTGCCCCGGCCACGGGCACCCCCGAGACAGGAGGCTGGTCGACCAGGGAACTCAGGACCATTCTCCGCGGGTTGGAGAATCTCAACTTGATTGCAGCGGATATTGTCGAGGTCGCTGTAAGTCTCTTGCTCTGTGGTTTCGTTACTGAATATTCTAGGCGTTGTACTAACGGAAGAATGTTCGAACAGCCTGCGTACGACACGAACGCCGAGCACACTACCATGGCTGCAGCTGATGTGCTCTATGAGGTTATGAGTATCATGGTGAAGAAGGGCCCCCTGAGTAAAATGGTGGAGGGCAACGACGCGGATGATCTGTGAATTCACGAGCGTATAAGACGGAATATATAAACGACGCTGGGTTGCTCATCGTATGAATGAAGGCTTTTAATAGCCTATGAATATAGTAAACTAAGTAACTGGGTTCGTATCTTCGGATCAAGAGTCGGGTCGATATGTATCACGAAGGATGGAAGCGTGGGCTTGCTAAGTAGACAAGCCCCGTCAGCCGGACATCAAAACAGGATAATGTTGTAATCCAGCTTCTCTGTATCACGATTCCGATGTCAGTATTACCAACCAGAGCTCGAATGGTACTTCGAAGACACACCTAGCAGTTGGCTTGCGCACAGCTCCCCCCTAAAATCACCCAAACTCGCCCTTACATCCCATATATCCTGCAGCGCCTGGCGAATGATACTGATATGCAACGAGCGAATACACTCGCCCAATTTCTCAACCTTATCAAGCACAAAGCTCTTTTGCTCCTCAGTAAAAGCCTCACAGCCAAGCGTAAACAGCGGCATCGCCATAGCGACCCAGGTATGGCATGGCTGCCCCTGGGTAGTGCTCATGTTACTGACCATTTCCTTCATGGCACGAACAGCAGACTGTATCGGCTCTGACCCGGACGGAAGGTGGTACAGTCGCCTGTAGAGGTGGATCAGGGTCGCCTGCTGGAAGATTTGGTGGCAGAGCGTGAACTCGCGGCCGTACTCGGGCGATAGAGGGGAGCAGATGGATATGACGGCCGGCGGCGCTTTGGAATCGCGGCTGATCATGGCCTGGACCTTGCCGAGGAGAATGCCTGCTTCGAAGGATGACGCTAAGGGATCGACCGAGGCGAGTCGGGAGAGATGGTCGATTTGGTGGATCACGTCTAACAGCTCGTCGCTGTAGCCTAAGAAGCCGTCAATCGCGGGGCTGGGAGCAGGTTTGAGATTGGCTTTCAGCGGGTCTGTGGCAGGAGGAGCGTGTAGCGGTGCTCGTGGCTCGGAGTTCTCTGAAGGGGGGATGTACGGCAGGGTTTGTAACGAGAGATAGAGCTGGTATAGATGCTTCATGGCGGACTGGAGGGCACCGGATGGGTTGGTGAAATCGCGACGGGTCCTCCCGTCACCGTCCAGAAGAGCCCGGATTCCTTGTAAATGGATACGCCAGGAAGATGTGCCTTGGCGGTAGGTGAAGACATCGCTAAGACACCAGATCAGACATGTTGCCAACAGGGTCTCGTCCATTTGGCCTGTCCCCAAGGCGCTTCGCAAGAGTGATAGCCCTGACGACTGCAGGTGGCCAAGGATCCTGGATATCTCAATGCCGTTTAGCGAGAGGACTCCACGAGACAGGAAGCCCGCTGCTGATAGTGCGAGGCAGGCCGACATGAGCTGAGGCGATTCGAGGGTGACGGGCACCAGGCCTTGGCGTAGGTCTTGGTGTATTGAGGGATGGCAGGACAGGGAAGCGAGGATGTCTCCTGTGAAATAGCTTAGAAGGCTCTGATATGTTGGCGAGAGCGGGATGCCGTTTGGTAGACGACGCGGAAGGGAGACGGATAGTGGCACGGCCCCTGTGGGCAAAACCGGCGGAGTTCTGGGATTCCTGTTCTGCTGCACCAAGGTCCCTTCTTCTCCATCTTGTCGAGGTCAGTCTCAGCTGCAAGGTATGAGAACACGAAGGCTCGGTGAGTGCGTACCTATATTACGACCCGCGGGGCCTGCACCAAGTCCGAGTCGAAGCTGGCAAGCGGTCGAGTTCCTGCGGTCACTGCGATTGCTGGCACCGCTCCATACAAGTCTTAGAGCGTATGTACACGTCCTATTGAACGCCAAACACTGGCCGCAACAGGGCTTCTGCTCATCACACTTTCTCCTCCGCCTCCTGCACTCCTCACATCCTTGGCGGGATCGTGTGCCTGGCATACGGCCCGGCGAGATGCTGCATGTCACAGGGCTGAGTTGCTGACAAGTTGTGTAGGTGTGGAATCTTGATTGTCGACTAGAAGAATCCTATAGTTTTATCGAAGTGAGTTTCGATTCATAGTGTGCCTGATTTACGATTCTTCTGTCAGCTAGGTGAATCAACCCACAAAGTGACCTGGTCGAAATCCGACGGTACCATTGATATCCGTTATCGTGTTAGCACATACTGCTGCAAGAACGTTGCAGAATGCAGACATCTTGGAAAGGAGGAGGGGAAATCGGGGACACAGCGCGCTGTTTGGTCAATGGCTCGCTATAACGTCACAAATAGGAGTTGAGCATTTTGATACCATTTTCAATTAGCTGCTGTGAGCCAAAGATAAGGATAAGAAGAAGAGATAAGCAACGAGAAGGCGTACTCGGGAGTTTCCAGCCAATTGTCGCTATCGATTTACAGTAGTGGCTCAAACTGCTCGCCATCAAGCCATTGCGTTGAAGCGGTTTTGTTTGAGACTTTGTGTTTCAACTGTTGCGGTGAGCAGTTCAAGTGAGTTCTTGACTGAGGATTGGATCGATTGATCACGGTGGAGCCCTGCCGCCTGCTAACACTAACCCCTGATCCTAACCCTAACCCAACTCCTGGCCCTGAGCTTTCCAGCATGACTTGGGCCCCTGGGAGATCGACGCTGCAGATGGATGCTCAAAGAGTCAAAGAATCAAGGAAATATTAGCTTCACGCAGCCATTGATTTGCATTATTGTTTTCCTAGCCTAACATGGTGAGAAAGAACCACTATAACAAGGGATTCTGCTAACCTTAGCTACATGCTAGTTACCTGGAAGAAAGCTGCAAGGGGATGGTCTGCCCCTATCAGCTAAGAGCAAATGATGAACCTAGAATCCCTAAACTACGCCCTCTAGCATCATGAAAGGGGATGATGGGAGTATCAAATCAATTCTGTCGACGGCTGGGGATGAATTCACCTAGAGCTCGATTCCAAAAGAGTCATCCACGAGTGGGTCAGTATGGATCACACCACTTGCAAGTTTCCACCCCTAACTTGCTCGCACTTACCCCGCAAGCTCGACGGGATTCAAAACTCCTCGTTTTGTGATCCAAATTCACATCATCCCTCGTCTTTGCCGAAACTGAGTACCAACCATCCAGGCACCAAACCAAAATGTCGTCCGAAAGGCAGTTCAACGTTGCCATCATTGGCTATGGGTGAGTGGACTCCCTCCTTGAGGCCTTATAACTGTCACCTCCCTGGGCAGTACAGCTCTATATATGCTAATCCCATAATCAACCCCCAGCCTCTCCGCCAAAACCTTCCACATCCCCTTCCTCAACCAAACCCCTTCCCTCAAACTGCACTCCATCCTGCAACGCTCCCCAACCCCCGGCAACTCGGCCCGGGAGGACTACCCCTCCGTGACGCACTACACGGACCTCACCCCCTTACTCTCCGACTCGGCCGTCGACATCGTGGTGCTCTGCACCCCTCCACAAACCCACTTCCCCTTTGCGCGCGCCGCGCTCGAGGCAGGTAAGCACGTGCTGGTCGAGAAGCCCTTCGTGCCGAGCTCGGCCGAGGCCGAAGCCCTCACGGCCCTGGCCGCGTCCCGCGGGCGGGTGCTCTGCGTGTACCAGAACCGGCGGTGGGATGCCGACTTCTTGACGGTGCGGCGCCTGCTGGCCGAGGGCACGCTGGGCCGCGTCGTCGAGTTCGAGACGCACTTTGACCGGTACCGGCCAGACCCGCCCCAGTCGTGGAAGGGCGGTTTGACGATGGCTCAGGGTGGCGGCGCGCTGTTTGATCTCGGCAGTCATTTGCTTGATCAGGTGTTTGTCTTGTTTGGCATGCCCACGTCGGTCTGGGCGAGGTTGGTGCGTCAGCGGCAGGGGCGGTTGGTCGGGACGCCCGAGACGGACGGTGAGCCGGATAGTGTCACGGCAGTGCTGAGCTATGCCAATACGGGTATGCTGGTGCATGTGCGCATCGGGGTGTTAAGTGCAGAGACCAGACAGCTGAGGTTCTGGGTTAGGGGGAGTAAGGGGAGCTACCACAAGACCGGGTTAGATCCGCAGGAGGACTGGTTGAGGGGCGGTGGGAAGGTGACGGATGCTGGGTTTGGGAGGGAGGATGAGGCGCACTATGGCAAGCTCTGCCTTCTGGCAGAGAATGGGAAAGTCGAGGAGAGGATATGCCCGACCGTCGAGCCGGAAACGTACCTCAAGTTTTACAGCTTGTTCGCCAAGGCTGTGGAGAGCGGAAAGGAAGAGGACGTGCCAGTTCCCGCGTCGCAGGCCGCCAAGGTGCTGAGGATCATCGAGGCTATTATTGAGAGCTCAAAATCGGGTAGGGAGGTTACATTTTAAGGCTGCGTTGCCCGCAGTGCAGCTTGAGCTTTGCTGTTGTCCAAGACAGTGACTCCTAATATAAGTAACCTGAGAGAGCCGTTGCACAAATGCACTAAGAAACGATGGCCTGCTCGACCTCAAAGATGCCGTCGACAGAGACCCTATATCCCTGCTGCATCCCCCGTAGCCTTGTACTGTCGGATCGGATAAGCAGATCACGGCCATCGATGCGATACCAATAACCCTACCAACACGCTAGTGAGCTCATGGGCCGTATGGGGACGTCTGTGAGCGTGAGGTAAAGATGAGGCTTACGTATATTTCGGGTGTTTGCGAGAATTTGACGGGAAACCAAGTCCACTGTTGAGGCTCATGCTCCAGCAAGACCTCTAGCTGGGGCAAAAACCACTCTTCGTCCTTGAAGCTGTCGCCCATTTCGTGCGTGATGAGCTTGTGGAACTGCTTCTGCAGCGCATTCAGAGTGTCGTAAGGGATTGGCACCCGAATGGTGGGTCGTAGGATGTCGGTCAGATGCGTGACGCCGAGATGCTGAGCGAGCTCCAACGGCGTCATATCTGGCCAAGGGAACTCGGTCCATCGCGTCCTAAGTGTCCCTGAAGGAAACAAAGTTCAGTCCCAGCCCCTGAAGGGAAGCAAGAGGTATTTGATGGTAAGACAAAAGCGCGGAGTAACTCACTAGATGCACCAAGCTCTAGGAGTTTTGACACGACTTCTATAGGGGCACCCAAGTAGACAGCCTGGTGAAGAGGAGTCCAGAGACTGATGAATTCCAGCCCCTCGCCCCGTTCTGTCATCGTTGGTTAGCACCCGTATCACAGTCCTCTGGCCCGCGAGCAGACAGCGAGGAAGGGTGATTCCACATCGGTAACTCACTGATCCTCGGTGCGTTGATCCAGGACTCCTCGTAGATGCGGTGGCCCGACTCGAGTATATCAAAAACGTCGTCCCAATACCCCCACTTGGCCGCGTCGCTCAACTTGTCGCGCAGTCGGACGTATTCTTGGTCGTGTTTATCAGCATCGAGGTTGCCAAGCCATGTTCGCACTCGCAATGAGTTCAGTATCTCGCCATGATCCTTGCCAGCGCCCGCGTCCTCTTCGAGCTCAACCGGTCCTAACGTGGCGGTGTCGGAGAAAGCGTCATGAATCTCAGGTTCTGAGGTAGGAATCGGAAGGGTGTTGGACCGGGTCACGCCCAGATGCTTTAGCTGACCAGTCTATCACGGGGGTCAGTGATATGGTATATCGAATTCACCATCCCCACTATATAGCACTTACAGATTCAAGGCGCCGACTTGACTGGCCATGCCGACTTCAAGCTCCTTCAACTCATTCTCAAGATCGACCAACTTGTCCCGCGACATTGTCCAGAGCAGTTTTTGGACGAATTTCGGGCGAAGCCTCCCGGGTTCCGTGCTGACAACGCCCTGTATCTGGAGCAAGATCTTCCTGATGACGTCCTTGAGGGGATTAACGAACACGTCTAGGGAGAACTCCAGAGATGCCAAACCGGCCGTCTTCAGTTCTCTCACCACCTCCAGTATGGACTCGATTGTCTGCTGCGCTCGACCAACCCTGCTCATGAGCGTCCCGAGATCCCTTCCGGCATTCCAGAACTTTTTGAGCTGCTCAACTGCTGCCGCACACAGCCCCAAGACCTCCACCAAAGCTGTAATCAGGCTGACTGGATCCATTGGTAACGTTAGGCTGCCTGGCTGTTAAGCGAGCTATGTGGCTCCTGAGGCGGTGCAAGAGAGATAAAGTGTAAAGAGGAAGCACAAAAGAAAAGGTGCAAGAGAACTGTTCCTCGTCCAGGTTTCCGGAAAAGCAGGTCGTGTAAGTAAGTCCGTCTCTTGTTGATGCAGTGACCTCTTCATAATCCGATATAAAGGGGTCAAACGCTTTGTTCAAGTTCCATATGTCTTGTTATCAGAGTCATGAAAAGTTGGAAAGATCAAAAGATGTATCGATTCCAGAACCTAGACTGCTTCCCCCTGCGCGGCCAGGAGGCAACCAAACACCAACCACATGCACCTGGTCCAGTGCTTATGCCTGGGATAATGTACTGTCTGGCTCATCCCCAACGTCAGAAACGGAGTAATAAGGGCTGGGTTGGGGTTTAGCAGTGTGGTTACACCCTGCCAAGCCACCCTTGGCTTCCGTGGAATTGAGTTGACCTGTGACCATCCTCGCCGTGCTGGGCAATCGCCTGGGGGCGGGGTACGAAGCAGTCAGCCAGTGACAGATTTTGAGCCCGACGATCATTCCTAGTGTACTGTGGTATGTGGTAGCTTGTTAGATTGCGTGCAATACTCCCAACAGCGTAGAGACGTCGAGGCTCGGAGCATGAAAGGCCTGATGAAGAGTGAAGACAATTGATGAGAGGAGGGCTATCAAGCATCAGCGGACTGCCAGTTAAGCCTTCCATTGATGCTGGGCGACTGGCAGGCAGGTGTGTTCAAGGTTACAGGTGGGAACGACGACGCGGCATTCTGCTGATTTCAGCTCTCTTTGGGGGGCAGTGCTAGTAGTCGGACAAAATGATACTGAGATACAGCTGCCGGGGTATGTCGAGTATAACACTCCTGCCTTGTCATACCCGCAACACCTTGAAGTGACTTAACTAACTCGCGTGGTTGGAAATGCGCGCGCCGCGCGCACAGTGCCTTGAAGACGAAGCGGTTGGTGCCAACAGGGTTAGGGGTTTTTTAGGGCATTCCTTTGCCTCGGATTCGGGTTGATATGAACCAAACCACATCCCTCCCCTTCCTCCCCTCAAAATCACAGCCAGGACTTCGATCTCAGACAACCCATTGAGTTTCCATGAAGTGGAAGCCAGCTCTTTGCACGATAAACGTGAAGCCAATCGGGCGCATCCACTGTACTTGAAGAGCCTGAGACTTCTGGGATACCCCGTAAGGAGGAGGCACTGCATTGTGTGGTCCGTGCGGTACGACTAACAATATTGTTCTATCAAATTCATCAGGACATCCACCTCGGTCAAAAAAATCCAGATCCAGATCAAGCACCAAGAACAGCCCAGCAGACCATAACCAAAGTCGGCCCAAAACGAACCTTGTCGGCACGCCGACTGTAATAGCACACCCACCCGACATCCCTTGACCACGTACACCACCCACCCACCCACCCACCAAAAGAAAGCAAAAATGCATCTCATGTACCTGCCCGAAACGAACGGGTCTGGCCGGCGCTACACCCTTAAGAAGGTCATGGACGGCCAGGTGACCAAGTCGGCGCACCCGGCGCGCTTCTCGCCCGACGACAAGTGGTCGCGCCACCGGCTGGCGGTGCGCAAGCGGTTTGCCGTGCTTCTGGCGCAGAGGAGTACGCCCCCATGTCTTCTAGTCTATGATCTTTCTAAAGCTAACGTCGGCGCCGGCAGAATGAGTGATTAGTGCGATAAGCACGCATGTCAGGATTTTCAGGGGGAGGGGAGGCACAAAGATGGCAGCCATATACCGATATCTGGGCTTGGGAGAGCAGATTTCGCACGGCATGTTATTGTCCGAATCTACGTTCCATGGTCGATGGAAGCAGGAGCGATGGCGTCCGACCAGCCTGGTAAACACCCACTTGCGACTTCGATCAACGACCGCGCATGCGAGGCCAGCCGATGATTAGTTCTGTGGTTGCGAATGGTTCGTGGGATGGCTGGCATCCCTGTCGGCGTTCTAGCTGGAGGCTCGGAGAGCCATAAACGGGTCGGCGTTGGCTTAGGTTGGAACTGGACTCTTGAGAAACAGAGAAACAAGGCGTTATGACTTGGTGTTTTTATAGCTACATATGTGCTTCAAGCAGGCATCAAAAATTCGTCTTGGGATAATGATTCATTATTCTCGACACCTTTGCCGTCCAATTCGAACGTGTCTCATCACCTCCTCTTCTTGGCATTGACGTTACGGCCTGCCCCTACTTTAATCTTCCCAGGGCCTGAACCCCTGGCGCCGGTCAGGATGCTAGGGAGGTAGTCCCCATCCATGAGATCACGTTGCTTTGTCCGGCGGGCTTCTTCCAGTTTCTTGGTGTACTCCTTTTGGTCCTCGGCCAGGATCAACTCCCTTCCCCACCCATTTTTGCCACCTCCCTTGACGTTTGCGCCTTTCCCGCTTGCCGTACCATGGGTGGGTTTCGGAATGCTATAGACATTGCCTCTGTTGTTGTACTGGAAATTCCTCTTGAGATGGAGCTTGAAGTTGCCTGCAGCGTCGGTACTGCATGAGACTCGTGTCAAGGTCGCCTGTCCGCAGGAGGGGCAGAATTGCTTCGTGGTATCCTTGCAGACTTTCCAGCACCCATGGCACCTCAAAACCCACGTCTTTAGAAAGGTGATTCTGGAAAACCCGGTGTCCAAAAGACTTGAGTACGGTTAGAAACCTGCTTCGCGTCGGGGAACCTGGGGAACGGAAACCTACTTGAGGTTTATCCTGAGGGCTACATTGCGCATGGCCATGTCCGAGGTGATCAAGGCCGCCTGGAGCACCCGCTGTACCGGCTGTGGTGCCGTGAGGGCATTTTCCTTGGCTCGATACTTTTTGATGTTGCTTGGAGCTGGGATGGCAACATGTCAGCAGCTTGAATAAACAGAGGGGATATGGAGCAACGGAGACTGACTTATCCATTCCCCACCGCCGTCATCATCTTCTGGCGTCGTATCCTCTTCATATTCTTCCGTCGGAGCGTCAACCTCCTCAGCAGGCTTGTTCAAATCAAGGTCCCCCAATTGCTCCGTAACTGATTCACTAGTCGCCTCCGCAGGGGAGTCTCGAGCCTCGTCCGCGGCGTCAGGAGCAGCATTTTGCTGCTCCTGATCTGCTTCAGTAGTTGTTTTCGGTTCCCCAACGTCTGCAGCGGCCTCAACCCCAGCCTGAGATGGCTCGCTGCCATCTGCGTCTGCCTTTCCGGGCGGTTTCCCGTTCAGCCCTTTCTGGTTTGGCTCTCGTCTTAACCGCCACTATCGTCCGACTCGGTCAGTCATGCATGTCATGTAGCAAAAGTCGATGTAGGTAGCGCACATCACCGCCGTTCCTCTCAATTTCCAACTCATATGTCAGGGCGAGGAGCTGTAGATCTGGCCTCGAGAGGACTTGCAGGTCGCCCGTTCTCCGCGCAAAGGCTGTGACAAACTGGACAGACTCGGGTCGGGGATTGCGAAGCTTGAGAAATGGCGACAGCGTTGTCTGGAACCGAGAACGTGTCGCCTCGTCGCGAACTGAGAGTCACAGCGTTAGCGGGGCAGGCTAACCCACATGCATGTCGCTCGATGGAGACGGAGACGCACTCTCTGAAACCACGGCAGGAATGGTATAGAGCTCCTCAACCTGTGCGATCAGGGTCGAGACGGTCGGTTCATTTTTGATGATAGCGTTGGCATCTATGACCAGGGAATGGACGGGTTTTGTGTGTGTGGTGGTGTGCGACGTTAAGGAGGGCTGGCGCTCGCGGTCTGGGAGGAGAGCGGGGGCGGGGTTCGCGGCCCCTGGTGTCTGCGCACTTGGCCCATCGATAACAGGTTGCTCCATGACCAAAGGGCTATGTTAGCCTTAGTATAATCTCGGACGCTACTACCCGGGGAAGATATCAGGAAGACAACAGGTTCAGGCGGGGCGTTGAAGGCAACCTGGAAAGGGTTTCGCTTCATGTGTTGGATTTCTGAAAATTCAGGCGGGGAAGATGGGCAGAATCTCGGTCCGGCCGTAGTGTGGGGCAGCACCGAGCTCCGGTCCCACTCTGGTTCCGGCCCCGCTTTTGCGATAGCGGGGGGTCAACCCGATCCTCCACATCTCCGGACCGAGCACCCGGCTGAGTCCGGAGAAGTTGCGAAAAACGCCACAATCACAGTTTGTACCGCCAACAGCCCGATAGATAGCTCAATCGAGCTCAATCATTTTCACAAGTCATCCGAATATTCAGCATTAACACCAGACCCGATGATCCTGATCGTTGTTCTCGAGTTGAATCATGGCGATTAACACCCACGGTTCTCGGACCCCATTCCTTCTTTAGAAATCTGGCGCGGCGTGGAGCAAAGATACATGATCAAGCAGAGGTATGTACAGTCTAGAGTGCGTTGCTTGTCCTGCGTTGTTTTGGCTCTGCAATGATATTTGATTGAAAGCTTTCATTTCGGCTCGCATAAATGGCAAAGTCTTCTGTACTGTCTCTCACGGCGAAAAAGAACAGTGGACGGGGAGGACTTGTGGCGTGATAAAAGGCTGACTTACCTAGATAAGCCGGTGTGGGGTGCAAGTAACGGTTCGGTACCTAGTAAGACAAGTGAGATTTGACTCGAGACTTATAAATAAAATAAGCTCACTGGACTCGTGCTCCCAGAGTCCCAGCTACCGATAGCTCAGAGGAAGACACGGCAACGCGGCACGTGTGGAGTCAAGCTTCCTATCCCCTGACTCTCTCGACAGTCTCGTGATGCTAATTCGGGGTAGCTCATCATCCCGGATTTTCTGGGACGCGAGGTAGCATTCCCCTCCGCCTCAGACCGCCCCTCGAAGACGTCTGCCAAGACCGCCCTAGCTTTCTTCCGGTGCATATACGAGCTTCATGGCTCCCCTGTTCTTCATATACTGCAACCCAGGAAGCCATGAAATAGATGCTTCTGGTTGAGTGCGATTTGGGATACTTGTGTAGTCCTGAGAGGCTTGTCACTTCTATCCCGGCCATACCGTAGTGGTAATGGTCGAGAGCTTCGGTGTCTGGTAATACAAGAACCCAGTGATAGTCTCCTACCTAGCCGTGAGACAGAATGTAGGTATCATTGTGATTTACGGACCCATCATCCGTGTTCCAGGCTCTGGTGGTAAACGATTTTCTACCGTTGAAGGGCCGCGGTCAAGGAGTTCACTGTCAACTTGTCAAGTCACTCAAGCAGCGGTTCTACCTGTTCATACGGTTTAAGGGAAGCCCCAACCTCTTTACAGGCAAGATCGGCAGTTGCCCTCATAATCCCGTCATTGTGGTAGCAGGGCCCATTTGCTGACATCTCGTATGGATTCAACCCAGGAGCTACCACGAGGCAGGGCCCCAGGATGCAACGGCAGTCACGCAAGATCCAAGCCGACCGTTACTCGGCTTCCCGCTCCCCGCAAGCGGCTCCGTCGATGCATGCAGCATGTAGTTGATGAACTCGTGCTTGTGCAGTCGGATTTCAGGCTGCGCCCGCCGGTGTCATGCCTTAGCCCCTGGGCTCGGGCTAGAGACTCTGGGATGTTACCAAGACCAGGCCACCAGGCACATGACTCCCCTCACTTCAACCCGTCCGTAAGCATCAGGCAATGTTGGGCTACTTTCCTCGCAGCCCGGAAGTTCGGGCTTCGTATTCTCGTGTTTTTGTTACCTGATGGAATATATGCCGAGGTTGGGGATATTGGTTCCGTGTCGTGATGGACGGTATGGATCTTCAGGTGGATAACCCGAACCATCCCACCCGCAAGTACTGGTAAACCCAGGGATGCTGCTATTTCCATATGCAAGACAAGCAGAGAGCCGTCCGGTGCCTATATAATCCGTCATCGCCCTCTTGTTAGAACACAGAATATCACATCAGACTCACCTACCTTAACCATCTCCTCAAGAAGCTCCTCGTTATCTCCGCTCAACAGCAATACTTCGGACCTCTGTCCTGGCCCAAACTCAGCCTTCAAGACTTGTCCAGTTCAACAACTCCAAACCAACCAACCATGATGACCAAGCTCGCCGTCCTGGCCCTCGCGGCCGCCGCTGCCCCCTTCGCCTCAGCCCTTGGCATGGCGCGCGTGGTCAACAAGTGCCCCGAGACGGTACACGTCTGGTCGGTGGGTTCCGAGATGGCCGGCCCTTACGCGCTGGGGACCAACGGCGGGTTTTACGCCGAGGAGTTCCGCAAGGATCCGCGGACCGGCGGCAAGGCGCTCAAGATCACGCGCAGCGCCGACGGCCTGTACAACGGCTCGCCCCAGACCATCTTTGCCTACAACCTCGACAACGACAAGGTCTGGTACGACCTCAGCGACATCTTTGGCGATGCCTTTGTCGGCAAGAAGCTTGTTGTGGAAAGCGCCGAGCAGTCCTGCCCCTCCATCATCTGGCCCACGGGCGTGCCCCCCGCGGGCTCCCAGGTCAAGGTCTGCACGTCGGCTAAGGATGTCACTTTGACGCTCTGTGCTTAGGTAGTCTCGTGGAGGAGGGTGGTCAGTAGAGTATCGGAGTTGGAAATGTTGCTTGGTTGGGAATGGAAGTTGCATGATGCGGCGAATTTTCGGAACTGGTTATGTCATGGATGTACACAGCTTCAGCCTTCAGGCTAGGCATCGATCTGAGTTAGCACCTGTCTTGATCGTTCCTTCCAAGCAGTGATCAACCGGTTACTCGTGCCCGGAGAGAGTGAGACACTGGGAAAAGCCAAACGGAAGTGACGACTGGTACTTGGAGCAACCACAGTCGTAGGTACCTTGGCAGATCTAGCCTCGAAACATGGAAAACATCCAACACTTTGAAATCCATGATCCTACCCGAGAGACTATACCATGGAGTCATAGATTATGGAGGTCCGTCAAGTTAAGCAGCTGAGGTAAGGTACCTACATTATGCTGCATGCACACAATGGTCAGTGTTCTGCGTTTTTCTACTCATATGCACAGTTCGTGTTGAGCAAGCTGATCAAGTTGCTGTGAACGAGGAACTCTTTTAGACTCTTGGTCTTGGGACTACCTTGTCTAAGAGCCGGCTACTCGGCTTCGGTTGGGGACAAGTTTTGGGCCCTTGTTAGTACTAAGGTCTCCTTCATGTTGTCCTTTGTTCACTCAACCATGCAAGTGTCCTCACTGTCCTCCACAGCCACATCAGCTTCCTCCAAGGAGACGTCGTCAACTTCCACCTCGAAGCTCTCCGCCTCAGAGTCGGTGTAATAGTCCGCGTCGATCAGGCCCTCAATTGCCGGCGCCGGGGCCCACAGGTTATCGCCCTTGTGGAGTTTGCGCAGCTTTATGGCAGCCCAGTCGCGATTGAGATCGGGATTCCACTTCTTGTCGCGGGCCCTGGTGGAGAGGGCAAGAGATTGCGCGGCGAAGAGCTCGATCTCGGCAATGACAAACCAGCCAACCCAGTAGAGTCCGTGTTCCACGGAGCGGGGGCACGAAAAGACGGCAATGGCCTCCTCTTTGGCCGGAACATATTTGACGGGAGGTGTGTCTACCCAGGCCATCTCGGGCAGCTCATAGGACCGGGGCATCCCTAGATGTATCAAATACCATCAATGTCAGTGACCGGAGGTCAAACCACGCAAAAGGGGTTGCTTACACTCTCCAGGGATGAGCATACCGGCGCAGTTGCCATACTCGTCCTGAATTTCCATGTCAGGGCCGTCTTCGAGTCCGTAGCGCCTGAAATCAGTGTTCTCTGTCAGGAGAGCACACATTCGACGCTCAAGTTCCGCAACACTCGGCTCCGTGTGCTGTTCGACGAGCAAAGCTTTGTTCTCGGCATAGTCGGGCAATTGATGGAGCCTGGCCCTAGCGTAGAAAACGTTCTCTTGACGCCACTGCGGATTATAGGCTTCGTCGATAAGCACATAGGTGACCCCCTTAGGCTTATCCTCGCTATCGTTGAGAATGCTCAGAAAGCGGCGATGGAAGTCCCAGTCCGTGGCCCAGGGATTGAAATACTTCCAGATGTTGATAAGGGGAGTGCTAGAGTCCATTAGATGGGGTTTTTCACCGACAGGTCGATTTGCCTTTGATTTCGAAGTCACGGCAGCCAGAACAGAAACTGTTGAGTTAAATCGACTTACCCTTTCTCAACAAACGGCGGACCATCGTCACTATCGAACAGCGAGTCACCAATATCAAGGTGAGTAGCATCATGATGGTCCATGATGCCGGCCTCGAGCACCCCGTGTTCGACCTCAGTGCGAGCCCAGGATTGCAGGTCTCTGAGAAAGAGGGCAGAAGCAGAAAGGTCAAGAGAAAGAGGAAGAAACCGCGGTCTTGTGGGCAGGAGAACGGGTCTCGACAAGATAGTGGAAGCGCCGAGAGAAATCCTCATCTCAACGACAACTAACAAAATCTTACTGGCCGCAGGCCTGGTATGTTATTGTTCATGGGAACGACCCGCTTGCCCCGTACTACGACTCACGACTTTGAATTCAAAGGCACGAAAAGAAAGGGCATAAGAAATTCTCGCTCTTTCACTACGTGCTGTGCTTCACACGACTCCAGCTTGACCCAGTTCATAAGTTCTGGCTGCTTAACGAGTTGCAGTTGTGTCGATACGTGACTAGCTGAGGGATTCTCCGCTAGTAACCTATCTTGGACAGCGAGTGAAATACCTAGGCTACCTGCTTTGATTCACGTCCTGTTCGTCTTCACGAGCTTTCCACTGGTAAGTACTCGATTCCCTCGGCGGTATATTTGCGGCTATGACAGCCTCTCACTCTACTGCCAACTAGTATCCATGGCATCGCGAAGGTCCGGGCACCGATCCCGACGCCACCGCCGTCGTCGTAAGTCTCGTAAGAGAAGACGCGCGGCAGAAGCCGCTCATAATGGCGCACCCGAGACAGCTGGGCAGCTTCAACAGGTTACTCCCGATCAGTGGATTGCTTCGCCACACTTCCAGGACCTCCCTGTTGAGATCCTGATGCGCATTTTTGAAGGAGCCAAGACCACGACTCGGATGGGGACTAGCAAGCGGTTGCGCCTCGAACACCAGACAGTCTCTCTGAATGTGTACTTGACTATATCTCTGGTGTGCCGACGGTTTAGAGACGTCATCTTTCAGAACATTCGACTACCATACAGTAGCTTCCGGCTTGATACCGGGAGCGGAGAGGACAAGTCCGGCGTAACGATATGCCGTGTTGGGACTTCAGTCGCAGACCATATGGGATTCCGTACGGTCGACAACTTCAAGTTGGCTGTTTACCTAGGCGGTACTTCCAACTTGGATGATACGTGAGTCGCCACACATGAGGTACTACTGTCTTGGGAGCCTGAAATCTAACCGTTCCGCAGTGAGGCTATTATGGACTGTCACGCTACGGCTCGTTTCTGGGACCCAGAATCGGGGCCGGCGCAGGTTTTGCGCTCGAGACTTCAGCTCTGTACCACGGTTGTGAAGCTTCTGGGCAACATGCAAGCCTTGCGTGAGCTTCGCATCGACCACTTCGAGCTCCCAGAGGGACTGGTCAAGGCCATCAGATTTAGGAACCTTTGCCTTCCTAGTGTGGCCAAGTTGACCATGCACATCGACGGAAACCACAGCAAGGTCTCTCCGCTCATTCTAGAAGCCTGCACCAACATCGAGAGCCTGGGCTTGAACATGAACGGAGACAACGAGGGCGTTCACACGTTGGGCGGAACAGACACCTTGAGGAGGGTCTGGGCCGCCACACGAAGGCTAACCCGGCTCGAGGAACTGTGCGTGTTCAAGTGCGGATATCCCTGCCGCTGCGTCGTGAAGTGGCCAAAAAGTACCAATTCCTCAGACTGCGAGAAGCCTCATGGGTGGACGTTGGAGGACCTCAGCGGTACGCGTCACACTAATCTCTACACATGCTCATACCAGTAACTACTACTACTAGTAGTCGCCCCTACTTACTCATTCAGTGCTGACGAGTCAACCTCTATCGCAGTCATCCACAAACATCTCCCGCACCTCAAGCGCCTGTCCCTATATGGCAACTTGCACGTTCCCCTGAAAGGCAACCCGCGAAGGCCCAAGGTAAGCCCAAACTGCAATTCCCATACCAAACAAGTGACCACAAGACTCCTTCGCCAGACTAGTACTAACAGAGATAGGACTTCGCTTCCCACCTCGCCCGGTTCAAGCGTCTGGAGCACTTGCGAATGACGGTTACTACGTCGGGATCGAAGGCCTGGCGATTCAGACTCAGCAATCGAAGGCGCTCACCTGAAAGGGGAAAAGACTGGTCAGCCGACGCGGCCGATATCTTTGCGCGCTGTGGAAGGCAGCTCCGGAGCGTCTCGTTCCTCGAATACCAAGCCGGCGTAAGGTTCGATATGCCGTCGGGTCCACGTATCGCCCCGTTGGCGATCCCGAACAGGATCACGAACGAGCATTATATCTATCCGATGGGAGACAACGGAGACGCCAGGGCGGACCCGACCACCTGGCGTGTGTTTGCGCTTCGCCATTGGTTGTAGATGCCATTGGTCTTGCTTCTAAGGTTTCCGTATTTTCCAGCGTTGATGTAGGAACTAGGCATGGGTTTGCTTCTCATTGAAATGTATGGTAGTACAATGGAAATGGTTTTGATGGACACAAGTGATGAATGTGACCGAGGTTTATATGTCAGATTCCTCTTCCTACTCTCACCCCCCTAGGTAGAAATGAAGTAAAGTGAAGTAGGTACGATGGCCGAGCGGTTCCAAGTTACAACTGCGCCTATTTCCCCCGCAACCATGTACGAAACGGGTGACAACCCGGCAGCTGCTTGCGACTTGCAAGTGGCTTGAAAGACTCCGGGTCTTATTAGTCCTGTTTCTACTTGTTACTTCGTCAAGTGGAGGAACTTTACCTGTTTTCAAGGCGCTATATGTAGGAACTAGGGATGGGCTTGCTCATTGGGAAGATGTATGGTAGCACAAAGGGAAATGGAGTTGATGGGCAAAAGGGATGAACGTACACGGTACGTGACCGAGGTTTATAATTCAAGTCCCTCCTCCTACTTTCACCCCCCCTGGCTAGAGTGAAATGACGAGAAGTGAAGCGCCACGCCAGAAACAGCCGACGCAGCCATCTTGCAGTGGCACTCTCTATAGAGCCAACCGGAGCACTATGATCACCCTTCTAAGGCGCGTCAGTTGTACAACACCACCTACTCCCTCCAAATTAGGTATTCTGGAGGTGTATTAAATACGGTTCAACGAGTGGAAACAAAGTAACCACCAAAAAACAAGACCAAGAGCGTCTACCTATCTTCTGGGGTCGGGATGGGCGTCGTCCACCTCGTTCGTTACTTCTAGTTCTAGCTAGAGGGTGATTTGAACTAGCAGCCCCCTACTTCTATTGCCAGAGAGCGGCGAGATCATACCGTGTGAAGGATAAGCAACTTGAAAGGCTCTGCTCTAGTTTGCCGCCGCTACAGAACTAAGGGATGATTCAAGAGCTGCACAGGGGACAGTTCGGCAAAAGCGGGCTAAGAATGGACATTTGGGAGGACCTGTACACAGGACCGTATGCTCCCAGCCTTGTTGTCAGAATCTTGCGCTCAAAACTGAAAGTAAGGTAAAGACACGGATGACGACCTCCTCATCTTTGTCAAGAACCAGCAAACTGACGTGGTCTCCTTGCTGGCCGAACAGTACGCTGATGGCCTTGCCACGGTCAAGAGGGGGCTCTCAGGAGTACGGTCATCACCATGCATTATGCTCTCCTGCTACGTAGGTAGCAAATCAAAAGCCTACTAGTAGTTGTATCCCAAGACAAGCTCATAAAGTCTCAGTCCAAAAAGAACAAGTCCTGAACATATTCAAAATTTTGTACGTTTAGAATTAACCCTAACGCATTTCCGGTCCAGACCATACAAAGTGGTACCCCAAGAAATGCATGCCACGGCGCCCTGCTCTGACTGTTTGACACCCGACGAAGGATGCTAAAACACTGTCCCGTCGCTGTCAATTAAGATTGGCGGTTCCTTGGTGTTTGGTCGGCTGACTTCTGCAATTTCTCGCCCTCCCTACCAAAACGACTTGTCAGTGAACTGAGCCAGGCGAGCAGGAACTCGGAAACCAAGAGATACTCACCTTCCAACTACCAGCCTCCAATATTTGCGCCAGACTCAACTCATGGCCAGCCAGCTCATTCATCAACGCCTTGTTGACCTCGATGCACAGCAGATCCAGAAACCCGACCGTAACCCCCCTCCACTCGACAATCACATCGTCGCCGGGCTCAAACATGGGCGCTACCTCCACATTCTTGGTCCCCGTGCGCTGGCAGTACCTAGCATAGTTCTGCAGCCCCCGCTCCTGATCATGCGGCTTGAGCGTCAGCACGCCGAGATCGATAAACAGCCCGCCGTTGCGGTACTCGGGCAGGCCCGTGAGCAGCTCCTGGCCGGCGAACTGGATCTTCATGATGCTCTGCATGGGCTGCATCAGGGAGTAGGTGAGCCACTGGGTGAGTTTGTGGAACGGGAGGATGCTCTCCCAGGGCGCGACGCCGTTGAATTGGCCTGTCGAGTTGGGGAACGGGGAAAATGTGGGGCTGGTGGGTGACTGCGCCGGTTGCGGCATCGAGCTGCAGGGCCAGGCGTCGCCCAGGGAGACTCCATTGACTGCGGTTCTTGAGGGGGGCCAGATCGGGGCGAGGCCGTTCATGAGCACGTTCCAGAGAACCGGTAAGGGCACGATTATGACGCTCGCAGCCTGCGTTGATGGGTGGGAGAGAATATGGTCTGGTCATGGAGTTAGTAAAACTGATTGTCGATAGCAAAGGTGCTGAGAGAATACTTGCCGAGCATGTTACCGGGCCGGCCGTCCTCGCCAAAGTACTCCTTGCTTTGCTCAAGCGCGGTAGCGAGACGAATGAGCAGCTGCGATCTCCCTTCCAGACCAGCCATCTCATTCCCCGGTCGTGACTGGAGGCCGTGGGCGAGCTTTTCTACAGTTAACTGCCTGAGACCCTGCTTATCTACTTGGTATTTGTTGTTCGGGTTGCCAGAGAACAGGCCCTGCAGCCGGTGTCAGCGAGATTCAACAATTGGGCGCGTGCCGTGGGAATTGACGCACTGTTTTGAACATATCCAGCGACGCAACAGCGATGCCCTCTGACCGGCGGTAGACCCGTCCGTTTTCTGGGCTCTTGTAACTCCATTCGGTGCCAGCACCCGCATCCAGGAGCACACTGACGAGGAAGAGGTCGATTATGCGCTTGCACTTTTCTGTGTTGTCAATGTCCTCGGGCCAAGTCGCCAACAGGTGGGCGATCCTGTCGCGGCCGCCGACACCAAAGTGCTGATAGCGGCCGTGGGGAGGGATGCTTGTGAAGGGCGCATCATAGTCTCGCTGAGTGCGGGTTTGTTTTAGCTGGCGGTGACTGGCGCTGCGGCAAGGTGTGGGGGAGGAGGGGCACGTAAGGAGCTTACCTTGATGATGTTTGCAACAAAGGTTACAACATCTGGGAACTTGTTCATATCCACGTCAAAATGCTTCAGGTCATTTCTTTGTGCCTTGGCCGTCACGATCTTGCACCGTTCGCGTACCGCAGCCAGGCTGCGCAAGTAGCCGGCGGGATCGAGTTGCGGGTCTGGTGGCCTCGGAATGTCCATTCGTGCCATGATTGAGTTGGGCCCCGGCGAAAAGGGCGTCAGCGGGGTTCCTGGGCCCGTGGTGCTTGTGGTACCGGCCGAAGTACGATTGACACCGCGGGTGTTTGTGTTGATTGGGCTGACGATGCTCGAGGAACCCGAATTGAGCGATGCCTTTGAGTGTGAGGACGCGAGCGATGGTTGCGAATCATCGGCCGCCTTGGGACCCCTCCTCGAAAACAGGCCCATGTTCTGTCTCAACTTGTGTTCACGCAGGAACTACAGTACATACAACGTCGATACGTCGACGTTTCTCAGTGGTCGGTTCAGGGAGCGCAATCGGCCAGTGGGCGGGCAGTTTGCAGATCGGGGAGCTGCGCTCGTGACGTATAGTGGGGCACAACACGCCGCTTCGGAGGGGTTGCAATTGGATGCTGGGCTTGTTTGACGCTGGGACAGAGAGCAGCAGTAGTAGTCGAGTAAATACTGCAGAGCAAAATCTCGTCGTTCAAGATGGCAAGTTTGGGAAGAGAAGAGAGCTGTGTTGGATAGCACTACTTGCTTCCGGGGTATACAGTGTAGTTGAGGCGCTTAAGAAAGCTGTGGGCCTGGACCATTGGCGCGGACAAAGCAAGCATTCAATAGCGTCTTGGTATGAAAATACTACACGTAACAGCTCGCTGCGCAGTGGATGTCTCCATCAATCATCCAAGGGAATTGGAGAGAGGAGAGGCTGCCAACGACTGGAGCGCCAGGGGACCATCCATAATACGGATAGGGGCCCGGGCCTTCACACCCGGGAATGGGAGGGGCAAGGTGGGGTATTGATCGTAGACTAGCCTGGAAGTTGACCCGAAAAGACCCAACGATAACATGCAAGCGATGGGAAATTGAAGGGCAAATGCAGAGAATTTGCGGCTTTTGATCCAACAATCACACCGACGACCTGGAAACAGAGCCCAAGAGTAGAGCCAAGGCGCGCACGGTCGATTCGAGGGACCTAGGTGTAGGGAAACTGGTAACCTCCGTATGTACGTATGTACAGCACTTTATTGCAACCGAGTGAGGTTGGTATCTTTCCGGGACAGGTGCGCTTAACGATGAGGAAGACACACCTTTTGCTTCGTTTCCTTGAGCGTTGAAGCCATGGATAGGCCGCACGAGAGATGCAACGACGCTGGCAGTTGAATATCAGCAACTGTTTGGTGAGTCAACTTGTTGTCAACATCTACAGGATCGAACTAAATTACCTCTGTACAGTACACATAGGGCAGGAGAACTTGTGCCTCGATGGCTGTCTCCAACCCACAATTCCATGGCGAGTCGGCGACAGCAGGAAGGATTCCGAAATCTGCAAGTTGTCACCGGCACGATTTTCCAATTGTGTTCTCGAAAAAGGGGCGCCGCTAGATCGTGGTTCGGTCTGAAGCTACCCTACAGTACCATCACCCGCTGCAGGTACGGTGCAACGTTGATCAAGCAGCCACCACGGTGAGCTGTCAACCAATCCGAGATTTGACCTTTCACCGTACTCCGTAGCTGCCCTATCTAGGAGAGAATGGCTTGGCCATGGGGGTCGAAGAAACACTGAGAAATCTGCCTTGCTTTCAATGGGTCATTCCGGGCCCAAGCCGCTATGGGGAGGTGCTGTGTGATGGTCCGTCAGTGCAGTGCGCCTTCACATCCTTTAGCGCAAGATCCAGCAGGGAGGACCCCGTTTGACAACTTGTGGGGTTGATGATTTGATCTCCTAGCGCCATCTGTCATGCACTTGGCCACGCGATACGCGTGTGGTTCCTTGCACACGAGGGGACACACCAGCTGATGAATGAACATCAACAGATGTTCGATATGTAATTGCCTACGCCTTATGTCTGAACATCCGGATGGTTCCCGGTTTCAGCACTACATTCGCTGCCCGGTTGACGCCGTCGCATTGCTGCCGAAGTCGTTCGATACTCGTGGTGAAAGAGTGCCAAGAGCTCGCTAATGGCGGAAAATGAACCCACCGGTATGGTTTGTCCATGCTCTGTCAAATGCTGGGTTCCGTTCCCGAGGCACCAACTGTCTTCGGAGCAACTGCTCTTAAATTTATAAAGGACCGAACCAGAACAGAGAAGCCCAGGTTTCATCGGCCAACGAGGATATCGAGCCCAGGAGAAAATCCATTTCTGACCTTTTTACCTATTATTTCCCTCAATTTCGATACTACACTAACTTGGTAGTAATAGCGTGGATTCAGGGCTTCTTGGCTTCAGACTATTCTGTCCATGACGGAGGGACAACGCAGCCAATAAAACATTCCCTTCGCCAGATTTGCCCGATTCGCGATTCTCAATTCTTCATCAACTCGTATCGACTGGTAAGACTGGGAAGGCTGGGAATTCGATGGAGCGGTTGTACCGTAAAGGTCCGATGGCTTACATACCAATCGGATCCAATGATTGACGCCCCGAATGTTGGGTTCGGTGGTAGGGTGACAATTGCCGGAACATTGGCCGTCGATCTCCGGGACCTTGCGCATAACGCTCCTCCTTCCTCGAGCGGAGAAGCTGCGCCCCAACACCATTTTGGATATAAACTCCCTAATGCAGGCCATACAAACACTGTTGGCGACGTTGCTCCAAGTCTCCTTGAAAAATTTCCGGAACGATGCATGAGAAAACATCCTTTGAGTTCCCTTTCGGACGGACTGGCAGCCAAACACTGGTACTGTTGTTGTAGGTCAACTGCCTCGGCAGTAAGATCCCCAAATTCCCTGCAAATAGCTACACTATCATAACCAGGTCTACCCAGACGGGACACAGAGGAGAGGCCCATCAATCCACCGAGAGATCTACACTTCGTGGCCAGCATATCCTGGGCATGACAGCCCACTCTGCGCGACCGGTCCCTTTTCGTTCCCACCACCTGATGATCCAGGAGACATCACGCCTGGCGAGCACCACGTTGGAGTTTGGACAGGTCCAGACGGCAATTGTCAACCAACTCCAAGTTACCGCAGCCAGTATCAGAGATCATAGTTAGCAATTAGTCTCTAACCCATTGGTCTAATGCAAATATTGCCGCAGTCGTATCCCCCACCCTTCCTGTCCAGTGCTCTCCCAGCCAACTCCGGCCGAGCCACTCATAGCAGCAGGGTGAAATATCCGTACAACACTAGTTTACAGTGACAACGATAAGGTAGCAAGTGTAGTGTGTGATATGGTCTCCATCGTCGAGATCCGTAGCGGGATCTTGAAAAATCGCTCCTCAGGGTCCACCAAATCTCCAGGCGTCTTTCCCACTGCTCTGAACTACAGATAGACGAGGGAAAAAGAGGATCGGGGATGAAAGGAGGACAAAGAAGCCAGAATAAAGCAACGCCTTGTCCGCCCACCCACGCTGGCCGCAATGCATCGTAAAGTGAAAAGCAACTCCAGGCTCTTGATGCCGGGCGACCGCACCAGCACGAACAGAACCACCCCGACACCCTAGCCACAGAGAAAGTGAACGGGATGCAACTCGAGGTTCTTGATGCTGGGTGACCGCACCAGCATGAACAGAACCTCCTCGCCTCCCACACACCCCTAACCACAGTCAAAGTGAAGACCTTAATACCGGACCGAGACGCAACTCGAGATTGTTATGCCGGATGACCACACCAGCACCAACAAAACCTCCTCGACACCACTAGCCACATTGAATCCGGACCGAGACGCCCATCGACACCCCGAATCAAGGCTCCTTACGCGCATCCAACAAAGATGCCGCCTCGCCTCGATCCTCCTCCATCAGCCCGTCAGACACATTCGAATGCTCCCCAACAGCAGCCGCCAGCTTCTTCCTCTGGTCGCCGCCGTCTTCGTCATCGTCCTGATTGACCAGGTCCACAAACATGCTATCGTCGCCATCCCCTTCGTTACCGACGCCGATACCGATCGGGTCATTGTCTCTGGTCGACGACGACGAGCCCCAGACATCCCTGCCAAAGATCTCCTCGGCACGCCTCCTGCCCGTCTCGGTGCGCGACAGAATCTCCAGTGCCTTCGCCCTACCCGCGCTAGTCGACAGGTGCTTGCCGAGCTCGTCGTCGTCAAACGCGCCCCTGAGCAGGCGCTCCTCCAGCTCGTGCGTTGAGTCCCCCTGGACAAGCAGCTGTGGGCCACCGACGGCGCCATTGCGCATGTAGAAGGCGTGGTGGGCGGAACCAGCATCCAGTTCCATGTCGTCACCACCTGGCAGGATAGAAGGGGGTCCCGAGTGACCGCTTTGGCCGTGCGCCGGCGCCGGCGACATATCGGAGCCGCGAGAAGACTGGCCATGAGAGCTACCGGCAAGACCCGGCGTTGGCGGCTGGGCGGATGAGTTTCGCGAGAAGAATGGGTGGGGTGGTTGCTGCGAAACCATGACGATGGAGCCGGGCGCTGCCGACGCGGCCGCCGCAGCGGCCTCTGCGTTGAGAGCTTTGCGCTTGAGGCTGTTAGCCTTGCCCTTCACGCTCTCAGGCAGATCGTCAGGATCGTCGACGCCATACTGGGCCAACATCTTTTGGAGCTTGGTGGGGCGAGGTTTGCGCGTGCTCTTAGACGACTCAAGAACCGGAGGCGGTTCCGGCGCCACGGGGCTCCACTTGTGTAGTTCCTGGCGGAAGAAATTGGTCTCATATGCCAGCAGGATCTCGGCACCCTCGATCTTGCGGAGGTAGAAGCGCTGTGTCTCGGCTTCTGATGCCGTTGCGAGGATAGGGTTGCAGTAGGCAGAGATATGCTGGCGAAATTCGAGGGCATTGTCAATGATCTTTTTGAGAACCTCTTCCTCTTCTGGCTGGAACGGCAAGTTGGGGATTTCCTCTTGCCATGCGATGAGGTCTTCCAGTTTTGGGCGAGCGGCATCACGGGGGATCTTAACACGCCAGTCGCAAATCGGACAGGTGTATTTATCATCCTCCTTTACCTTGCCGCGCGCGATTTTAAGGCATTTGCCGTGATACCATTCGTGGCACAACTCGCATTCAATCATCATGCCGGCCTCAGTGCGCCGGCAGATGCAGAATACCTCTCGGAACTTTGGATCCTCCCAGCGACTGACCTTTTCCCTTTCGGGACTCGGCTCCCGTGAGGCAGGCTCCGCGGGCACCCGTGGCTTATCATGGACGATATCGAAGCAATCGAGATTGCGGTCGAGCACGTAGTCCATATGGCTCTTGAGAATGTGCAACGGAGCGTTTGTCTTGCCGAAGAGTTTCTTGCCCTTACGCATCCAATCTTCGTGCCGTTTCTGTTCCTTTTCGAGGTCGTGAGTCCCTGTCGGCTTTGCCTGGAGCTCTTCAATCTTTTTCATGACCTCCGCGACCTCGGAATACTTTGGCCTCTTGCGGTAATCGGGATCCTGGGATCGCTCATTCAGTTCCATAACCTGCCGATGCGCCTCGCGCTGCTTGTGAAGAATCTGGTCTACAGCGGCCATGGTCTCAGGAGAGACTGGCCAAGCATTCGCTTGCACCTGGTCCGCCAAGGCCTGAAGTTGTGGGTAGTGGATCGAGTCTGCATTGATAAGTTCCTGCACCTTCTTGTCCCACATATGGCCCGAAGCCAACTGCTCCACATAGAACGCGAGGTGGTCGTTGTAAGGGGGGACGTGCAGCCGTCGACCCTCATCAATGAGATCCCTGACGTCCTTGAGTGTCATGAGCGTACCACGGCTGCTGCTAGCCTTCTCGTTCCATTGAAGTTGTTCTAGCAAATGCGCTAGCTTTTCAACCTCTGGAATATCGACGTTGAAGCTCTGGCCTTCCTCGAGCAGTTTTTCGACGGGCCCAATCGAGTGGGACTGGCGGTGCTCGAGTACTTGCCGGGCATTTTCCTGGAAATCCTTGATTGCATCGGCGCGCTCTTGCAGCTGCTGTATTTCTGGACAGTCAAAACCGATCTGCTTGGCTTCTGCGAGAAGTCGATGGATGTTGTCGACATTGCGCATTTCCCGTTCCTTTTGATCGTGGGACGCGTTACCGACCGATTTTCGCGCCCCAGTCTGTGACGCTTTTTCACTCTTCCGGCGATTCTGTTGCTTTCGGACAGTGTAGTTGGTGGCTTCTTCAACCCAATGGTTGCAACGGTCCACAAAGGCCTTTAGCATCGGAAGCGACGGGAGGTTGTACGGAATCTTCTCGCCTTCGCTGAGTAGGGTTCGCAGTAACTTGAGCGACGGCGTCGCGTCGTCTTCCAAGAGCTTCTCGTACTTCTCCTCCCAAGCTTCAGGAACATGGGCTTTGTCTGCCACCTTCTTGTACGTTGAGGCCATGACTTCGTCCGACTTGCGAAAGTACAAAGCATGCTCTTTCCCGAGGTACCTGTCCGGCTCCTGGAGATCACAGCATGGGTGGTTCCCGGCATGCAGAAGGCAGAGAACCTTACCCGTCTTCAGACAGATGAACCTTGACAGATATGTGAATGCCTTGCAGTAATAGCAACCATACTCTTCCTCCGGAACGTCAGCGTCGTCGATTTGGAACGTCATGGGACACTCGTCGCCAGAATCTCCGTTGAACACGCAGCGGTGCTGCTCATCTTCGCGCTTTTGGGCGATAAAGTTGTGCTTGTCAATGAAGATTTTTCGCTGGGCTAGCTCCCTCTGATGTATCCTATCCATCGCAGGAGCAAGCCATTTGGCAGTCTGGATCGTCAGCCCACCAGTGGTGACGCCTTCCGCTGCCGTCCAGAGCAGCTCGTCGTGCGAGAAACAGGGCTGCCGCCGAAACTGCTGAAGTCGTTCGACTCCAGCGAGACCGTAGGGTTCCCAGTCGCACGGGGCAAAGTTAACGGCCTCATTGAAGTTGAAGCCGTGGTTAAACCCAGCGTGGTAGGCTTGAGGGAAGGTGATAACAAACTGGCCTGCCCTCTGATCAAGGGCATAGACACGTACGCCAGCCTTCTTTAGCTGCTCCGGCGTGAGGAGGGTGACAAGCTGGAACAAGAGGTCTGGTTGAGTCTCGAATAATTCCGGAACAGCCTCTCGCATGGCGTTCTCAAACTTCTCTGCATCATCGCCCGGGATCCCATACCAAGTCTTGGTGGCACCAAAATGCTGGTAATTTGCCGAATATGAGTAGTGATCCTCATTGTGCCAGCAGAAAGTCGAAAATATCATGCCGACGTAGACCCAAGGCACGGTCATGCCAGAGATGTCAGACTTGATATGCCTGAAAAGACTCTCGGGGTGGAGGGGGAGCACGTTTAGGTTCCACGGATCGGTCGAATATGGGTTGTTTGGATGCTTCTCGATCGTCGGGAATCCCGAGCCATGGGTGGTGCAGTGAATGTCGGCGCCATACTCGACCTCGACGGTCTCCTCCAGATCCGCAACCAGACGCCAAAACTCCCGCTCAACGTCATCCTCAGTAACTGGTCGATGGCAGTTGAGAACAGGGTCGAAAGGCATCTTGTTCTCGAAGTAGTTTTGCTTGAACTCCGCAGCCTTCTCCTGAAACTGCTTCAGCGAATATAGCCCTCCCTCCTCAAAGCCGAACTGGCCGTCGCCGACGAGACACCGCGGGCAGTTCCAGTCCGTTTCCGGTTTGACCTTGATCGGTGGGTCGAGACAGGTGCCATGGTAGCCGTGATCGCAAGACTCACATGTAAGAATGAAACTGCCTTCTTCGTTGCCCTTACCGCATTGCTCGCACCTCTGTTACGGTTGGTTAGGATGAGAACCCAGCAAGAAGAGGGAACAGATCAACATACCTGTCCGGGTGCGGCCGCCTCGTCCCGGGCTAACCTGGGCACCGATGAGCGAAAGAGAGTCATGTGCGAACCTGCCACAGTCGGGACATTATCTGCCAGTAGTCCACGTTAGAATTGAAATCGTTACGTTGGTAGACAGCCCATATCATGCTAGAGTAAAATGAGACGCATTAGGGTGGGCATCACACAACTCGAAAGCAACTGACCTTTCTTTAACCGCTTGCTTCTACGACTCCCAGATTCTCCATCGTCTTGATCAGCCGCCGAGTCCTTCTTCGCAGAATCCAGACTGTCGCAGCTCATTTGTCTCTTGAGTCCGGAAGGGCCAAGCGACGACGGGCGGTAATCTGGGGTGTTCTTTGCGGAGGAAACCGGCGTAGCAAACTGCTTAGGGGTGGCGGGACCCTTGCTGTCAGAGGCCGCATTGAGGGACCGATTGACGCCTGTGAAGCTTGAATTGACCGGAGTAAAGCCGCCGGAGTTTATGGCGGTAAACCCAGACGTTACTTGGGATGTGGCAGGGACAGGCGCATCGGACATGGCGACATCCTTCTCACCGTCTTTCGCCTGGCCGTTCACCGATGCTTGTAATGCATCTGTCGCATTTCTTGTAGGCGAGTCAGCCTGAAGATTAGAAGGCGCATGGGCGCTAGATCGCTTCATCGGGCTCGGGGCAGGGCTCGGGGTAAAGGGTCCGCCATATTCGAGTTCAAGCTGCTGGTGGACCCCAGGTTTGGCAATCCGCAAATAGTCTTCGTAAGGGCAAAGCCACTTCTGATACGAGTTCTTCAAGGACGTGGACAGTGATGACATGATCTTGCCGCTGTAGCCCAGGTCGCGGCCGATCTCGGCCCATTTTTTTAGTTTGCAAACCTTCTCAAAGCCCCCACGTGCCTCTACGGCCTTCTTCAGGCGGTATAAGTCGAGCGGCTTCTTGTCCACATATGGCCAGCGCGTGAGATTTGTCCCTTGTTGTTTGTGAAACTTGGTGAGGGCATCGAGGTAGGAGAGGTTCGCACGGGTGCCTATACCATTGCCCTCAGCAACGTACTCGGATGGAGAGGGTTGTTTGAGGGGGGGAGGGGAAGCCTTACTGCCTTCGACAGAGTTCAGCTCTTGCTTTCTGGTGCGGAAATGGAATCTCTGGGGTAAAAGGTACGGTCAGCCATGTTGATAGATGGGGGAAGGGGCTGCTTCGAGGCCGCCTACCTCTGTATCAATGGCAAAATCTGGGTTCCATGATTCTGGCGGGATGATCTTGCAGAGACCGTACTCGCGTGCTTTGGGTGAAATCTTCCTGATATACTCGAAGGGCTCTTTCCACTCCTCTTCCGTTGGGTAGAAGGTGGGGGCCTCCTCTAAGCCATGCGGTCGGTTCCTCTTCTTAACAGGTTCTTTGCATGCTGTGGGTTGGCCACGTCGCTCGACCGATGAGAGATCCAGTGGAGGACTTGTCATGGAACTGAGTGGGATTTGCGGTTTTGTCGGTTGACCATTCGCATTAGCCTGGCCAGTCTTTTGCTTCGCGCTGCCACCGCCGCTGCTGGGCACCGCTGAGGAAACCATGGCAGGCGAAGCCCTCGTTTGTGCATTGGAAGTCGAGCCCCCCGCATTGCCCGCTCCGTTCGAGCCACCGGTCGAAGGGGCCGACACCATGCTCAACACCGAACGTTCCTTGGCTCTTTTCGCTGGTAGAGATCAGGCTATCGATATGTCGTCTCGAATGTGACAGAGATGGAGAGACGGCCGGTGTGAGGGTCAGGTCAAAGACGTGTCCAGCGCATTGTAGGTCCCAAGGTTCTGTGTGCGACGAGCGGTTTCAGAGCGTGCGCCAGCAAATTGCGAGAGAGAAGGCGATTAAGAACTGACCGTCTCAGAGGATCGTGCGGATAGACAAACGCCGGACTAGAATTAAGGGAAGCTTAGCGGAAACGGTGCGTACATAACCCCCGCACGGAAGGCTTAGGTAAAACCAGACTTGGTCGTGGCCGCCGAAGGAGATGCACTGCTGAGGATGCCAAACCCAAGCACTTGGTCCGTCAAGTCAAGAACGGGTGTTGTGTAGATATGGCAAGCATCAACGGTCGAATCCGCCGACTCTGGCGCAACGAGCCGAGTGCCAATCGAGAAATTACTCGGCGGTTTTGGACTGCAACAGAAGAAGGGTGAACAGACTTTGAGGATGACGGGTGACGAGATGAGGAAAGGCGGAAGGGTTAGGCGGAGCACGGGGACATGGGTGCAGGTGGGTGGGTGAGAGCATGGGACATGGGATATTGGAGACCGAACGGAACGGGAGACGTCCCCAGAAAGACAAGTGAAGGCGGGCAATGCGGCAGTGGCCAGCTCAATTGGGGAGGCGCAAATCTGCGTTCGACAATCCGGCATCTAAGGTGGGTCTGCAACTGACTGCAAGGCTTCCTATCATCCATCTCCGTCTCGCCAATTCCTACCAAGTTCGAAGTATTGCATGCTTTACCTTCACTTACTTTTCGTGGACTGCACTGCAGTAGTTGTCATTAGTGCCTACCTCAGCTAAGGTTTTGGGATGGTTAAATAAGAAGCTAGCAGGTCAGGCGGACCCAGCTGAAGCTGTTATTAACATCGCGCGTTTCGCAAGCCCAGACGTAATACTCCCCCCCCAAGATTAAGTTCAACTTCGGACAGAAAGCAATGGGAAAGAGCACACATTTGGTTCAACCACACGCAAGAAATACCGATGCAGACGTCAGTTGGACAAAGAACACCTGCCATATGTGTCAGCACGCATTGCGGCGGGGTGCGGCTGGGCGGTCAATTGGAGTTCAGGCGGCGTGATCAGCTTGAGCCGCCTTCTATCGTCGAAAACTATACTAGGACGGTCAGCCGCTGACTGCAGCAACCGGCAGCAACAACTGTGGTGTGAGAGCGCGCAATGGCCCTTCGTTATATTTTTTGCTGGCGATGAGGTTGCGCACCTCTTGCCGAGCAAGGGCTGGGCAGAAGGGCAAGGTGTGATGTGTGAGCTTCGACTGACCGGGCAGCCCGACAGCCTACACTTACAGGTCATCAGAACGACGTTAGACCGACGTACGAGCCAACAAAGGCCGAGGACGAAGCCGATTTTGTTGAATCCAAAAACAAGAAAATGGCCTCATTGTAACGACGGAATTGGCGTCCTGCGCAACATCAGATGCATCCTCTCCTCCCCAGCGTCCCGGTTGCGCAATATCCCACAAAATGCAGGCCCAGCATTTGTGTTGTGTCGTTGCTGCAGCCGGTGCCCAAAGCGAAGATGTTGGATCTGATATCGGCCGGGTCTGTCAATTTTGTCGTTGCATCAACCAATCAGCGATGACTTGACGTTAAGATGGGGCCCCGAGAAGCGAGGAGCCAAGCTGACTGATCGGCGTGTGCGAACCCAATCGGCATTTTCCACCCACCAGCCCTCGACGACATCTGTGGCCTCGGTGGTTGGTTCCGGTTTGACGAAGGGCACGAGGCCGCAAGATCCGACAAAAGCACTTTGTTTTCCGTTCGGGCTCAAAATGAAGTGATATCACCTTCAATGGATTCTCACTCAGATAACGCAAAACGTACTGTGGGTATTTTGAACGCTCCCGATTGCGGAAGCCCTAAAACAAGCCCAGTTCGCATGTCTGCGAGGCCGGATCACGAGCGTGGCTGAACGGAGCGGCGTCCCTATCCTTCCTTTGACTCTTTAGGTATCTTCTGAGCTTTCTGTCGCCTCCGTCGGTTAAGTAGTTTCTTTACCTCTTTCTCTCCTCTCAGCCGCAATGTCAGCTCCTTCATCATGTCCCCCCAATCCACCGTCCCGGCGCACTTCGGACATTGCCCCTGAACCGGAAGAACGTTGTCCGCTTCCGCGCCGGCAAGGAAATGCCGGCTCCAGCACGAAAGATGCCCAACCCCATCACAGCCGGGGTTCGAGCATACGGCGTAGAGACCCTTTCCAGGCGGCATCGGCGCGCGGCACACGACGCAATCCCCAAGACGTTCAAACTCGAACAGCTCCTGCCCCTTGGCCACGTAATGCTTCATGGGTTCGTAGTTCAGGGGCAGGGCGTGTATGCCCCTCGCTTGCGCCTCCTGGCCGCTCGGTTGCTCCTCGGCACCACCGCTCGCAGACACAGTGGGTGCTTCTCCGGTACCTGTAGGCAATGCGCCCCCGAAATCTGTCAGGACCTGAAACCCAGGCCTCAGATGTTCTGTCACCGTGGCACACCACTTCTGCCAGGCCGCGTGCACATCTGGAGCAAAAAAGTGCAGCTTGAGGGGCCAACGCGCAAAGCTCGGCACGCGCAGGAGAAGGTGGAGGTTGGACAGGATGGAGGCGAGGCTCTTGGATGGTCGCCGCGGTTGCCCATTGGCCTTGACCCCTGTGGAGATGGTGATGCGCGAGGTAGAGGGGATGTGCACCGAGATGTGCGGGTTTGTAAGGGCCCATCTGCCAGAGTTAGATATCAGTCCATGGCGAAGACATGAGACGAAAAGTAAAGAAGCAACGCACTCGAACTTCAGGGCCGCGGTCATGCTTGGAAAGCCCGACACCAGTGCCACCATCTCCCACGGCCGGAGACTTTGCCGCGCAGTTCGGGCTGCCCCGCCGCGCACCACGCCGTTGTGCTGGCTCAACCGGCGGGGCGGGTTCGGGGTAGAGCCGATGTACAGCGAAGCATGGCGAAGTGTCGAGCGGAGTATGTAGACGGTGTAGAGGGCAGGGATCGGTTTGCACTGGACCGCCATATGGTATATGGTACTAGTACGTCGTTCGTGTGTCGAGACGGCTTCACGCCGGACCAGTCCTAGTGGGGTCTGAGCTAGACGCTGCAATCAGCGTTAGATGGACGGGCGGCCATATCTTGGCCCCACGGGGCACTGTCGCTGGTACTCGGTCGGCGGAATGGTTGCGGGCTGACGAAAGGCTCCAGACCATTCATCCGAGGCGAATGAAAAGTTTAGATATGTTCCATCGATATAGAGAGTCGTACAGCACGGCGGCTGCCTTATGTTGGGTGCGAAGAACGGGACAGCACTTGTTTACCTGAGCGGCGTGTCTCGATACTGTGCCGGGTGTGCCTGGGGCAACGGCGGCTGCATGTGGTGCCCCGCGAAGTGGGTCCTTTAGCACGTGGGGAATAACGTAAGGGTGGGGCTGACCTACCTAGGTCGGGCTAGGTAACGTCCCGTTTTCGGGAAGCCGGACGCGGACAACGACCTCCGCTGGGAGGCACCCTCTGCGCCTCCATGCCCAAGGTACAGTGGACTTTCAAGTTCTTTTACCCATTGCACTTCAAGCAGTGCATTGCATCTTCCGACCAAACCAATGTTTTGCTGGGTATCAGCTATGCTAAACCTACAAAGGGCCTTACAAATACAAACTCATCTCTGCTAATCTGCCACGATTAGAGCAGGCCCTGCTTCTGGAGATCCAAATAGACCTTTTCAGGCATGACGTTGCCCTCGGCATCCTCCATCTGAACCACTGCACCATCGTCAATGTGGTGCTTTTGCTGATCCCGCTGAATCTTGTCCCACAGTCTCACAGCTTCCTCTATAGATGTGATGTCCCGGAACAAATAGGTATTGGTGATGCCCAACCGCTTGAGGTTGGTGATGTGGTTGGTCTCGTTGAAGTGTTTGTCAAAGGCTCTCCGGCCGCGGTAGACAAAGTTGCCGCATATCTCGCAGGGGAACTCTTGGCCCAAGCCGTGCAGCCTGTACAGCCAGAATGGGATAGGCTTGCCGTCCCAGGCCAGAGGTAGCTTGAGCGGATTATAGGGCTTATCGTCGCCTTGCTCTTGGTCCTCCTCCTCGCCGCCCTTGTTTTGCGGCGCAGAACTCATGTTGTAGAAGTTCTCCAACTCCTGTGCCCGTTCGCGGTCCGTCATCCCTTGCCGGCGCTCCACGTTCACCCGCGTGTCGTCTCTCTCAACGCTCATCGCGCCAACCAATTTCTTGATTCGAAATTCTCGCTCGGCAACCGCTCGCTCTTTTGACCGGCGTGCTGATGATGCATGCGCATGGTTAGCATTACTGTTGGGCCCATCCTCCGGCTGCGCGAGCAACTCAGCAGCTTTTATATGTTTCCGGCCGCTCAGATGGCCCTTGTAGACGTTCTCATTTTTGAATTCTTTCTCGCACGCTTCACACCAGACCGCCTCGGCGGTACTTAGCGTCCGCGCTGGAGCATCCGCTTTGGCCGCCGGCTTCTGCTTCTCCCAGCCCTGGACTTCATCTTTGTCCCAAGCAGTTTCAAAGTCACGGTCCCAGCCGTTCAGGACCTCGTCAATGTTCTCCAGCGGTCGCGTCCGTCGCATAAAAGACTCCAAGTATTCCATAAGCCCCCCGAGGTACTTGAAATACTGGTCTGTTAACTTGTCCGCACGCTTCACGCCACCGTAGCCTGGCTGGAAGTTGTCGAAAACGTCGAGATACTGCATGTAGGCAAGACGCTTCACCCCTGGAAGATTAAGATACTCGTCATGCGAACTATGCAGGTCGAAAAACCGGCCATACGCCTCCTCTCCCGAGAACATGCTGTCAACGATGCATGGTTGATCGTCGCCGCCCTTGCGTGGTCGATACCACTGCTCTGAGTTCTCGGCCTGCTCGTTCGGGTACCGAGCATGGTGTTCCTTGATGCTGGCAACCTGCCGGTAGAATTCTTCAAACGGGTCGCCAGTGCTGATTTGAAGGATTTCTTTGGATCGTAGCCCAGACTTGTCCTCGTAGAGAGGAAGCAGTTCGGCTGATTGGCGCTGAATCTGGTCGAGCAATTGTGCGACTTCATGGTCTCGGTTTAAGCGATCACGGATCTAAATAGCGTTAGCCCATGTCGGGGGGGTTGAAGCATTGCGCGATTGGCACTTGCCTGCTTGGGTTCGTCTCGCATGCGATCCGCGATGCCTTGCTCGAGGCGCTCAAGGTCCTCGTGGAGATATCGCTGTTCTTCGAGTAACATTTTTCTTGTACTGCGAATCCGGTCCTCGGTCTTGTGGTGCAACTTTGGTGTAGTTGCTGGCCGGCTGGATGAAGTGAGGCTGTTCGAAGCGCGTACAGAACAGCCGCAGACTCGCAGTCCACCGCGCCGGCCGAAAGTTAAAGCCCGAAGTTTCGCCGCTTTAGAGTGGGACCCCTTATTTTTTTGGCGACAGCCCTGCAGGTCCACTCTGCTTCCATCGACGATTCGCCATAACACCACCCGAATCAAACCTCATCGCAGCCTGCCGACATTCCATCTGCTCCATTGCCGTCCGGCTTACTGAATCCAACAGCAGATACGAGGACCGAACATCCACGATACTTCATCATGGCTGACGGGAGCGGTATCGACCGGAAGGCCGATGAGAAGATTCAGTTCTCCACCTCGAAAGAGGTCACGGTCCATCCGACCTTCGAGTCGATGTCTCTGAAAGGTGCGTCGCAAATCAACAGGCATGCGAGGAGTGGTGCGCTAACTGTACGTTAACAGAGAGCCTTCTTCGAGGTATCTACGCGTATGGATACGAATCACCGTCGGCGGTCCAGTCCCGCGCTATCGTCCAAATCTGCAAGGGCCGCGACACGATCGCACAGGCACAGTCCGGTACCGGTAAAACCGCAACTTTCTCCATCAGCATGCTTCAAGTCATCGATACCGCGGTGCGCGAGACACAGGCGCTAGTTCTCTCACCAACCCGAGAACTTGCGACACAGATCCAAAGCGTGGTCATGGCCCTTGGCGACTACATGAACGTGCAGTGCCATGCCTGCATCGGTGGCACCAACGTGGGAGAAGACATTCGCAAGCTCGACTACGGCCAACACATTGTCTCGGGCACGCCCGGCCGTGTCGCCGACATGATTCGGCGCCGCCACCTGCGCACTCGCCACATCAAGATGCTGGTTCTAGACGAGGCCGACGAGCTTCTTAACCAGGGTTTTCGGGAACAGATCTATGATGTCTACCGGTACCTACCGCCCGCCACCCAGGTTGTCGTTGTCTCGGCGACTCTCCCTTACGACGTTCTCGACATGACCACCAAGTTCATGACCGACCCTGTGCGTATCCTTGTCAAACGTGATGAGCTCACGCTGGAAGGCCTGAAGCAGTACTTCATTGCCGTGGAGAAGGAGGACTGGAAATTCGACACGCTGTGCGACCTTTACGACACCCTGACCATCACTCAAGCGGTCATCTTCTGCAACACGCGACGCAAAGTCGACTGGCTTACCGACAAGATGAGAGAGGCGAATTTCACTGTCAGCAGTATGCACGGTGACATGCCACAAAAAGAACGCGATAGCATTATGCAAGACTTCCGCCAGGGGAACAGCAGGGTTCTGATCTCGACGGACGTATGGGCTCGCGGCATCGATGTTCAGCAGGTCAGCCTGGTCATCAACTATGACCTGCCCAGCAATCGTGAGAATTACATCCACCGCATTGGTAGATCTGGGAGATTCGGTCGCAAGGGTGTCGCCATCAATTTCGTTACTAGCGAAGATGTCCGCATTCTCCGGGATATCGAATGTAAGTTGTCTCTCCTTCTCATTGGTGATTATAGCTAACAGTGTGCAGTGTACTACTCGACTCAGATTGATGAGATGCCCATGAATGTCGCCGATCTCATTTCCTAAGCTGTCAAGGATCCGGACGCACTCAGCAACAGATTAGATAGGAAGCCCTTCGGGGCACTGGTGGACGTATGGTTCAACCAGGCGGTGGAGGAAAGGGGCCTGATCTCCAAGAGGTATGATGTTACCACGACAACCTAATGGGCATGGTCCATGAGTTAACCTTCAATCCATCAGGCCATACCAAGATTGCAGAATGGATAGCGTGTCTGCTCCCGCTTTTGGGGGCAAAAAATGATAGAGCGCAGAAGTCGAACGGCATAGCGAGTCCAGTTCGGGCGTGCCGGATATGGAACGTACGTAGGGCCAGTCATCTGTTGATATCGATGATAATCAAGACAAGAGACTAGTCGACCATATCGAAAGGCATTCATTTACCTTTCGTAGTTCTTACCTGTTCCGCTCTCACGAGATTGTATCCCGCTGTCTCTACCTTACTTTGTTGATGTTTGATTGCTGACATCCGATCGAAGGGTTAAAGAAAGATGTGTCCTTTGAGTCCCCGTCCCGTTGCCCAGTTGAAGCTTGAACAGTGCTAGGATGCTAGAACAGCGTTCCATCTCAACCGGGCGGTTTCGCCAAGTGATTTAGGATAGTCAAAGTCATATTATGATTTCGTGTCCTTGGACTGCGAGACTGCTAGTAGTCCGCATCATCGTATCACGGCATTCGGCCGGGGCAAAGAAAGCCCCGAATCAGACGATGAGTGCCCTCTGATACTTTAGTGCATACCTGACCGGCCTAACCCCAAGGGTTGATATCCTACTTGTCGACCCTTCAGTGTAAAGCAGCACATTGTCAGTGACCAAGTTCTTGGGTGAATTGGGGAATCCTTGCCGGGTTCAGGCCCCGGACCTTCCCTACACGTAGAAACGTGGTACGAACACCCATGATAACTATTGTCTATGGGTATGTCGACCGTTTGGACGCTCTGCAATATAATCTCATGAGTGGTACACATGAAAACCGAGACAGGGAGCAGGACAACTTACAGTGACTGCACTCGATCCATTCTGCCTTTTTGCAGTACCCGTGATACTAGGTTTCCGAATAGATAGATCAGAATCTGGGGAGTCTCCACGTCTCCGAATCCCGAAACATACCTAGGTGTCAGCTGCTATGTAAAGTCAGACCTACACATAACGATCAGAGGTATAACGATTACCTGCACTTAACGGTTAATACCCTGAGCCCATCGTTATTTGTATGGGAGATTGCAATTACCTGTCTACTAAGATAATCGTTAAAATCTCTGCTGAGTAATACGGAGGTTGGGGCCAAAAGTATTCACCACCTTCCCCTTGCCAAGAATGCCAAGGCCGCGAATACAGTAAGGTTCGCACAGTCGCAGCCAGCCACCTAAAACGAGGCACTGTAACGCACAATAGCATGCCCACTTACAGGGCCAATTACAGGGCCATTTCAGTACCCACTCCAGTGAGATTTGCGAGGGAACGCTATTCCCAAAGAAAATACAGTGTGTCTCCCTTCCCTCTGGCTTCTCACACGCAGACAGGCTTGGCACTAGCAGGAGGGTGGTGAATACTTTTGGCCCCAACCTCCGTACATACAAATCGCTATAGTCAGGGGGTTCTCAGAGCTTTGGCCTCCCCAAAATGGTTAGCTAAGTAGCCTTGGGGAACCGCTGAACCTGCGATTTTACTGGTCGAGAGGCGGGACTGTCCCACAAATTACCCTCTTGGGCAGGAAGTCGGTCAACTCTAGATAGCGATAACCTGGAATCAACGGTCAAATTTCTGTAACCGACCCAATCGTTATGTGCAGGTTAGCCTGTAGATATCCCTAGGTGTTGTAAGCTGAGGTAAGGGAGCCCGTGCTTTCTCTTTGCTCTTCGCACAAACAAAACGGCAATTTGAAGCGTGGGCACAAGAGTGATCAGCGGTGAGATGTCGCTGCAAGATTGACAAAGCAGGAAGGTGGGATGGTGCTCGGCTAGTATACCGGTAGATACAAGTCGAGAGAAGATAACATTTCTCGGGTTTGTGATCACCGATAGAAAAACACACCCAGTTCTGCAAACTGCCTTGCGTTAGTGTGTTAACAAATCTCTTTCATCCGAGATGCTGAATTGTACATCGATATTCGTTCGTTACAGGAGGTGTTCGCAAACTTCGCATTGCTTTGCGTTGGCTGCTCTACAACTCGGTACTTGATGGATGACGAGACAGGGTTCCCTTCCCCCCGCTCCTGCCTGTCCTACGTAGGATTTCCCCCGCATTTTCGTTTCGAGGCTTCGGTGGGACGATTTCCCCAAGGTAAGACCAAATCCAGTTTGCTTGTTTGTTAACGGTTCATATGAAGCTCAATATGAGGGATATCGAGAAGCCCTCGAACCACTTGGGTCTCGACTCTGCAGCCCTTTCACAGCGCTGCACATGTGCAAGGCACAAGAAATCGGACTTTTCATCAAGCATCCAGTTACACAATCTTATTTAAAGACAAAGTTTGCACTGTGTTGAACGTTTCAACGGCCTGACAAATGGTGTGCTTGGCAGAGATCATTAGAGCACACCCTCCGCGCTTTGCCAAGGTGAATCAAGCATCTGCCAAGGCGCCTGGCAAGCCACGATCTCGGCCTGGGCAGGGCAAAATCTCCCAAACCGTTTGAACGATGCCGAGAAATTCACGCGACAGTGAGAACATCACGCATCTCGAAGACCTGGCGGATTTTATGGCCTCGGTGGCAATCACCAACTGTTAACCGACCCCGCAGCACCCACTGCCATGTTCAACGGTTCTGGTGTACCGTCGGCGGGAGGGATCAGCGAATGGATACTCGAACGAACCGGGGGGAGGCGCTGACCCGCCACCCTTTCCCATCTCCCGACCCCCCGGCTCCTAGGGCACCGAGGTACGTAGCACACGATGCCCGGCGAGTGACGAAATGCGCGGATGCGGGAGGTGCTTAGAAGAGGAGGAGGGACAACGTTTAATTCACCGATCAATCCCCCATGTGCTAGCCACAGCCGACGGTGAGACATACTTAAAGGCTCTTAACAGGCTCTTAAATGGTCCAAGTCTAAAGTCCAGGCCCAGTCAGCTCTTATTCATGACCATTTCCATTTCCCACTCTCGTCCTGTCCTCCTCCTCTCCTCCCCTCATCATTCCTCATCAGGGAGCCGGGTAATTTCCCGTTCAGATCCGAGGTCAACCGGGTAGTTCTCCCGTCATGGAGTCGACACACGAACCAGCCGACCCCGTCGCCAAGGGAGTACTGGCGACGGCCAAACAGTCATGGAAGGACTTGTTCACCTTCAAGCAGCGCGTCGTCGTGACGAACGAGCTGGGTGAAACATCTACTGAATGGGCCCGCCCAGTGCCGCTGCGCAACCCCGTCAGCCTGCTTGCCCAGCTTTCGGCCCGCGACTGGCTCTTCTTCCTCGTCGGCTTCGCTGCATGGACCGCCGACGCCTTTGACTTTCACGCCCTCTCGATCCAGCAGGTCAAGCTAGCCGAGTATTATGGCACTTCAAAGACGAATGTCTCGACCGCCATCACCCTGACCTTGCTGCTCAGATCGGTCGGCGCCGCTATCTTTGGCATGGCTGGCGACCAATTTGGACGGAAGTGGCCCATGGTGTTCAACATGGTCGTGCTGGGCGTCTTGCAGATTGCAACCATCTACAGCACAAAGTTTGAGGAATTCCTGGCTGTGCGCGCCTTGTTTGGCCTGTTCATGGGCGGAGTGTAAGCTGCACCCAACCGATGCTTCAGCCTGTAAGCTTAGTAGAAGTTTCGCTGACCCCGGCCAGATACGGCAACGCCATCGCCATGGCGCTCGAGAACAGCCCTACAGATGCCCGAGGTCTCATGTCTGGCATCCTGCAACAAGGCTATGCGTTCGGCTATGTCTGCGCGGCCTGCGCCAACCTCGGCGTCGGCGGCGGCGATCAAAGCTGGAAGACCGTCTTTTGGATTGCCGCCGGCCTGTCCATCGGCGTGGGCGTCATCCGATGCTTCTTCCCCGAGTCTAAGCAGTTCAGAGAGGCTCGCAAGGCGGGCAAGGCTCACGCCAGCTTTGCGGATTTCTGGAAAGAATCCAAGATGATGCTGGCCCAGGAGTGGAAGATGTGCATCTACTGCATCATCCTCATGACCTGGTTCAACTTTTACAGCCACACCTCCCAGGACAGCTACACGACCTTCATGCTGACCCAAAAGGAACTCGACAACTCGGGCGCCAGCCGCGCCAGCATCCTGATGAAGGTGGGCGCCTGCGTGGGCGGGACCATTCTCGGTTACACGTCGCAGTGGTTCGGTCGGCGACGGACCATCGTCGTGGCCGCCCTGATGAGCGGCTTTCTCATACCCGCCTGGATCCTGCCCGAGGGCGAGCGGGAGCTGTCGGTGTCTGGGTTCTTCCTGCAGTTCTTTGTGCAGGGCGCTTGGGGCGTCATCCCCATCCACCTCAACGAGCTGTCGCCGCCGGCCTTCCGCTCGTCCTTCCCCGGCATCACGTACCAGCTCGGCAACATGATCTCGTCCCCCTCGGCCCAGATCGTTAATGCTATTGCTGAGTCCCACAACGTCCGCACCGCGTCGGGGAAGTTGGCTAATGGATATGGCCCTACCATGGGTATTGCCACGGCTATTATTGCGACGGGGATTATTGTTACCACGGCGCTCGGGCCTGAGAAGCGCGGCCGTGAGTTTGAGAAGGCCAGGCCGGCTGGCTTGAATTTGCCGCGCGAGGGGGGCAAAACGGTCCCGGATGATCTGGAGGCGGCGGAGGGTAAGCCGCAGGCGGAGCGGTTGGAGGTTGCGAATGAGGAACCGGTGAGGGAGAAGAACTGAGCGGTGTGTTGCTGCTGGGCATGCCAGGCTGGGCAGATGTATCCTGTTATGAAAACCAGTGTTGTGACTTTTCAGGGTACCAGTGTAATGAGTTTCTATGCAACGAAGATAATGACTTTCGATGCAAACAGGTGTGATGAACCCACGGAGAACCTTGTGCCATGGTCGACCATTGAGTGCAAACTGAAACCGATGTATAGAACTGTTCTTGCCCATGCAATGCAGGAAAATTTCCCAGTCAGTTTCTTTTCTCTAACCCTGATCTATCTTTTTGGTACCGGAGGAAGTGAAATGGTAGAGCCATAACCCCTGTTCTCGCATGGGATATAGTGATGTCAAACAAGTTGATGGTTGGCACAGATTGAAGCTTGAGCTGTCTCGGTTTTTGTTGACAACCCAAGAGGGAAATGGGCTGTTGAAAGCCCAGATTTGTGTATCCCTCGCCTTCTCCCTTCCGCTTTTTCACTCCTCTTTTAAACCATTGCCCTCCTATTCAGCAAATTCTCAAGCCGTCTTGCTGGTGACCCGGTGTGGTACAGTGCCAGGTGTGCCAATATGCGAGGGACACAGTGAGTGGTGTTCAGGTGTTGGCTGCCAGTGTCCGAGGAGGCTCAGTTCTCCCTTGGGCGGTTGGTCTCACTGCCAGACATGTGCTGCCAATCGCCCCAGGACTCTTGACTTCTTCGGTAGTGTTCGTCATCCTCGGCGCTGTATGCCGAGGGCGGTACCTCCTGAGCCCGAGGAGGAATATGTCTGACGGATCCAATGGGAAAGGCAGGGGTTTGCTCCGTGTTATAAGCATTGTTTCCTCCTGGCTGGGGACCGGTAACTGTATATCCAGTGGCTTCAACAGACAAGTCTTGTTGCATGCTAGCCGGGAAGCTATGAAGGACTGGTCTGACTGGGCCGTCGTTGTTCCAAGAGGTCGTAAGCTGCTGGAACTGAGTCGGGGGGGCTGGGTAGGGGCTCAAGACAGGGTTTGGAGAAGCATGGTTTGCTGAAGGCCTGGGCAAAATTGGAACTGGCGACGACTGAGGCGGTCGCCAGCCCTGCTCAGCCTGCTGCATGCTGTCCATATCGGACTCTTGACGTCGGCTAGCCTTGGTTGAACGCCGCCGGCGAGAACTAGCAGTTGCAGCAGAGCCACTCAACGTATTTTGAAGCGCCTGCTGCACCAAACGCCTCTCGCAGTCGGTCTGGCTTTTCCTGAAGTTAGAGTAGATCAGCATGGCAATGTCTGATGCCACGGCGTCGGGATATTGGGTGCCGCTCTTTCGAAGCATCTCTGCAACCTGCTCCCGTGACCGTTCTATCATGTGTCGTGTCGTGGACTCGGCGTCCCATGCGACTAGAAACTCGTATGCCTCAACACAGGGTTCGTAATCTGGGAGACATGGTCGGTTAGCCTCGGCGCCAATTCGTCATGAAAGGATGGCCAACCTGGAGATGGGATATCGGTATCATCTGGAAACAGAAGCTTCCACATATCCATCCAATTGCCAATTTTGGTGGTGTGTTTTCTCTCCATCAATCGATTATTCATGTCTACCGTAATCCCATCCTCAACCAGTCTTTCTTGGTGAGACTGGTTGGTAGTTTGGCACGTTGGGCTTGGTGTGCTCAGGTGCTGCACTAGGTCCGCTCTCGTCGCGAATGGACGCCGGCACCGGGGGCTAGATTTGATCAGCCATAAGTAAACATGGTAAGGTAATGACAGGAGAGATGTGTACCAGTCATGGTCGGAAGTATTTTCCCTTTTATGGAACTCTCTCACATGAATCCTAGGTGATACGTGTTAACAATTAGCGAGATATGAATGCGCCTGACGAGAGTGGACGTTACTAACTTGACCTCGCTTGGGTTCCTGAACTGCCTCGAGCATTTTTCATAGGTCCGATGGTTGAACCTCGCCTTGTTCCTCTTGCGGTAGGGGCAGCTCAAGGGCCTATCTTGGTTATGTTGAACGCGGCTGACGCTTCGGTTGCGTTGGGTTCCGCCTCCCTGCTCTTCCCAGTCATCCCCAGATTCCTCGTTCTGTTCATTTGTGTCTCCGTCGTCACCGGCAGTTCGCTCGTTACGGGAATCGGACCGGCACTCTCTGGAGTTATCTTCATAGGTGCTGTCTTGTGCCACCGTTTTCTCGTGGGATGTACCGGCCTGGTAAGCTCGCGACTGTGGGCGATGGGAGACGAGTGCCACAGACGGGTAGGTACCAGTAGTTCCGACTTTAACGCGCACACTGGAAGCATCATTGCTCGCTGGGATCTCCTCGTCGCCACTGGACCGGCGGACTAAGGGCGAGCTCGACCTGGCTGACAAAGCTGCTGTAAAGTCAGCTGCGGTTGAGTTGAGCTGGCAACGAGGGGTTCCGTTGTCTGGATGCCAGTCGTAGGAGTGGTCATCTCGACCCCTGAGGGCAGTTGATAAAGAACGGGATGGCTGCGAAACAGAATGCACGGCGATTTCTTCGTGGTCATGAAGGGTATAGTTTTTGCCAACAGAACGCATCGGAGAGGACGAGGCATCCCTCTCGCCCGGCAAAGGTGAGGCTGAAGGGGAAGAGTTGTGCAACGAGGAAGCGGCTGTGGGCGTTGGATCTTTGCTCTTGGAGGACACGGCCACCGAGTCGGACAAGGAGGCCGCCATGGCAAGTAATGCACACAAGAGCCACAAGTCAATATGGGTTCGCGAGCGATGAAACACGAGGAATCAAAAAGAGCGATATCCAAGCTTTAAATAAGGCATCCCTCAACGGCCTCCCCTGAAATAGGCTGTTATTGGGAAAGAAAAGAAACACACGGATACAAAACTCTAACAAAGGCACGGCTGCTTGGTGCTGATAAGAAGTTACAGCACGAGAACGAGCAGACCTTCGAACAATGAGGCTCAACAGTAGGGAGCTCCGCCTTGAAGCCAATAGGGGCTCTCCTAAGGAAGCTGCTGAGGCTCTTCGGGAGTACTCCCCCCTGTAGGTAACTAACCCAAGCCGTTTGAACGTACAGCGACGGGCCAAGGAAGGTCAGCGGCCCCAAGGTCACGCTGCAGGTCTGCCAGGTCAAGCCTCGACATAATCCCAGTGGCGTCTTATATACCGTATCATGATTGGTTTATTTTGAGATCGATAAACCAAAGTCTGTAAGGAACCATCCACAACACACCATCTCATCGAGATCAGCTCGCGGAGCCGCGGTGGAGTAGAGGCATCCTCAAACAATCATCGCCCAACTTGTGAGGCGTCCTGCCAGGTCAGCATCTAATCTTCACACCGACTTTCCGCAGAACAAATATAAGTGACTCAGAGCATTGTTGGCAGGAGGGAAAATTCACAGCTCGCAAGATCTGCTCCATGGAGCGCGCCCCCCATCGTCGTGTAACGGAACCAACAGGCGGCCAGGTCTGGGTGCGACTGCAACGCACCACAACCTGTTCAAGGCTGAACTAAGTTAACCGCGCGGCTCATAGCAGCACAGAGAACCGCGTTTGTGAAAAGCGACATGGCTGCCTTGGTTGCCTTGGGTTTCTGATTCTGCTTGTATCGCCCGTTAGTGAGCGTGAACCGAAGAGCAAAGACTCTCGAAAGTCGAAACTAAGCCATTAGGGGCAATGCCGTGTAACATATTGGCAAAATTGCAACCAATATCTCGATGCCAACTTGGCGTGTCAAGGCACGTCAGGAAATTTGGGTTGGAGACCCTTGCATTGCTGATTCCGAAAGCGGAGTGCAAGAGCCGTTCACCGACCTAACGTACCTATTTAAAATAAAAATGGCTAAACTGCTCAGCTAGCCCTAACCCTTTGCTTGACGGCCTTCCTAAATAGGTATAGCTGACAAGTGGAAAACCTGGGTTTCTGCCGGCCAAACTCCCAACGGCGAGGTGTTAGCACACTTCTTGCATTTTCCCAAAGGCCGAGCACACCTTGAGCAAAAAGTTGCATTTTCCCAACGGCGAGCACATTGTGGCCCACCCCGCCGCCAAGGAGGGCGCTACACTGGTGGTCAAGGCTGCCGCGGCTGGCCGCCGTGGTCGACTTATGGACGGTATATGCGGTCCGGCGAGGTGCACGAGTATAAGCCGACTGTCCTGGACGAAAAGAAAGCAACCGAGGTCTGGGAGGCGCTGTACAAGACGCTGAATAGGTAAGGTGCATCAACCTGGTATCCTGCTGAACCTCGGGCCTCAATGATTACATGTTCAGGTCCATCAAGCATGTACTACTAGTAGGTCACTTGCAGACGTGGGTTACTCGCGAATAAAGTAGGTACATTATAGGTTTGTGATAACAAGTCTTTGACATATCATGACTGCCTCATATGGACCCTCTGGCCCTTACTGCGGTCTATAAAGTAACCGTTAGGTCCAGCTTCTGAAGAACGGCTCTGCCCTCTTCATCCATCTCCAGTGCTTTACGCGCCGTATATAGTGGAAACCAAACCGAGCAGAGCCCGTACAACATGGATTCCTCCTGCAACAAGTATTCCATACTTTTGAATATATCGATACACAATTCGATATATGCGTCACGCAATTCTGTGGTGTTGTCGGCTATGGCGGTTTCAAATCGTTCCAACTCGGGATATCGCAGCAACAAGTTCCGGATCAGTGATATGCAGATAACCTGGAAGGACCAGAGGTGAGTGTAAACATTGGCGACACTCAAATCTCGAAACCACAACAAGGTATTGTTGCATCCAATGGTGTCTCCGGACGCGAGACGCCAATACATTGGTGCTGAGGAGTCATCGGTGAGTGAACAGCTCCATGCTTCAAGGTGCGCTCTGATGACCATTAACTCAGTGAGCCTCTTGCTGGCAGCCACTATAGCAATGCTCGGTGACTCGTCCTCAAGTGCATCACAGTCTTGCATGGTTTTCGGTAGCTTCGCTGCTAAGCTTAGGAGATTTTGTAACGGCGCGGCCTTGTTATGCTGAAAAGGCTTTTCAACCCAGTCTTGGTCCGCGAAGAATGTTGATTGGCGAAGGATGAAGGCTCTGAGAATCTAATAGGCAAGTTTTGTGAGTTTGAGGAACCTAGGCAAGGCAACTGATGCCCGTCTTGGTGCTGAACTTACCAATAGCGGTCTGAATCCAATGAATAACGTGTGATGAATGCCTTGGCTAAAGAGCTCTGGTGATGATGATCGGATCAGCTCGCTGATACCCCCTACATGCACAAGCCAACTATGAGGGTTGATCGGCGAGAGAACCTATTTGAAGTTATGGGGAGCTGTTAGCAAGTACTAGTAACTTGACACGGAAGTAAGTGTAAAACTTGAAGAGGAAAGCTGTGTTTCTACCTCTAACAAAGTAAGACACATCATTGCCGCTACCCGTTCAGCCTCATAGACATGCCCGGTTATCTGTAGGTCACGCTGCAGCAGACGCAGGGTATGCTCGTAGTGAGATGAGATGGGCTGAAGCAGGTTTCTACCAGTTCTGCGAGCTGTGATGGATAAGGCTAAAGCGTTGATGGCGAAGGCGAGGCATCCATTGGGGGCGCCGGTTGCGCCGACGCTAAGTTCAGGAAGAGCTGTGACCCAAGCGCCGCAAATCCGGGGCGAATGTAGGTTGGAGTTCGGAATACCATGTTGAAGTTCGCTGTGTGGGACGTAGTTGTGGAGGATTAACTGGATTTTATCGTCTAGAACACCTGGCAGTGAACGGTAGACGGGGTAGTCGCACGAACACCTAGTCTGCCATTTCACCAGGTTATCAGGCAATGATGGATCCGAGGGGGACGAGGCGTCACTCTGGGGATATAGAATCGGGTAAGGAGTGCCATGTCTCATGACAAACTGAAGAATTCTCACCAAGTCTAGACTGCACGCCGACCCCTGGTTGTCACATACATAAGCTGTCGAGAACAATGTATGGACTCCAGCAGGATATGCTCTGCTTTCTTCAGACGACGGAGCCTCTCTCCGGCCGTCCCTGGTCAACGGTGAGGGTGCTGCTGACGGGGCACGGTAAAAGTGGTTGTGGCGTAGCCTACACACCTGGATTAAGAGAGGTCGTCTTGAGACTTGACAATCATTGTGATAGAGAGTAGGATAAGTTGATTCAAACTGAGACCCGACGCCGCGAGATGTTGAACTGGGCAAAAACCGGACAATATTTTGGTTGAGTTGGTTGGTCTTGAATTTCAATTGATGGGGCGATGCACCCGCCACCTGTGGCTTTAGTCTAGCAGAGGCTTGCTTGGTATCGCACGGACTTCGTGACGACGTACCCCACCAAGCTAAGCTTCACCTCGGCCGCTTTTGCTCACCTTCCAAAAGTTGACTTTAACGGTATGGGCCGGGGGGTTACTTGAGCAACAGCCGCAACATCTGCACGATTTTTCACCTCGATCCCTCCAGCGTGTCAGCCTCGCATCGCATCGAGCGAAGATGGCAGCCAGCGAAGGGCCAAAACTTCTCTGGAACCCCGACAGCGTTCGAGATGTTGCCGACGCGTTAGGAATATCACTTGCCGATGAGCCTCTGCGGGTACTCGCCCAGGATGTCGAGTACCGCATCGGGCAAGTAATCGTCGAGTCGTTGCGCTTCATGCGCGCCGCCAACCGCACCACCCTCACCGTCCAGGACGTGTCGCAAGCGCTCAAGGTGCTCGACGTGGAACCGCTCTACGGTTATGAATCCACACGGCCGCTGCGTTACGGCGAGGCCAGCCTTGGCCCTGGGCAGCCGCTCTACTACATCGATGACGAGGAGGTCGATTTTGAGAAGGTCATCAACGCGCCGTTACCAAAGGTCCCACGAGACATGAGCTTCACAGGTATGTTTTGCGATGAAGAGCCATATGTTTGACTTACCACAGGCTAATCTCTTGCTTTTCTACTCAGCCCATTGGCTCGCCGTCGAAGGCGTCCAGCCGTCCATCCCCCAGAACCCGACAACCGCCGAAACCTCGTCAAAAGACCTCTTGCCCAAGGGGCCCGGTGCAAATCCCGCCCTGGCTGCCCTCGCTGGCAACGACAACGTCTCCTTCCGACCCTTAGTCAAGCATGTCATCAGCAAGGAACTGATACTATACTTTGACAAAATCCAAGCCGCTATTCTGGACGATGACCCGGATGAGGAGAAGACGCGGCTGCGTGAAGCAGCTCTCGAATCCGTCCGCTCCGATCCCGGCCTGCACCAACTGCTCCCGTATTTCGTGACCTTTATCACCAACCAAGTCACCCACCGGCTCGACGACCTGTTTGTCCTCCGACAGATGATGGAGCTGGCCGAGGCCGTAATCCAAAACCCAAACCTTTTCCTAGACCCGTACGCGAGCTCCCTCTCGGCCCCCGTGCTGACCTGCCTCATGTCGCGCAAGCTGGGCGGCGGGGCGGCCGACGAGGAGCAGGGCGCCGAAGCCGTGCGCGAGCAGTACCGGCTGCGCGAGCTGGCGGCCAGCCTGCTCGAGATGATTGCGCGCAAGTACGGGGCGACCAGCGCGCTGCTGCGGCCCAAGCTGACGCGCACCTGCCTCAAGCACTTCCTCGACCCGACGCGCAGCCCCGCCGTCCTGTTCGGCGCCATCAGCGGCGTGGCCGCCGCCGGCGGGCCCGAGGCCGTCCGCGTCCTGGTGCTTCCTAACCTGAAGAGCTTTGACGCGGCCGTCCTGCAGCCCCTGCACGACAAGGGCGAGGCGCACGCGCTAGAGTTTGAGATGCTCGTGGGCGGCATCATGAAGGCTATTGAAAGCCTTGTGGGCAGCGATAAGGCCGTTTCGAATGGGGTAAACGGGGTCGACCTGTCGAGGGAGACTGAGCAGGTTGTTGAGTTTTTGGGCCCAATCATTGGGCACAGAGTGGGACGGTTGGGGAATCACGCCTTGAACAGGGCCATTCTGGAGGTCCGGCATTTGGACTGATTTTCGCCTACCTCTTCGTCGCTCGACTTATTGGGGATTATAGGCGCATCGGTCAGCACGGCGTTGGCGTTCGGGGGCAGATGGTTTATTAGGTACCCCAGGAGTTCCGGCGTTGCTGTTTGGGAGGGATGGACATTGCGTCACGGCCAACACGGGGATCTTGAGTAAAATGATATGCACCGACTCGGGAGGACTAAACAAATTGCTCGTAATGTCAAGAAATATTGTGACAAAGAGACAGGTCTGCTCGGGCATGGAATATCCATACACAGTGGACTGGTTTAGTGTCCCCTCCTCTCTCCGAACCAACTATTGTAACAATCCCTTCCCCAATCCGATATTGGTCTTTCCCAGCTCATAAAGCTCTTTCCATTGTATTTTACCATTTCTTTCACACACACATCCTGAGCCCACCCCACCCACGGCAGTGATTAGAGGAAGAACGCCAGATACAACCCCCCAACGATGGACGCCCCCCAGAGGTACCACCCGGTCTTGATGATGGTCTGCCGCTTGAACCCAACACCAATATCGAAAAGCAGGTGCCGCACGCCGTTGAAGGCGTGGAAGGCAAAAGGCCACGCGACCAGGAACTTGAGCGCGCCCTTGGCGGCGAGAGGGAGAGCGCCAAAGGCCGCGGCGAGCGAGGCGCTCTCGAGGTGCCAGCCCAGCAGCGGCGCGGCCAGGTAGGCCGTCGCGAACACGTACAGGCCGCCGCTGAAGGCCGAGCCCGTGATGCGCTGCCACGCGGACCCGCCGAACCACGTCTGCTGCTTGTCGTAGATGTCGAGGTGTGGGGAGACCGGTCGGTTGAGGCGCTGTTTGGCGAGTAGGGCGCGGGCTTCGTCGCCTGAGATCTTTTGCGTTGCTACGGGTCTGGATTTTTTGTAAGTGTGAGTGTATGGTTCTTAGAATTGGTTGCCGCTAGGTCTCCACGTCCTAGGGTACGGACCTGATTTGGCTGGTTGTTAAGGGCTGGGCCAACGCCAGCTTGGCGACGTTGGCTGCGAAGAAGGCGTTCGGCTTGCCGGCTACTGCTACTGTTGCAGAGGCACGAGGTTAGTTTCCTTCAATTGTGCATGCGTCATTCCGGGCTACTGAGCGGAAAAGGTCTTGATCGAGCATCGCGTACCTCGGCGTAGCGCCGTCAATCCTGCTCTTTGGGCAATCATGGTTGTGGGCTGGCAGCAGAGGACCAGTAGTGTAGCTATTGTTCTCCGGTTGCGAGATTTGAGGTCGATGATGCCGGCACTGTAAAGTTGCCCATCGGAATCGCCCCGGCAAGGTCGGCACCTCGGCTCCAACGGCCAATGAGAGCCCCTGCAATTCGAATGCATGGACTGATTGGGTGCAGCGGCCTGGTCTCCACTCTACCCCGTGATCAGTCATGTGATGCATTGCCTGCCAGTCGTGCTTATTACCAAATGTGAGCTCCACCAAAATTTCTCTCTTTTTCCCTTTCTCTTCTTCAGATAGTCATGGGCACTCAACCGCGGCATTGCTGCGTTTTGATCGGCGATGCGTACGTGGTATTGGGCACTTTGGTGTCTATGGGTGCTCAGAGAAGAAAGAGATCCGTCGTTAATCACTGTCGTCAGTTATTTCCTCAGTCTGGCGATTGTTTCATTTTTGAGATCTACATTCTCCCGGTCCAAGGAACCATGATGGACGAACGCAAACAAAAACTTTGCTGAGTGTCTGCTCTCTAATGATGGATCGTCTGGTCTATGCTCACATGAATGATGTCCCCATGCCGTCCTGTCTATTGGGTTCCCACTGCCGCTGTATTCCCGGCGCTGCTCGTCTTTTTCCCATCATGCTTTGCTAGAACATCGCGATTGCTTTTGTCCGTCACATCTCGTGATCTATAGGGCGCCTGTCAGCTGTTAGCACATGGACAGTCTGCCATGTATGCCAATCTTTCAAGACAACAACCTTTGACTGATGCCTATCGGAAGCCAGACCGTTGTCTGCTCAATCCTCAGCGGATGCGGCATTCGCAACCGTCCCGTGCGATATCTGCCTAGGGAGGAGTTTGCATCGTGCTGGTAGTGGTGCCAGATATCGATCCAACTTAAAGCGATTCCGTTGCGGTCGCCATATTTCCGGCGGGGAGAGCTCGGGACGGTTCCTCCGATTATCACCAGCATCTTGGCCCAGGTGTTCGCAAGCCCACGAGACGTCGTTAGAGGTCGTATCTTCGCCCTTGAAACTGTATCTCCTGATGAGCTGGGAGATGTTGAAATAGTCTCTGAGTCTGGAAACAAAGGCACTGCAGATGCCAAGGCGCCGGGAGACATGTTGGGACCCGGACTGGCACCAACAAAACCGGGAGTGCCGACTACCAAACTCGGTGATCCACATTGTGGCTCGAACTCAATGCCCCTTCTGGGCCGAACTTGCTCAAGCCTGATCAGGACAAATCCGTGGCAATATTGCTCAACGCCCAGTAACTGAAGCTCAGGCTCCGGTGATAAAATCATCGGATAGTTGCAAGATTTAGATGACGGCAAGGGATTAGCCTGAGGTCCTGAAGATCTTACAGTCAGGGGCGATTCTTTCAGTGTATATATATAGTAGGTATTAATAGATCCCCAACTCCGACTCCCTCCTTTGTGCCTATGTATGCATCTCCAACTCCCGTCATCCCCTTTGTTACCTTGAGCAGATTAGTATGGGCTTACTAAGGTACTTCTATGTTCCCGCTATCTCTTCTCGTCGCTATTGTTCTACGTATTTGAAGTATTTTTCCGTATGTGGCTGTACTTTGTGGTCTAGCACCGTCACTTACACATTTACACATTCTGGTTCTTACCAGAGTCAGTAGCGCGAGAATGCTTCTCCTGCTATCAACATTCACCCTTCCCCTCTCCTCCCGGTTTCCAGGACAGCGTGAAGAAGACAGCATCTGCAAGCGCCATTTGACCTATAATGATACTAGTATCATTTGGGCATCCTTAAAGAATAGAGTGTACCCAGTACAAGGTATTCCTTGGTACTCAAAATCCGTGCTTGCTTTGTTTTGATTACTCTCCAAGTCCTGATGACATTTCCCCTTTCTTTCCGGTCCACGTCCCTTTAACACTTGCTTCAAGTTACCTACCCCCTAGTCACAGCTGGTATTCCAATGTAGAGCATCCCTAACAATGAATGTGCTATACAAGACCCTCCATATCATGCTAGGTCCTTAAATTCAACCTTGTACTTGTACGTACACTATCTCAGTTTGCGTAGCCCTATTCTCCGGAGCATTATTGGGGCGGTAGGTAGCAGTTTTCAAGTTACTGGAGAGTCCAACGATGGACTCAACTGTCATGCGCCACTCTGCGAGTTAGAGATGAACTCGACCCGTATGGTGATGTCGAGGGACGTGTGAAGCGGAGTCGACCCCTTGTGCTCGTTATTGCGGGTATCCTCTCGGCGTTGCGCCCTGAGCTTCATGATTCTAGCATCAGGGCAGCGCCCTTATCCTGGACCCACGATGACTTGATTTCGTGATTATAGGTAGCCTAGCTTCTTGCTTCGTAAAGCTTTCTTCCAGTCTCCTCCCAAACCATTCACAGTCTCTCATTGTTGCTTTCAACATTCAAGCTTTGAATCATCACAGCCTGAGACCGCCTTTGGGCATCCTTCCCGTTTCCCCCGTCCCGAACAATCTGAAACCTCTTTGATACTTGAAACCGGGCTTTGTTTTGCTGCTGGCAGCCATGGCGCTCTTTGACGACCTCCCTGTCGAGCTACTCAGACAGATCGCTGGTGACATCAAAAACATCGACGACCTCCTGAACTTCCGCAAAGCCAGCGCGAAGATCTATTTTGCGACCTCGGACATCTTCGCGCGCCGGGTCCAGAATTTGCGATGGATCGTGGCTCCCCACAGTCTAAACATCCTGGAGAACATGATTGGCAACAACGCCGCTTTGGCCGGGGAACTGCGTGTTCTCCGTCTCACATCGCACTACATACCAATGTTCCATTACCAGCTCTTCAATCTCAGACCTGGCCTGTGGAACATGTTCGCAGATTACAGTGATTCTCCAGAGTGTCAGGCTTTCGTCATGGCCCAGGGTCAGTTCATTCATACCAGGGCCGACTTGGCAACCCTGATACGCATCCTTGACCAACTCCCAAGCCTCGAGCACCTTGAGGTCACCGACGGGCAGTACGTGCGTGACAGTATCGCCAAAGAGTTCCAGATATACGAGCCCAGCAGGTGCTATGGCTTGGACAATGCCGCGAGGGTGCCGGGCCTTCGGTACGACAGCCTGGCATCACCCGTGCAAGTATATTGGACCATGGGCATAGTGATGGGGATGAATCCTGGTATGAGCGGATTGGCATATAATTTCCATCTTGTTCTCCTCGCACTGGCCGCCACACGACATCCAATCCGCTCCCTCCGAATCTGGCATTGGGATAACGATAATGTCATGGACCACGTCTCGGTGGAAGCCGTCATCGTCCGGACCTGGCACTACATCACACCAGACAAGGAGGAAATCCTGAACGGCCTGGCCGCGAGCTTTGCCGATCTACGAACCTTTTCTCTGATGCTGCGGTATAAGCACGACGTACGGGGAGAATACACGGACCAGGAAACCTGGCTCGCCGACATCCTTCAGCAAGCCCCGAACCTGCGCCATCTGTGTCTCATGTTCGACAATACCATCAACAACACCGTCCAGAACCACGCCACCCTGGCCAGGTACTTCTCGACCTTTTCGCAGAGGGTGATGCTGAGAAACCTGCGCGTCCTGGAGCTCCTAGATGCCACGGTCAGATATATCGACGTGTCGAATCTCGTCCGGCGCGTACGGAAGACAATGACGCGTTTCAAACTCTACAATACGGTCCTCGTCGGTGGCACTTGGAATTCCTTCTTCAGGATGCTGCACATCATGTACACAGCCATGTACAACTCACATAACCCTGATTACGATGCTTCATCCGTGCCCGAGCAGATCTGGCTGGGGTTCTCCTGGCTGAAGGAAGTGCGCAGAGCTGGAACATCAACAATAAACGGCCAGGAGCCGGCCGAGTGTCCTAACAGAATCCTCGTCTTCGACCACAGAGGGCGGGACGGCTGCATGAGTTGCCACAACCCAGTTTGGATCCGTCGGAGGCGCTTCTGCATCCATGCCAGCTTCGCCTGCGACCTTAAGCGGCGCGAGATGGAGACTGGCCGTATACCCACCGGCTTACAGGTGCTGTTGGACGCGGAGCTTGAGGATTTTTGAGAGGAGATAATGTGCTGGGAAAGGAATATCGATTGGTGACAGCGTTGCGATGATATTGTACCTGTAGAACTTGGTCACATAATGTGATTGAGTGCCTAGTTCCTAGCAGGAATACAAAGATTTGTCTCACACCGAGTCGTTTCGTGCACATTTCACGTTTGCATGGATGATTAGCGGTAGAAGCCAAGCAGTGCTAGTATATTAGGTTTATATCATATGTAATGCTGGGCTACAAGATGAGCAATGAACTCAGCCACGGTGCCTTTCATTGATGACGAGTGAGCACTTACAACGAGAATGCAAGCCAACTTCAGAGTTCCGTACCATCCAAGTCCTGCTCTCGGGCTGGCCACCAGGGTCGTTACTTCGTGGCCGTGGAGGTAGAGTTTTTCATTATATCGTCGCGTTTGTTCCACCAAGAAGCTATCGTGCTTGTAGGAATTTTGAAGAAATCGCTGGTCTCCTGGAGGGTGACGTCCCGGTATCGGGAGAAATCCGTCTTCAGGACGGCATCGCTGTCACGGGACCCCATTCGACGACGAATTTCCCGGGCCTCGGTTCGCTCCACCTTGTGCTGGATCAGAAAGGTGAGGACTCGGATCTTCTGTTCCCTGGAATAAGTCCTCTCTCGTCGTTTGAGAGGTTTGGCGGCCACGGCTCGAAGCTCCAACGGCTTGGGCTTGGGTCCGCGCTTCTTCTTTATCTTCACCGGGGGTGGCGCCGCTGGTGGTGGCACGGTTGACGGTGGCTTCGACTGGTTGTTTGACGCGTCTTCCTGTGCCGGCAACCGGGTTTCTGTATCTGCGGTGGCCGGCGGCGTCGCAGACGCGTCGAAGGACGGTGTCCCCACAGACTCAATCGGCGTCTGGCTGGCTGAATCCATGGAGATAATAGCAGATTTTGCAAACAAAGTGGTATTGTGCTTCAAATGCGTCGGCTCGACGCATTCGTAGGTGAAAAATCACACGCTGAGGCCGAGACGCACGGGGGCTAGATTGAGGTTTGAAGGTTGAATCGTCAGCTCCTGAGCGCTATTTCTGAATCCCGCCAATTTCTAGTGTCCGGGTAATTCCATAGCATTCAGTAATTTCCATCGGTATTTGACAGTTGTCAGGACCTGGCAATGACCCACTCTTGTTGTGGCATGGCCTGGCAAGATCTGGCAATATCTTCACATCAGCCCGCCAAAGCATCCAATGCCGGTCCGACGAGATCCTTTGTCAGGCTCTGACGGATGTTAAACTCCGTACTTCCGATGGTGACAAATTCGACAACCTCAATGCCAGACATTGTGGCGGCGTGGCCCAAACTTCAAGAAAGATGGCTCTAGCCAAGAAAAATCTCGGCATCATGACTCGGAGTACTAGGATTTGGACTGAGACGAAAGTTACCAAAAGTGTATAGGTAAGGTATCTTCGCCGTTCTTCGAGTTTACTCAGTGCGTCGTATTAGATTGCGACTTCCCACCCGGTCCCATGTTAGCGAGAACATACTTATGTACCTAAACTACGTTCATGTTACGTTGTTAACCATGATGGAAAGACACCAGGAGGGAAGAGTCGATCCATGCACACGGTCGTCACAAGAAGACGGCGATGACGGGGAAAATGGGAGGACTCCAACCATTGGGCTCTCTGCATCAACAGTCTGGCGTATTAACACCGTTGACCTCAGCTCTGACAAAGACGACTGCTGCATTACCATCAACTACGACAACTTGCTCTGACAGCAAGAAGACGCTTCTCCTCGATACTGATGTGACTGATGTCCGGCTTTAACCATCCCTTGGTAAGGGAACCCTTTAGCTTCATGATGGAAACCCTACGGAATTTTGGCTTCTAATTTTGAACTTCGTGGTGCTCAACCTTATCATGTTGACCTAGGGCCAATATGCGGCAATGTTGTGTCGGACCGGATAAGCCGAGAAAACCAGCGAAGAATACCAAGTACCTACCTGTAGGCCGGTCCGGGGGTAGTTATGTCAGGGTATAATTGCAAACATCGAGAATGGACGAGCCGGTTACAGGGCGCGTTGGCGGGTAGGTGCAACGTGGCTACCTAGGTAAGTAGGTAGGTAAGGTACTTATGAAGCAAGCCCACTGAGGTACGAATGGCAATAGGTACGGTATGACTCTAAAAGAGATATATGTTCACGGTAATTCCAGTCTGTGACTAGCAGTAGTGTCGAATCAGCCAGGACGCCTGAGAATGACAGGATCATCAGGGGTATCATGATGTATAACTGACACTGGCTCACAAAGGTAAGGGCATTGAACAATACCTCCTCTCTATACTCGTATCGACTGTGCGGCTGACTACATGCTGATCTGAAGGCCTGAAGTAGATCCCCAGTGTTTGCGGAGCTCCCATTTCTGTTGAGTGTTGCAGTGAGCTTCCTTCTTGAACCGACTGCTGGAATTGATAGTTGGAGCAGTACGGCAGTCTGCAGTCATGTACTGTGGTGGTTGTAAGGTACCTAAGCAGAAGTACAACCACAGTACACACATTTACCTATTACATTATCTCAGTAGGAAGATCAAGTCAAAAGACAGTTTGTGGAAACAGCGGTAGGGCTAGCCGTAGTATTCACAAGGCTGCCTCCCAGCCCCTATCGTAGATGTAGGTATATGAGGTATTATACAAGTACTGACATAGTCTATGGCTGGGTGTATGTACTATGTGTTACGGACACAATCTAACTGGAATCAGCAGGTGTTAACCTCCCTAATTGAAGCGAAGCTTCAATGATGAGCTTACGGAGTGTGAATACACGTAGTGAGCGAGGCATTAGCTTCGCTTTACTTAAGAAGCAGTTTGCCAGGAGTTTCTGCAGCTCTCATTGGTCGCCACACTTCCCGCCAAGACCGGAAGCAATTGGTCGCCACAAGACTTAGCGCGTCTTGGCTGCATGCACCGCCACAGCATCGCTGCCATGTATCCTACGCCTGAAAATGGCTGCAATTGACATCTGCGCGGTGCTGTTAGGATGGATGTTTTGAACTTCTGAGAGTGAGCGCCGTAGGAAAAAGATCCGCTGGCAAAAGCGCCGCAGGCAAAGCAGGGGGTCCCGGGGGGCGCAGCCCCCTGGAAACGGGGTATCGGCCTTATGAACTTCGAATATCATCGGCGCCGACCGCTGGGCTGGGCCGGCATTCAGTTACACCCCCGGCCGACAGATCGGAGCTCCCTACGCAGATTCAAGCCGGGTTAAGAATTGAACATAGGTATAGTAGATTTGACGATATCAGGCCGTTACAAGCACATTCGCAGGGTAGTAAGTAGGCAGATCCATCAGTGCCTAGGTAGTGGAAATGTAGCTTACTGGCTCACTGTGAGCCAGTAAGCCAGTGAGCTCACTGGCGGGGCTTACTAACTGGCTTCGCTTCACCCCTACGTGCAGCAGAAAGAGCTTGCGCTGGGCATGTCAGGGTTTTTAAGGGATTAATGTATGTAGTTGATGTAGCACATTGATGTGGTGCTACAATGCGGCATCACTCACCGAGAGAGCTTGCATGGTGCTACCAATGATCCCAATCGGGCATGAGAACCGATGAACTCATTGGGCGCCATCGGGGCGTTGCGGTGTTGCTGAGGCTGGAGGCAAAGCCAATTTATGTAAGCCACCCCCTTCCATCAGCCCACCCTTTGTCCGTTTATTGGTTTCCTTATGTAGGCTGAGCTACTCGTCACACGCCCATGGCGCATGCTGAGCACTCGAGACCATTTTATTTCTGGGTTCATGGAGTACTGTTACCTCACAAGGCATACTTGGATTTGCCGTTCATTGTACGGAGTATGTACGTAGGTTGTTTTCAGCCACCAGCTGCTCGCACAAAGGAATTGGTGTCATTTGCCCGGAATGTGAGCGTTAATACCAGGCCGAAATGGGCCATGTTGGTATCAAGTTTGAGGCCATTTAAGGATTCCATAGGCACCCTGCGTGCGAGCGGACTTTGGAGCCCCTAACAGTGCATGGAAGCAAGTTATGTGAGTCGTGCCAGGCAAACGCCCAAAATATCAGCCGTTCTTGGGGCATTTTATAGGAACTTATTCACATCCACTCCAGAGGAGTTCGCAAGGTCAGCTCACCTGCATCCTCGAAGCTGCAATGGCGGTTGCAGTAAGCCGAATGAGACGGCATACCCATATATCACGACTGCGATCTCGTCACAGGCGGAAGACGCCCAAGCAAAGCGGAACAATTGCACGACTCGAAGATGGCTGGGGTCATAAGATAGACCTCTCTGAGACGACGACGGCGCCAGCGATCGAGGCACGGGAGCCATCACCGCCGGAAGAGCAAAGCTGTACCGCTCATGAGCAGAGCTCATCAAGGTACGAAACGTTGGTGCCGATGCGTGGCATGGATGAGTGGGCACTGTGGAGTTATCTGGAGAAGATGTTTGGTGATGATGCGCATTTCAGCGTTGTGGTAAGTTGAAGCCAAATGAGTCCCTACGACTAGGAAACGCCTTGGGCTGGAAATACTGAGAACCATATGTAGCAGAGGCGGGACAGCCTGGAGATTTCCACACCACTGCCGTTGACCCCAGGGGAAATACTGAGAAACTGCAGATTTGCATGATACGATCGTATCACAAGAGGCTGGCTATGGGGCTGAAAAGACGTGGCGTAAATATTGGTGATTGATCGATATCCGCACTTAAAGTGTGTAATTACGTTAGCATTGACCTCCCTGAATCGAAACGTTTAAGAGTGATGAAATGTCGTCGTGGTTTTTGTGGTAAGTAAGGAGCTAGGTAGAGCCTAGTAAACGTTAAGCTCCTGCCTTGAGGTTGCCCGTATTGCAGCTGGTGCTATGGAGGTAATTCGAACACCAGGCTCAAGAGGGAAATTCGGCGACGAGAAGGTCAGCCCTGGGGGCGGGGGTGGCTGCCAGCTGGAGTTTTGTGTGCATGTCCCTCCGGGCGCTTGTAAACCGGGCGCAGCGGCCCTGGCGAGTGGAGGCGAGGAGGGCAGGTGCACTCCGGGAGGCCGCTCAAGTTCTAGTTGGACATACGGTACCGGCCGTTCTCCTTATAACTAGAGGGCAGGTATAAGTTATCCACCGGTGTCTGAGGCTTCAAGGATCGGAGGTCGTTCGGCAAGCAGTACTCCGTAGCAGAGCAGGGCATTTGACGATGCGGAGCAGTTTGGAATCCCGCCACCCACCTTCCCTTCAAATATCTGAGGCTTCTGAGCAACTCGAGGTGTCTGAGCAACGACCAGCAGAATTGCACCGATCCGAGACCGCACTGAGTGGAAATCGCGCGCCTTCAAAACGCCGCAAACGGAAGTCGAGACGGTCTCGAAACATTACAAATAGCGATGCAGCGGGTCCGGAAAAAGCACCGCTTAGAACCGAGGCAACAAACAGCAACCCACTAAATTTCCCCGCTGTTGGGGACCAATTTGACCCTGGGGAGCAGGCGGGGCAGAGCTCAGTGCCGATTTCCAGCGCCGTCAGCACGCAAAAGCTGCTGCGGGACTTGGATAGGGTACCCGGTGGGGGTTCGTCTCAGGGCAACGTCAGTCACCGCACCAGCGAGAATCCAGAAGCTCACCGAAACCGCTACCTGGGAATTCCTGGACCTAATGACCACCTCTTGTATGTACAAGGCCAGAATGAGAAAACGCGCTTGCTCTCCGACTTCACCGTTTGCAGCGATCGAGGTCTGGACCTTGAGGGCCAGCACATTGCCCGTGTCGCCGGATTGCAAGAAGCCATCAATTACGAGGGAATCGCGTCGCCGTATAAGCTGATCAAAAAGATTCGGAACGATCTTGAGCCCACGCTGTCGTCCTTCTTTGGCCGATCCGAGTCGTACTTTCTGCCATGGACAAAGTTGCACAGCGTCTTGAGCACGCAGACGGTTCTGAGGCTGCTCCGTCACTTGAACAAGAAAATAACAGGGGCAAGTCAACGAGCAGACAACGATCTTCCCGCACTGGCCAGCAAAATCGCGCCGCCCCTTTCTAAGCTTGGCAGCGGCCAAGGGGTGAATGGCCAACTCCGGCGCACTTTCGCAACGTTGATTTTGGTAGGCCGTGAGAGCATGGTGTTTGCCTTTGTCGACGCTGGCCTGGACGATGGCTCGCTGCTCGAAATCGACTTCGACGGGCTGACTCCAATTTCCAACACGGAGAAAGCTCTGAAAGATCTCTTCCGTGGCTGGAAACCAAGGGAAATAAAAGACTTCAAGTCTCTGCGCTGGCAGCTTTCGCCGACCTTTTTTTCTGTCAAGAGGGAATTTGGATCTGGACTGGACACGGATTTGCCAGACGGTATGGTCCACCAAGGGGTAACCCTCGTGAAACGCGTGCGGTACAAGCTACGGTCTACTGAGGAAGTCCTCCCCTTTCAGTCTTCAAAGAGGCCGGCCATCTCCGGTGGGTTTGCGGATGTTCGATTCTTCAAGTTGCACGAGGACCAGCAAGACTTGCCTCGTTTCACTGTCTGTTCTTCCATCCTGCCATAATGCATCGAATGGTAACTAACACCATCGTTACAGCGACGCGGGAAGGACAACGACATTGCCGTCAAGACACTGAAGAATGAGGCAAAGGGCACTGCCGAGCAGTTCAAGGCTTACGAGAATGAAGCGTATGTCATGGCGCGCATAGCGTCCGCCATTGATACACCGCACATGGCAAAGCTTTTGGCAACGATTGAGGTCCCCCGCGCTGCCCCAGATCGGGAACGCTCCGACTATCATATCGTGTTGGAAGCCGCTGATAGAACGGTTGAAAAGCTGTGGTGTAGCCACGAGTGGTGGAACCAATACCCTGCTCGGGGCATAACGGATCTGGATCTTACCAAGTGGGTAGCAAGCCAGTGCTATGGGCTTGCCGATGCCCTCTGGAAGTTTCATGTACTGCCAAAGAAGGACGGTGACCTGAACGAGAAGAGGCGCGGATTGCATTGCGACATCAAACCCGACAACATTCTTCATTACGAAGAGTGGGCGATCCAACCGAACGCCAACCCAAAGGCTACCGTTCACGAGCGACTTGGCGTGCTTCAGCTTAGCGACTTTGGACTAAGCAGTTTCCACTCAACGAGAAGCGTCGAAAATCATCGTATCGCTGGCGACTTCCTGGACTATGCCGCACCTGAGACCGATTTCTTGCTCACGCACTCCCCAGCCGCCGACATCTGGCATCTCGGGTGTTTATTTATGGACTTCGCCACTTGGTTGCTGGATGGCCCCGAAGGCTACAAGCGGTTTTGCGACGGGAGGCTCACCACGGTATTGAGAGGGCGCCGCTGTCGGTTTGCCACCTTCACGCAGGATGTCGTTAGTGAAAGCAATGAATCAACGGCCGCCAACGCCCTCTCGCCCAGTCGGACCCCGAAGACTTATGTGGACGTAAACAGAGCCGTCCTTGAGGTATGTGTGATGTGCACAGAGTGTGGATTTTTGTTATTGCTGCTAATCAATGTAAAACAGCAAGGTACATATCTCTGCCAGCACAAGAAAAGTTCGGAATTCATACGGGAGCTTTGCCATCTAGCTATCAACTACATGTTGGTGATGCGAGATACAAACCAGAAGCAAAAAGTCGTCGAGTACAGGCAGGAACCACAAGCCGTTGCCGACAGACTGACCAGCAAACAAGTTGCTGAAATCCTGAGACGATCCATCTCTAGAAGCGACGAGTACTTCAGGCCCTCACGTGCCGACATCTTGCCATTTGAGCATAATGGCTGGAGACGTTCGTCCCTTTTGTTGTACTACGATGTCAAACAGCTGCAGAGAATCAGCCAGAAGGTCAGGAGTGGGTTGGACCCTGAGGAAGCTGGCTTGAAGATGCCCGGCGTGACGGAAGTCAGGGGTGAGGTAGAGCCATCCATGGTCTAATGGGAGTTGCTACGTCAAGCTTGATAACTTGATATTATTGGGTTTCGAGGGGTTTCTAATAGCTTTAGAAGGATAGACGGCGTAGCCAGGCACTGGTGTGTATCTTATTGAGTATATTCACTAGACCACAAGCTGTAGGTGGGTGCTGAGATGCGCAAAGACCGTTGCAGATAGAATACCTCATTAGGTATCAATTTCTACAACCACCAGGCCGATGCACCAACCCCTAGGAGTAGCTACCACTGCGCCTTCCCGCTTTGTTTACAAGTTTCTCAACTTTGGTACGCATTTCCTGGTCATGGAACTTGTTTAGCAAAATGCACGGTAACATTAGTTGCCCCGGGCTCAAGCCTTCCTTGCTCAGGGTCGCAACTTACAGGCGTAAGGGGCTGAGAAGTGTAGATCAGGGGACTTTGGTTCCTGGCAATCTAGATGTTACAAAAATCCGTTGGTAAGCTAGCGATCATTGTTCAAAGCTCCATGAACATTATAATACAAGCGACGTACAGTAATCGTGAACGTGATCATGTGCTGATTCTCGAGGTAGTTCTGTAGTGCCTCATGGACAGCAATGTCGTCAAAGTTGGAATCAGCGTAATAGGGGATGACATAGGAGTGCCGATGCTTGGAAGACATGATGGGAATATTGCAGATAAAAGGTCCTCTTAGTATGATCGGAGACAGGTAAAATCAGGCAAGGACTAAATTGCCAAAGCAGTTTAACAGTACTATCGGATTCCAGGGGTGGCAAACGGCCAGGCCTTGGGGAATTCTCGTTAATAAGTCAATATTTACGAGCACGGGGTTTTGAGCGCTCCCAACTTGATCGGTTCCAGTTTCATCGGCCATGCTGTTGGTTGAGGGACACTTTAAACCCAATAAAAGCAGGGCGAGCCAGCGGGTGCATACGCTTGCATGCGTGCGGGCCTGAAGGTTGAGCAATAGGGGCGCGACATGGTAATTAGGGGAGACATCAATGGTCCATCCGGAGGAACGCCCGAATGCAGTGACCATCCCAGTGGGCGAATCTGAACTTCTGAAGCAGTCGAGCTGCAGAACGGGTCTCTCTGCTACACAGATTATTCAGTGATAGCCGGAGCGGCGGAGCCTTGTCAATCTGCATGTATCAGTATCAGACTATCAGATTGCACAACATGTCGTGGTGGGCCATTCACGAAGTTGTCGATGGCTGAGGCTTGGTCGGCGAGGAGAAATCACATATAGCTGCCTTGAGAGGCTTGTGATGAATACATATGTTCAACACCTGAATATCGCCAATAGTAGTAATGAGAGAGACATTCAGACTCACTAGCAGTAGAAGAAGATGCGAATCCAGAAAACCTCACAATCGGCACATGTAAGTTTCTCTTGCTCCGCAATGCACTGAGCGCAGTCTATACCTTCCCAAAGTTAAAAGGTAGATACTTTTGATAAGGAAGGTACGAAGTACTGACCGCTGATTTATCTCATCAAACCCCTCATTCACAATAGTAGTCCCACAGCACTCCCAAGGATCTTTTGACAGCGATGCTCCGGTCCTTTTGAGCCACTTCTACGATACACTCATCAATCGCAATCATTCGTCCTCCCACTTACCTGTACAGTAAGGTATCTAACTGTATCACTCACCCCCCACCAAGAACCATGCCGTGTGACCCAAGTTGGGCGCTGGCTGCGCCTCCAATGGGACCAAACGGGCGTAGAATCTAAGCCCATTTGGCGACCCAAAATGCGCAAACCCTATTCCAACCGGATGCGCCTCGACGACACGTTGCGAGCGCACACGGGCTGCCTCAGTCGGGCCATACGGATTGAAGAAGAAGGGTCAACCATTAAGACCCACGCTTCAAGACCTGCGAAGAAGAGTTGCGCCTTGAAGCCGGAAAGAACTCTGTCATCTACTTGCCAAGCTACGTCTCCCGCGGCCGGGAATTCATCCTGACGGTGCCTGAAACATCAAGATTACCAACTCAGGGGGCTAGAATGAATTCAATATGGAGTGGGCACGATATCCTAGCCTCTCACCTGCAGAGCCTCAACTTCTCCGCGACTCCTCTGACAGAGAGCAACAAGTTGAAGCATTGGACGGGGAAGTGCTGGACATTGGACTCGCGATCGGGACAATGGGTATGTGTACAAGTAGATATTTCCCATCCTACGACTTATTCGAGGTAGAAATGTTGAGAAACATTCAACTCAGGCGCAAGAGCAGTCGCAGCAGCAACTTGGAGATACACAAGCAGCCCAGGCACCGCACAGCCAACCCAACTGGCTCAATGTCGTCGATGCCTCATCCTTTAACGATGATAAGTGGGATGCCTGGCTTCAAAACCAAACGGTAATGAAACCAGTGTCTACCAAGCTGACCGCCGGGTAGAAGCTAACACGCAACTCCCCGTAGCTCCTGGATGCTACGTCTTTGCCGCCGAGCGGTGATCTTTCGGAAGATCGTCTCTCTGTTGTGTATGAAGGCATACCTATGCTTCTTCTTTCTATTTTACTAGGACGGAGCTAACAAGTTTGGTCTAGTGTAACATCACCTGTACATCTTACGGGCTTCAACAGAACCCAAAGCGGGCCAACAGCCCTCCGATACGTTTCCCTTCGACAGGACCGATTCCTGTCCATCCTTCAGAAGCTTGCCATGCACCGAGGCTACCTCGCCTTGTTGGAGGAAGGTAGCCCCTGTGTTATTAAGCGCAAGTCGACGGTACAGGGTCGAGCTTGTGAAGGCATGCGTTCTTCCCCTGAGCACTTCCGCATCCTTAACCCTGATCGTTACTAACTCCGACATAGTCTACATCTTGCGGACATCCAACGGGGTCAAAGGCCAATCCGCCATCACAGTAACTCACTTCCCTGCTATCACCGTCAGCCCAGATCCCGCCTTGGCCACTACTGGCACAGGGGTAAAACTAGGAGCAAAAACCAACGCGCTCATCGCGGGCTTCGACGAGGAGGACCTGGAGGTGCTTACCTCGTACCTCTGCAATTTCTCCGGTACCTTCCCTTCGGCGGCCGCACGCCTCATCATCGCCTTCCTCGAAGTCGAAAAGAAGAAGCGCTTCGACTTGGTGCGCACCGCGGTCCGCGACATGCAAGCCGTCATCCACGAACTTACCATCGAGCCCGTGGGGGTGAAACCCTCGATGCGGCGCGCTCTGAATAAGACAGTCGATCTGTACTTTGGGTGGAACCATCTGCGCACCGACGGGCTTGTGGCCTGGCGGGACCAGCTCAAGCTTCTGAGGGGACGGCTGGCGGCTTCTGGATCTGAGCTGGAAACTCAAGGGGACCGGCGCGAGGCGGGAGGAGAGGCATTAGGAGGAGGAGACTTGGAAGATGATGAGACGGCGGTGCTGGTGGAGTATCTGGACCAGCTGACTGCCCGGTACGACCACCGAATTGCCAGGTGTGATATGGTCCTGCAGGGGGCGTCGCTTGCCTACCAGATGGTAAGTGCCGGCTCTAGGATGACTGGAGCCTGTAGTTGTACTCAGAAACCTCATTGGAAAGGAAAGATGGTAGGAACACTAATACGGAATATGTGACGGCAGGAAACGACGCAACTCTCAAGAAAGGACACCGAGATTGCAATTGGCGATGGCAAAACTATGAAGGCCATTGCTGTACTCACCATGGTTTTTCTTCCCGGCACCTTCATTGCGGTATGTCCCCCTTCCCCCCTTCCCGCCAGGGACGCAGTGTTGATCAAAAGTGCTGATATGGTTCCAGACGATGCTGGCAGTCCCACAAATTGAAGAAGCACTGAAACCGGAAAACAATGCTAGCTTCTCAGACAGGACATGGCTGTGGTATATCGTACTCGCCGTCCCCGTTACTGTTGTTGCACTCCTGGTTTACATCTCTTGGGAGTACCTTTATAAGAGAAAGTACCTCAAGAGTTTGTTTGGCGAAAGTGGCAGTGAGAAGAATGACGAGGTCGAGATGCTTGATCTTGAGCGGGGGAGGGGAGGAGTGGCCCCTTGATCCTGCTGGTGGCCATAGGGGAGCAGGTGCTGCTTGGGGTTTGGCGTTCCTACTACAATCGATATGATACCTGGGATGATTTGATCTTCTCCGAGCCATGGGCGATCTGGTCAAAGCTACTAGTAGATGCCGGGCTTCCATTTTGTTACTTCGTTGTCCACAGCTTAGGTACGCTCGATTCGGAGGCTCCCCGAAACGTTGAACTTTGACGGATCTGGAGAATCCTAGGAGGCGGCAGTGTAACTCGAAGGGCAAACAGTCGTGCAACACCCTTATGTTTTCCTAAGCAAAAGTTCCGAGGGACGCTGCGAAACAGCTTCAAACCACTCACTGGGACTCGTCCTTGTCGACCGATCCCAAGCTCAATGCAAGCCCAATTGTGCCTGGAAGGAGGCTTTATGAGTGAGCATACCTGAGCCTGTTTTACATACTACTCTTTACATGCGACATTGCTTCAACTAGACCCGTTTTATCTACTTCCAGCGTGGATGATGCGATTCCCTCATGTTTCCAGCGTGCGGCGCAGCCCTATGTAGGGCACAGCAGTCTCAACGAATTCCCGCACGCCACAGCGAAACACTGCGGCGTCAGTCACTCAGTGCCGCTCGCAAGAGCTTATTTTAGGCGGTTCCATGGCCCAGCTTAGTGGTCTGCTGTTGGGGGGAATTCTCCCACATCATGATCATCCCCTTGCCAACCCGGCGGCGCACGCGACCACATGTCTCTGACCCGGGCCGCGACGGGCACCGCCAATCTTGACCACGGCCCCTCTTATAAACTCATCCATGCCCCAAGCGGGTCGGTCGGGTCTTTCATTTCCCTTCGTGAAGTAGGTCGCCAGATCGACAACCATCCCATTCTTCACCCCCGTGCCCATGGTTCAGCCGGCGCTGCCATAGCCGTTTTCTCTCTTTCCAGGTTTTCTTTTCCCACTCCTTGGGTAGAGTGTGTCGCTGGTCGATATTTCCATTCCATCTTGTCCTCCTTTTGTTTGTATCCCGAGTTTCTTCTCCGTATTCCCGCTTGCTCTCCCCGGCATTCTGTCGACACATGCATGCATGATCCATCCTACATCATGTCCGCCACGTTCCCGCAGACAAGCCTGAAGCGGAAGCGGAGTCTCTCACGGTCCGTCATCAAAATTATCCAGCGCACGCTCCCGCACCTGGTCAAGAGCAGAAGACGATCGTGGACGACAAACGCAAAGACGCGGATGCCGATTGATATGTGACGGACTTTCAGGGGACACTGGGGTTTTCGAAACGGACTCGGAGATATTGAGGACTGGGACGCATCTGCTCAATGTCTTGTGCTGGAAGGGGTGATAAAAACAGGAACCCCGATTGCTCGTTGCAATTGAGGCATGGCCATTAGCCTTAGATTCTCAACAAGGGGCTGCAGTCCAGGGCCGGTTCTGATTGTTTGGTGTGTCCAGCGAGCGTGGAAACATCTGAGCCAAGCCTTGTCGCGGACAAGTGTGCTCGTTTGTGTTTGATACCTGGGTGGAAGCGATCCGGTCGTCGTGCACCCTTGTATGACTTTCGCGCAATCTTCTCGGGACTCTCGAACAAACGATGGTTAGACATCCGTTGGACGGTTGACGACTCTCGACGTTTGGCTTTGGATGGGGCTCAACGACACGGCACAGCATACGGGGCTGACAAAAAAGGGGGGAATGACCGATCGGTGTGTTGATAGACGGTTAGAAAAAAATGGAATCACTTCGGCCACGATACCATATTAGACTGGCGTTTTGGGTGGCTGGGCTTTTGCTTCCATTTGACTTCTCTGGCCAGCCTGGCGAACTTCACACTGGGGCAGGAGCTTGAGACGTTCAGGGTCGGCTAGGAATAGCTTCGAGGTGCATCCGTCACAGGGAGGTATATAGAACTGTCAAAAGCATTTGAACAAAGCGATTCAGGCAAGACCAAGCTGTTCGAGCAGTGGTGAAGCCGTACAGTCATCTCTCACACGAAATGGTGATGTGATCGGCTAGGCAAGCCGTGAGATTGCAGTGGTTTGTCCTTCATACTCTCTTTCAGTGGCAAACAAGACAGCTAGCGGTTTCCGCTGCTGCTTCAAGCCGGGTATCATTAAACTTCTATCGTAGTTCATTATTATAATTAGCATCTGGTATTGATGAATCGCCCGGCCCGCCGGTCCCCGAGTAGCCAGCAACTGTCCGGCAGTCGAGATAGTTGTTCTCGATAAAGGGCGTCGCCACTTGGACTCCGTACACCTCCTTCCACTCTCTCTCACTTTCCTCAAACGGGAATGTAAGGGCCTTGACCCTCCCTCGGACGGCTAGAGGCGCGTGTTGTCCGACCGACATGGTAGTGTTGAAGAGACGGATCATATTATCACAGGATGTCGCGTTCGCAAACGTTGGCTGATTCGTAATGTTCTTGAAGAGCTCCAGCGGATAGGGGCTAGAACTTAGGCCGGGGAGCCGTGCCATTTCTAGCTCGATGAACTCGGGTGAGGTCAAGCTCGAGCCCCTGAAGTACGTAGCACCGTTGGGCAACGACCGATACGCATCGCAGAGCGGCTCATACTCGGCAGGAGATACTACCGTGCCATATGCCCGGGATCCCTCCAGAGCAATGCTGTTGGCCGCACTGATGAGCTGTGCCGGAGCCCAACGGAACGAGGAATGGCCGTCACCCAGGAGGTCCAAGAACGGGAACTCGAATCCCACACGCTGGAGAACATGTTAGGACAGACAACGGCAGCATGCTGAGCCGGGCCACTGACCGAGAAGTCATCGATTGTGATGCCGTACGCACGGAACTGGACATCGTGGTCGTGTGCAGCCTGAACCAGCACGGGGTACATGCCCTTGGGGAAGTTGGGCACGAGGGCGCGGTAAGCGCCTTCAAGGATGCCGTACTGGGGAGGAATAATCCTGCGAACAGTCTCCAACGAGATGGGGATGATGGCCAGCGTCGCGTTGAGAACCCCGGTGGCATTGTTCGGGAACGATTCGGCCAGTGGGTTTGCGTGATCGTAGGACGTGCATACAGACGGGCCCTGCACCGCGCTCGACTCTCCGTGGTTCAGCAGCAGGGAACACAGAAGGAGGAGCACGACGGCCGAGACATCGACGAGCGAGAGCTGGAATGGCATCATGGATCGCCGTTTCTTGCTTGATGATGCCCAGACAAGTCCGATCTGCTCCCGGAGGTGCGACAAAGCGAGCAAAGGGAAGCGCGGCATGCTGAGAGGCATGCCGGGCAACTGGCGAAATCAGGGGATGACGGCGGACTCAAGTGAATCCGCTAGCCACCCATACCAAGTTCAATTGGTCAAAGGACGAACGAAGGAGGGGGGCCAACATAAACATAAGGTAGAGGGAAGGGAGAGGCAAAGGCCAAGAGCAAACGGAACAGCAAGCGGTCTTTGGAGCTTTTAGACTCGAAGGCATTCCCGTCCCAGACAGATGGTTGCAGGGATCCCGGGCGTGGGGCCAAACGGAGCGAGCCTGGGATCTGTAACATCGATCTGGAGGAACATCCACCAGACGGGTGAAGGCGCGTCAGAGTCCGTAAAACGGTACTGAAGCTTGCCGGTTCACCGCGGCAGTCCATCGTTTCGGGAGTAGAGGGAGACACGAGACCAGATTTGCCCGGGGACAGGGTCAGTTGTTCCGAGGCACCTTGTGTCGCGGCAAGAGACTTGACATGTCAAGGATCGCCGGGTCCTTGGCCGCAGGGTATTCCTGGCAGCCGGTGCGGCGCATCCCATGCCTCGACCGTCGGAACCGTAACCTTCCTTTCAAAGAAAACGCTTGCCGCGCTCAGTTGTGGAAGTTGAGATGATCTACGGGTCCAAAATTCGGCGGGTGCAAAATGGCCCAATGTCTTGAGGCGCGGAAAACCGGCTTGCCGGCATCAATAGCCCGCTGGCTCTGCTGCACATCCGCGCTATTATCTTTTTACCATGTCGCGCGACTGTTGCTTGGAGCCCGTCGTTGTTGAAGGAATGTTCCCGACTGAGAAAGCCACGGCCAGAATGTTGGCCGTGTTTCGCCGGATGTTGAGCCTTCCGGTGCACGAATCAAGATCGCCAGCCAATTGGGAGGCTCGTCAATCGGAGCGGGAAGTCGAGCAAAAGTCGCATTTTCCCGCCACGATTCCGCTTTGTTTCCTCGCGGCTCGTTGTTCCTATGAGGCCGGTGATTGCGTGGGTCTTCTCGACGCAGCTATTCGTTGAATCCTCATCAATTGTTGGGCTCTACGAGTACCTTAGACACAGGCCGCCGCTGCCATCTGAGGTGGAGCGAAACATGCACCGTGGTAGATCACAGTGTGTGGGACGGAGCCGTGAATCAAAACCCTGCAGGCGCCAGGGGCACCTGGTGCGGGCGGTGTGGTCCGGCAGATCAGCACTTTACCAGCTTTATTGCAACGTCATCACATCCGAAAGACGCAACAAAATCTGCATCCCGTTGCACTGTACGAAGTTATCAGCAAGATTCCTTCAATTCAGAGGTCGGCATCTTCCAACATCGACATCTAAATCGCGCTTGCGTGCAATTCTTCAATCTCTCCCAGGAATGCGTTGGTCTTTAGCTTTTTGCAATTGAGACGGTTTACCCCGGGGTTCTGTCGATCCGTTCCAGAAGGTGTGAGGGCGGTGTTTCAGAGGTGCCACTGACGATTAAGCATGAAAATCCTCGTCCAGCCTGTCATCTGCGAACGGTCGGCAGGCAATTCCAAACAACTGAGACCAGACTAGGGTGTGGAAATGAAATTTCACGATTTTTTGAGCAATTCGCAATTCACCCGGCTCATGAATTTCAAATCTTTCAGACAGGGTGATTGTTACGTAAGATAGGTACTGAACAGGCCTAAGTTTAGGCCTGACTTGGGCCTGACTTGGACCTGGGTGGGCGGTAAGAGTGCGAAAACTATGGAATTAACCCTAACCCGGAGCAGACCGCCTGCCGTATTGGGTTAGCGTATTTGGCATGAAATTTCCATTGCGATTCAAGGCTGACTGTGAAATGAATTGCAAGGGAGGGTCGTGAAATTCCACACCCTAGACCAGACATGTTACTCCATATTCCCAAAGCTACATCAAACCAGAAGCCTGCGCAATAATTTGCTAACACACAGTAGGTAGCTCGAAGCATTGGCGGATGCCTACGGCTTCGTCCTCAACTCGCCCCCATTCACACTTGCCGGACCCTCCCACTGTAGCAGTTCCGGCACCTTTTTCTGCAGCACGGGCAGCCAAACCGTGTCGTACAGGCTCGGCCCGCCACCAGCCGCCTTGCTTCCGGGTTCCAAGCTGCCGAGCTGCCTCTGGTCGGTACAGCAGGGACTGTTTGTGCCCCAGAACGGCCCGGCCGCCCACGCCGTCCAGCCGATGTACTCGTCGTTGGCAGCCATGTAGTCGAGAATCCCGTTCAGCATGGTTGTGCATGCCGTCGTGTTGGAGCCACCAAACTCGGTGATGAACGCCTTGAGCTTGTGCTCCCTCAGCCAGGCCGTCACGCCCGCCAGGTTGGTCGCCGGGTCCTGCGTGCACTCGGTGTGGCCGCCGCTAAAGTCCTGGTCGAGGTACTCGTGGATGTCGATGGCCAGGTTGCCCGCCGGGTCGGTGAGCTTATGGATCCAGTTGCTGTTGGCCTCGGAGCCGCCCTTGGTCCAGTAGTGCCCGCCCGTCCATGCGTTGCCGGGCGCGATGATGAGATTGGTCGCTCCCGAGGCGCGGATGGCGTCGATGGCGGCTTGCAGATTGGAGACGAGCAGCGAGCTGGGCATGTCGTGCGGTTCATTCATCAGCCCAAACATGACCTTGCCGTTGTCGGCGAATCGCTTCGCGAGTTCGCCCCAGAAGGCGCCGAATTGCGCCGTGGTGGCCGCCGTTGAATCCGACGTGTTCCCGATCACGCTGCCGCTGAAGGGCTGCGAGGACGGATCGTTGTACCGCATGTAGTTGTGCGGGTCGAGGATTGCGTCTGCCAGGTTGTAAGTGAACGGGCCAAACATTGACAGAGGGATTGTCTACGCACAGGCTCCCTTTGTCTTGGTAATGTAGTCGACGGCCTGCTTGAAGTAGTCAAAGTGCGTCTCGTTGAACTTGGCACCCAGACCGTACTCAAGAGGGCACATGCGCTCCAGGAGGAAGGCAACGCGATGTAGATTGACTTTGTTTTGGTCCGTCATGATATCAACTCCAGAGGTGCTAATGAACGAGTAGTCGACGCCGAACCGACCGGGCAGGCCGGTTCCTCGCGTCTGAGTCGGGCTCCATGCGCCAAATTCGCCACTCGATTGGGCGACGCCGGCGTAGTAGATGGTGGCGGATGCTCCGGGGAGCAATCCAACGCACACGGCTGAGGAGATAGCTGCGAATCTCATGATGGCTCAACAGATACACAAATCTGGGCCCTTAGTGAGTACAGCTGTATATCTCTAAATTCCCGCTGCCTCGGTGGTGGACTGCAAATATTTATACGGTCGTCCAACGGTGATTCAACCGGCACCCGTGGTCCTAGTATCATCACTCCTTCGCGATAGAAGGAGTGAGTAGTATATACCAGGACTAGAAAGGGACTCCCTCCGAGGTCCACTACCCGGGATTGTAGCTTCTCGACGCGGCATCTAGGAGACAAGGTCCCCTTAAACAAGCATCAAGGTTACAGCAATAGCTGAACTCGGACATGTCGGGGTAGTCTATGGTTTGCAGCGGAGTTCGATAACGGATACACGAATCAGAGCGATTGGATCGAAGCCAACAGCCATCAAAAAGGTGAGAATCTTTGCCATGCCTAATAGGCAAGATTTAAATCAAGGAGCTGGGAGGGCGGAGGGAGGGATTCCGCAGAGCCTTATGTCTGGGCAGAATCCACGTCGCTTATTCCCGCCCGTTCCTGAACACGGACCGTATATTATACTTGTTACATGGATAGATGAACGCTCTAGTCCGAGTAAGAATAGCGCCATAGGAGGGAACAACTCGGAGTTCAGTGGAGTGACATGATGTGACCATGACCGTAACTTCAACCTGGTGTGGAAATACTGTAGGTAGATACCAGTGACAACACTGACAAGTACAGCAAGCCAACCTATCGAATAATGTTACGACAGCGAAGATCAACATAATTCCGGAGCAATTCCGTTTTGACTCGTCGGAATCAACGATTTGATGACGAGTCTTGGTGGTTTTGGGCTTGCCCTTCAGTCGACGTTATGTCATCGTCGCACTCTAGTGTCACTGGCAGCTTGCAGTAAGGTGAGAGCGCGCTTGACGAGGCGTTATATCTATGGGTTGAACAGATGTGTCCTCATCAAATAAAGAAGATGGATTGCATTGGGACCAAATGTCTGTGGTCTGTACCTTTTCTCTCCTGCGAAGAGTGTGCGCCCAGCTTTTTATCCAGAACCTTACGTTTGCATGCTGCCTTCGGGACTCGACAGATCAGCCAATCATACAGTACCACGTATTGCGGTCATTGGTGGAAGATGGTGTAGGTAGGTAGGCAGGTAGGTAGGTACGTCCGCTGCCAGTCATTAAGTTCAAGTTGGGTCGTTTCTGCCGTGATCGTGGAATGGAATATGGACTTCTGTTATAACTCTAGTGGACAACAAGAAAAGAGAGAACAGTACGCAACGACTCAAGACGTATGAACAATGTCATTTGGCATTACTTTTGGCAGTGTCGGCGATTTGATTGCCGTTGGACAACTGGCATTCACGCTAGCCAGAGCTCTAAACGACCGCCACGGATCAGCGAAAGCGTATCAAGCGCTGATCAAGGAGCTCAAAAACTTCGATAATTCCCTCCTGCAGGCACGCGTGTCCTATGTGTCACACCCCGGCCTGCTGGTGCTGACGAACAGTCCTTGAAATTAGGTGATAGCAATATGGCAGAACTATGAGACAGCCCCTCAGCTAGCCGACATATACGCCAAAGCCATGGAGACAGTCAAAGATTGCCACGACTTGCTGAATTCGTTCTCCACTAAGATTAGAGAGAAATACGACAGCAGCCTCGGAGGAAAAGGGGACTCGAGTAGCTGGGTGAAGACTGCAGCCAAAAAGACCTTGTGGCTCACGGAAAAGGATGATGTGGCCGAGCTGAGGGCCAGGCTCCAGACGGGTAGTAACGCCATCATGCTCTTTACACTGGCCGCTATGAGGTAACTTCTTCTATATATGACCTATCTCCTGTGCTACAGCTCATTGGCAACCAGCACATCCAACAAGCTCAGTGATGTCGACCAACAAGCGAGGGTCGCGAGTGTTCACTCCCTTCTCCAGAACTCCTTGAAGCTCGCCGAAGTACACCAATCAAAACTCCAAGAGATTGATGCAAAGGTCAGCTCGCAGGCCGTATCTTCGGCACTCATATTGCGGCATATTTCCGGTGGTATCCGCGATTTGTACGTAATGATCGGTGCTACATTTAATAGGAAAGACCAAATCGTTCTCTGACCTTCCACGCAGTACTCAAGTCAAGAAAACCGTTACTGAGCTTAGGGAAATTCTCGTGGCCATCCAGACCTGGATTGCATGCCTGCCGCGTCAAACCAGCATCCCAACCGGACTGGGAGGATGCTGGCAACAAGCACCGGTTACGTTCGAAGACGCCCTTGGCCGCCTCGTCCCGATTCCGCTCAAGCTGGTTAATTCTTGGAGTGGGTTAGGATTCCCACGTCAATACTAAGTTATTGATTCGTTACTAACACGCCTCCGTTTGCTCTCTTAGATACTACAAACTATATTAATCAAGCGTTTCGAGGATCTGCCGGGACAGGGGAAAGTAATCTCAGGCGAATATACACTTGAGGATAGCATCACCGGGGCGGAACTTACCAGCACCACGAAATTCTCCCAGTACTTTCGTCCCGGACAGAAAGTGGTACATTGAGGCCGCCCGTTAGCACCCTAGAAGATTGAATTTGAAGGCTAACGAAGACATATTAATAGTCCTAATGCCAGGTGTGGCATGTATTTCCAGCGGATCAAAGAGGTGATCATGATAAACGATCTAGACAGGAATGATTTGGAGCATCTCCTGTTCAGTGATCCTGGCGAAGACGCCAACTTGAAGCCCACCGCCAAGCACTTAGGAAGCTCTTTATCAAAATCCGACGCGTCTTCAAGAAAGACCAATGGTGCTGAGGAAGATGTCATGGTCTTCAGCTTCCAAAGGGTAAAATTAATTTCACAGTCTGCAACGGTGGCTGGAAAGAATCGTTTGATCAGCAGAATAAATGCATTGAGAGCGAAGCGCCAGAATCTCACCGAAGAAATCAGATTTGCCATTCTCGATGACGGAATCAAACTCGACGCACCAGGGCCTACCATCCCAATCTGGAGGGGTACTACATATTAATGGTTCCAGCCCCTCACAGTCACGCCCGCTGTGGATGACTCGGACTTGGTGAACCCCTTCGAACCGAGCGGTGACCATGGAACGCTCGTGGCAGAAGCAGTATGCCAGGCTTATTCAAGGGATGTTTCAAAGGCCAAATTCTTTGTTAATCGGATGGAAGACTGTCATGCCGAGGATGGCAGTCCCTGCTTCACTGCAAACTCGGCGATCCGTGTAAGATTACAATGCGTTTGTACGGTGCGAATCAATTGCTAAATTCTTATACAAATAGGGAATCTGGTGGGCTATTCGCCGCCATGTTGACATTATCCTGATAAACTGGACGGTTATGGCTCACGGATTGGGGAGCAGGGAGCGCAAGCTCTTAAGGATCGTTCTTCAAGAAGCCAGAGAAAACAACATCCTGATGCTTAACACAGCCAACAACCAGGGGGGATCCTGGATTGGCGAGGAGAAGTGATAGCGTACAGTACAATTGAAGTGGTCATAGATGTGCTGCATAGTTGGATTGGCTGAAAGGGATAGGAGGGCTTGCCGATCCATGGCTGCTTTACTAGGATATCGTCAGGGGATCTGGTATTCCCGTTCAAGGAGACCGTCGGATGGTCTCCGTAGACGCTACCTTCGACGAGCTACGATGCCCAGGGCACGTCTCGGTTTCCCACCGCGCACGAAGGCGGCGGCGGAGGTTGTACGGCGAAGACCTGGATGTGTGAACGCCAGAGATGAAGAGAGAGAATTTTATCGCTACTAGTAGTCTAGTACTTCCGGCCCGGACATCAACGGGAGTGTTACGGGGATTAGAGAGCAGGACGGTAGGACCTATCCCACTAGCAGAGGCCAGGTTGTCAGCGAAGGTCATCTCAAATCAACGCAGGAACTCCTAGGCACCATATGCCTCATTTGACGATAACGAGCATCCAGCGCAATGTGAAAACTGTAGCTACCTAGGTATGTAGGTAGTCAGGCGACGGACAGTGTTACTGTAGCCGGTCGGTGGTTCTGCTACCGAGACCGAGAGCGACACGTCAAAACTGGAAGAAATACATAAAGCTCAGCTACCGGGCCCAGTGCTGGCGATGCCGCCGTTGGACGGGGTGCAGGTCTGCTGTGATTTTGGCCAAGACAGTACTGCAAGTGCGCGTTGTTTTACACCGCTACGCACGTATCTTACTGCGTGTATTTGTACTGTACATACTGGTGCTCGTCAGTCTGCAGGTTCAAGACGATCTGGATGTTGTGCACACTCGATCATCGGACGGAAGGATAGCGCTATTTTGGTCAGGTGCGACCATGTGAAGTGCCTCGAGAGTGCTTATCTGCTGTGGGTCTCCTGGAGCTTCACCTCATCTGCATGGACGTTTTCTGTGGGTTCTGGGGAATGCTCCACTCGCCCGCTCGAGCCCACGTCGCATCCCGGACCCCACCCCCGCACGATGCTGCATAAAACGCCGGATTCGAATCACGTTGGCAGCTTGGCACAGCAGCTCAACAGCCAAACACCTAACCTAACGCCATCTTGTTCGGTGTATTGGCCCACGCTGCCCGCAACCCAGCTAAGCGGATGGACTTCGCACACACAGCGTATAAATACCGGGTATTTTGGAGCCGGCCCCAAGCTTGAACATGGAATTGAGACGGCCCCGCAGCCAACGAGCGGGGTAGGTTCGTACTGTCCTTCGGCAGCCGTGTTCATACAGTTTGCCAACCGCCCCTTCCCGTCCTTGAGCTCGACCCCATCTGCTTCCCACGGGGCCATTCAGGCAGAAACTCATCCAATGGCCTGATTGCCAGCAACTTGGGTTTCTGATGTCTCGCAGCCTACTGTGCCACCCAAGCAAACTTTGTATTGCAGACAAGCCCGCTCTCACCGACGTCACTGGCTGTCGGCCTGCGTCTGCATGTGAACAAATGATCACGTCCTCCCTTGCTTGCCTCAACGGCACTAGCTCTCTTCAGCAGCCATGATGTCGCGCTCTATCCTCCGGCCAGCGCTCACCTGCAGTGTTAGGCCCGCCAACCCAGCTAGCGGCCGCGTCTCTCTTCAGACGGCAGCTGGTCTCTCTGGTGAGTGAGCTCTGCCGAGTCAATTAATCCTTCATTGGGAACGCTGAGTTCTAATTCGAAGCCACAGATCGGACTGCTTTTCGCGCCAGCCCGGTCGCTGGCTGCCATCGAGCATGGCACGCCACCCTTCGAACAGAGCTATCAAGTTCCGCAGTTCGAGCCCTCACTGTCCCGAAGGTCAGGTCATTGCAAATCGCTCGACACGCCTCTGCCGTGTCTGCTAGCTCAGGTCAACTCCGTGAGAATGGGTCCCCCCCGGCGGCGGCGAAATCTGAGCACCCGCCTACACCCACCACTCCCTACGGGCAGCTATCCATTGGGGTGCCAAGGGAGACGTACCCTAACGAACGCCGCGTCGCCCTCACGCCCCAGAATGCAGCTCTCCTCCTGAAAAAGGGGTTTGCGAAGGTGCTCGTCGAGAAGGGCGCTGGCTTCGAGGCTGAATTCCCAGATGAGGCCTACGCTGCTGCCGGTGCAACTCTGGTTGATGAGGCCTCGGCTATCTGGAAGCAGGCGGACATTGTGCTCAAGGTGCGAGGCCCCAGCACTGCTGAGGCCGACAATGTCAAGGAAGGGCAGACCATCATCAGCTTTCTCCAGCCAGCGCAGAATAAGGCGCTAGTTGAGAAGCTTGCCACCCGCAAAGCTGTGGTATTCGCCATGGACTTAATCCCCCGCATCTCCCGAGCTCAGGTTTTCGATGCGTTGAGCAGCATGGCCAATATTGCCGGCTACAAGGCGGTGCTAGAGGCATCCAACACTTTTGGTCGGTTCCTAACCGGTCAAGTTACGGCGGCGGGCAAGATACCGCCGTGCAAGGTATTGGTCATCGGTGCCGGTGTCGCTGGGTTGAGCGCAATAGCCACTGCGAGGAGACTCGGGGCAATTGTGCGGGGCTTCGACACGCGATCTGCAGCTCGTGAGCAAGTCCAGTCCCTTGGGGCTGAATTCATTGAGGTTGAAATCCAGGAAGAGGGAGCCGGTGCCGGTGGTTATGCCAAAGAGATGTCCAAGGAATTCATCGAGGCCGAGATGAAGCTCTTCACAGAACAAAGCCGGGAAGTCGACATCATCATCACCACGGCTCTGATTCCGGGCAAACCCGCGCCAAAGCTTATCACCAAGGCCATGATAGAGATCATGAAGCCGGGTTCAGTTATTGTTGATCTTGCCGCGGAGGCCGGCGGGAACTGCGAGAAGACCGAGCCTGGCAAGATGGTCACGTACAAGGGTGTCAAGATCATCGGTGAGTTCCCAACTTCCCCAGAGGGTAAGGTATGTTTGTCTGACATGCATCAGGGTACACCGATCTGCCCTCGAGGTTGCCCACACAATCATCCACCTTGTACTCGAACAACATTACCAAGTTCTTGTTGTCAATGGCCCCGAAGGATAAGGAATACGGTATCGACCTATCAGACGAGGTTGTTCGAGGCGCAATTGTGACACAAAACGGGCATATTCTCCCTCCTGCTCCTAGGCCTGCTCCACCTCCTGCTCCAGCGGTTGCGCCAACAGCCGCCAAAGAAGCCGAAGTTGTTGCCCTAACTCCGTTCCAAAAGACGTCGCGCGAGGTCGCTTTGGTGACCGGAGGCATGGGTTCGGCTCTTGCCCTGGGCAAGCTCACCGGTCCTCTCTTCATGGGCAATGCCTTTACGTTTGCCTTGGCCTCGCTCATCGGCTACCGGGTTGTGTGGGGCGTTACGCCCGCCCTGCATTCGCCTTTAATGAGCGTCACTAATGCGATATCTGGAATGGTTGGTGTTGGTGGCTTGTTTATTTTGGGTGGAGGCTACTTGCCCGAGACGATTCCCCAGATGTTTGGCGCTGCGTCCGTTCTGCTCGCGTTTGTCAACGTTGCTGGGGGTTTCGTCATCACCAAGCGCATGCTGGACATGTTCCGACGGCCGACCGACCCGCCTGAGTACCCCTGGCTCTATGCCATTCCTGGAGTGCTGTTTGGCGGTGGATTCCTCGCGGCGGCATCTACAGGAGCGGCTGGGCTTGTCCAGGCTGGCTATCTCGTAAGCTCTGTGCTCTGCATTACCTCGATCTCAGGACTGGCCTCGCAAGCAACGGCTCGCATGGGAAATATGCTAGGAATGCTTGGTGTCGGGAGTGGTGTCCTCGCTTCCCTCTTGGCAGTTGGATTTTCTCCAGAGGTCCTGACCCAGTTCGGAGGTTTGGCAGCGATTGGCGGCATCCTTGGATTCTTGATTGGCAAGCGCATCACCCCAACTGATTTGCCTCAGACGGTTGCTGCGCTTCACTCTGTCGTTGGCCTGGCCGCAGTTTTGACAAGCATCGGCAGTGTCATGGCTGACCTGAACCATGTCTCGATGCTTCACCTCGTCACGGCATACCTAGGTGTCCTGATAGGCGGGATAACCTTCACGGGTTCTATCGTTGCGTTCCTGAAGCTTGCTGGCAAGATGTCCTCCCGGCCCCTTATCTTGCCTGGACGACATGTGCTCAACTCGAGCCTCCTTGCGACCAATGTTGCCACCATGGGTGCCTTTGTGACGATGGCCCCAGGCTCGCCCCTGATTGCTGCCGGAGCCCTTGCTGCCAACACTGTCCTGTCGTTCCTCAAGGGCTATACTACTACGGCCGCCATAGGCGGTGCCGACATGCCTGTCGTCATCACCGTCCTGAACGCCTACAGTGGCTTCGCTCTTGTTGCCGAAGGGTTCATGCTTGACAACCCCCTCCTGACCACTGTCGGTGCTCTCATCGGAGTTTCCGGGTCCATTCTGTCATACATCATGTGCGTTGCCATGAATCGCTCACTCGTGAATGTTCTGTTTGGTGGCATTGCGGCGCCCACAACGAGCAATTTCAAGATTGAAGGCAGCGTGACGCAGACGAACGTCGAAGAGACGGCAGATGCGCTCACTAATGCGGAGTCGGTCATCATCGTCGTGGGGTATGGGATGGCCGTGGCAAAGGCACAGTACGCAATATCGGACATCACCCGCATGCTGCGCTCCAAGGGCATCAAAGTACGGTTTGCGATTCACCCAGTCGCTGGCCGCATGCCTGGCCAGTGCAACGTCCTCCTCGCCGAGGCCAGCGTGCCCTATGACATTGTGCTCGAGATGGACGAGATTAATGACGACTTTGGTGAGACGGACGTCACTCTTGTCATCGGCGCGAACGATACCGTCAACCCTATTGCCCTCGAACCGGGCAGCCCTATCGCTGGAATGCCTGTCCTACACGCATGGAAGAGCAAGCAGGTTGTGGTCATGAAGCGTAGCCTGGCGAGCGGTTATGGTAAGACTTCTGGAAAAGTTGAACTCGACCTCCACAGGGGTATTAACAGGTGTTGCAGCCGATGTTCCAAATCCCATGTTTTACATGCCCGGAACTAGAATGCTCTTTGGAGACGCAAGGGTCACCACGGAAGGTGAGAAGACTGCACAGTACTCCAAAACAATCCGCTTGAACATGAACTGACCTTATATGCCGCCTGTAGCCATCAAAGCAGCCATCGAAGCCCGAATCAAGAATTAGTCAATAGACCGCAGACATACCATGTACATACGCATGTTCTATCTCTTGGTTGGGATCTCTTTGGGAGAGCAAGCATGCAGCATGCATCTGTTGGCTGATTTGAGGAGCTTGTAGACGCCCAGGCTTGTAGAGGCCGGTGTATTTGCGGTTTCCGTTTTCGAGCCTCACTTCCTCAGGGTCATGGTGGATCGCCTAAGCGATTACACCGCTTTCGCGATAGTTGCTTCCCGTCGTTATTATATATTGCATACTTGTGCGTTCCGAGCTTCGGTAACGAATACCTGACGTTTCCGGTGCTGATCTGTAGTAGAATCATGTGATGTCGTTAGTGTGCTAAACCCGAGGTCAATACGCTGTGCTGTAGCTTAGATTTCTGGCTGCGTGGTGTTGCAAATGTAATGTACTGTACCAGAGCTCAAGGCCAGCAAACGAGCATAAACATCGGGTACCATGAGGAATTGAAAGACTCAGAACGGCAGTCTATTCGCCCCAATCGGAACATATATACACCCCTAACCCAACCCGGCTGCTCCCTCAGCCTCTTCTCGCCCTCTCTACCTGGGGGCAGCAAACGGTTCCCAGGACTGGATCTTGGGTTTCGTCCTGGAAATTCAAGGCCCCTGTGTCAGCAAGAACTCTACCCTTCCTTATATACTGTTATCGGCACAAGCGGGGAAGGAGTCGACGCACGTGCTATACGTCTTGAATGCGCTCCGGGTGAAGGTGTTGTTGGGCACGTGGCTGGGAGGCGCCCAAGGCCGTTCGGCGGCCGCCGCCAGGGGGTCCTTGTTGGGCGGGGTGTCTACCGCGTACGAGATCCACGCGTGCCAGAGCGGTTCGATGTGCGCGCTGTAGTTTGGTCATGTGGGTGAGGGCCAGGCGGTCAGTGGCGGTTTTTCAAAGGGCGGAAAGCAGATGAGGAGGGGGGCGGAGAGGGCCTACGCATCATAGTCGTGCTTGGCGTAGTCGACCCATCTTGTGCGCACTGCCCGTTGTGAGATTGGAAGGTTAGCGGGAGCTGGTTAAGGGTAGGGGGTTTCGGATGGGTGGCCACGCACGGGGCAGTTCCTCTGTGTTCTCGTAGAATTTGTTGCCGAAACGGTCGGTGCCTACCAGCACGCCGGCTTTGGTGTCGCCTGTGTTTCGTCGTCAGATTTTGATCTGGTGCCAAGCGAGGCGCATGAAGGTCGGTCGCTGGAGCATACCGATATACTGCCGTCGAGGAGCGAAGGGGTTAGTTGCGCCTATGCGGTTGGAGATGCTGGGCGAGGAAAACATACGTTGAGTTGATGCCAGTATTCCTGTAGTCGCATTGTCAGCGTCTGGGCGGTTGCAGTTGGGCAAGGGTTCCGCAAACCTTCAGGCCAATCTTGCGCAGATTGCCTAGGGTTCTTGTGATTGTCGACATGGTGGTTGAGGTGGAGGCGGATCAATCGACCTCCTGCTTGAAGTGGTGATGTTCAACTGGAAGCAACTTCCAGCCGGGAACAACTGATGAGGTGAGGTACGGGTACAGAGTGGGGCGTGGTCTCTACGTTCTGATTGGACCAAACTTTAAGGTTTGTTAGAGGTGGGCCCAGATTTTCCCAGTTAAACTGAGATGAATTTCAGACGACCCTGAAGCTCTTCGACAGCTGCTTCCAACACTACTCGCCATATCCGTCTCTAGCGGCTATGCTGGCCAGGAGTGCTTTACGATGCTCCAGTAAGCTCCGAGGCCCGGTTTCGCGGCCGTTCCCACGGCTTGCGAAGCCGCAATGCCGACATTTCACAATGCCTGCCAACGGTACCCCCGTGGCCTCCCCTCCTCCCTCCAGTTCCGCCATGCTTGCGCCCTTCGTGGGTGAGCTGGACCGCATAGCCCCATCCTTTAGGGTCAACGGGTCCCAAATCCGTGTTCTGTCGTCCCCTGCCGAATTCTACGAGACGCTCAAGGTTGTTCTTATCCAACGCCGTCGCACGCACGCACGCACTCCCGAAGTCTAACTCGCCCATAGGACAAGATTCGCAATGCCGAACGCCGCATTTTCCTGTCTACGCTCTACATTGGCAGGTCTGAGAAGGAATTGGTTCGTCTTGCCAGTGCGATCATGTCTCGCCGATACTGATTCCCTAGATCGCCACGCTCCAAGAGACACTCCGCGCGAAACCCCAACTCCGGCTTAGCATTCTTACAGACGCCTTGCGAGGGACACGCGAGGCCCCTGATCCGTCATGCGCGTCACTATTGGTTCCGTTGATATCCGAGTTTGGCGCCGACCGCGTCGAAATTCGCATGTATCACACGCCGAACCTGACGGGCCTGAGGAAGAAATACGTTCCGAAGAGAATCAACGAGGGTTGGGGGTTGCAGCACATGAAGTTGTACGGGGTTGACGATGAAATCATTCTCTCTGGAGCCAACTTATCCAGCGATTACTTCACGAATCGTCAGGATCGCTACCACCTGTTCTCCTCCCAGGATATCACCGAGTATTTTGCGAATCTCCAGAATGCGGTGTCATCGCTGAGCTTTCTGGTCAGACCGTCGAGCTCCCCGGCCGGGTTTGAAATGGTTTGGCCCGACACTAATGCGGCCCCGTCACCCCTAGAGGATCGGAAGCAGTTTGTCAGAGAGTCCACTGGCTTATTAGCTGGTCTAATATCGCCCAAACTAGCCCCCATAACTGCACACGACACAACCCCCATGGAGAAACGGGACACGTCAGTTTACGTGCTGGCTCAGTTCTCACAACTCCTTTCTCCGGATTCCTCGACTGAGCTTCCGGCTCTCACTCATGTCCTCAAGACACTGTCGTTGCCACAGTACGCCAAATCTTCGTGGACATTTACGGCGGGCTACTTCAACCCCGCACCCTCGCTCATCAAACTCCTGCTCTCGGCCGAGTCACACAACAATACCGTGATAACCGCTTCACCGTTTGCGAATGGTTTCTACAAGTCACCAGGTGTCTCCGGCCTTCTTCCAGATGCATACACCCTACTAGCCAGGCGTTTTGTTCATGCGGTACACAGACACCAACGCGAAGAGTCAACGGTGCTCCGGGAATGGCGAAGAGGCACGGTTGGAGAGCCCGGCGGCTGGACATACCACGCCAAAGGGTTATGGGTAACGCTCCCAGGTAGTACCACGCCTTCCATCACTGTGATCGGCAGTTCCAACTACACGAAACGAAGCTACTCGCTCGATCTAGAAGCAAATGCTCTGATCGTCACAAAGAACGAAGAGTTGAAGAACCGTCTGGCCGAGGAACAACAGTGGCTGAAGGAGCATACGAGCATCGTCACGAGGGACGATTTTGCCAAAACGGATCGCCGGGTCGGGCTCAAGGTCCGCATCGCTATGATGATAGTTCAGCTTCTGGGAGGGGCCCTCTAAGAATGGAACCCCCCACCCCTGAAGCCTATTCACAATGCCCTCACGTGGGAAAGCCGTGGACGATCAGACAAGGGGCCGCTGGCTGACATTGTTGACCAAATGGACTATGGCTCACCATTGTCTGTGTCAATGGAATTGTGCGCTATTGCGAAGACCCATAGACAAAGACGATTATTGTGCTCAAGCACTATTTCATATCTCAATCTCCTGGCAGCTGAATGGGATTTATCCGCGCATCCTTTGTGTCCCGGTAACGTCTTTGTGTGCCATACTCCTGCTTTGTGCGTAACCGGGCATATAAATGTCTACCTCCAGCCGCTGGCACCCAAACTTACACCTGGTCGATATCCGTCTGACCTCTACTTCAACTCCACTGAACGCTTCAGCATCATCTACCGATAACGAAGCAGCAACTTGGAGTTGTTTTCACCATCATTCCCCGTGAAAATGCGATCTCTACCGCTCTCAAGGGTCATCACTTTGGCCGCCCTTCTCCTCTCCCGCGCTTCTCTTCCCATGGGAGAGATGCCGGAGCGCCTGCCTCCGGTTCCGTGTACGGCGGCGAGCCGCACGGCGGAGACCGTATGCGTAGGAAGACACTACGCCGGCGTCTGCTTCAAAGGCCAAGTGGAACCGAAGCTTGTCGCTCCCCTTGTGTGCTTCCACGGCCGCTTGTTCCCCCCAGAGATTCTGGACGAGAACGATCCTGAAGAGCCTGAGCTGGCCACTCTCGAGAAGAGGTTTGTGCAGTGGCTCGCGGATGCGGATCGAGACCGTGACGAGCTATGAGTCTGAACCATGGCTGCACTTTCTAACAGCATTTCTTTCATGAATAGATTGTTGACATACTAGTAACTTGGTAGTACGGTGAGTAGGTTTAAAGTCTTGTGGGGGAATTGGCTACCTGCATTCCATGTCTTGCAGCGATATTCGGGGATTCCAGCTCAGACTAAAGGTAAGTACCAGGGTATATATCTGGGCCGTACATGAGCTTGTCCTCCGTAGTGATCGATGAAAGGGGGAAGTAACCCGTTTTACGCTCTCCAGACAACAAAAAGATTATGAGATCTGACATTGAACGGTAAATTGAACAAGAGAATCGTAAGATGGCCTTGGCAAAGTGAATCTGTCCGCAGGATCATAAACCGGACTGATGCCTCTTCGGCATTGGGCTTTCCTAGGCCGCATAAGGCCAGCAAACATGAAGCAATTCCCTCATCTAGCTAACATACTCTTCGTTTGCCACGGGAGATGCCTTACACGACCAGTATACCAAACCGAGTTGGAGGATTCGAGGACGGGGCATGTATCTTGAACCGACGGCTTCCCTTGATAAGCTGCTCCACCCCATCCTTCGGGCTAACTGACGTTCAGTTCCCCTCAGCGATTGGGTTTCCATTTGAGAGCTGACTGCATCCGGATGCAATGTAACACACAGATTTCCTGCATGTGTAACTGCTGCGCTCTCCGTCCCGACAGTGGATAAAACCCCACACTCGGTCCCCATTCTCCGAGTCAAGAACCGGGCCCTTGGCATGGTAAATTGGATATGTACATAATCCCAGGGTTCCTGGTAGAACATGCCCGATAGGTACCTTAATACATAAACTTACACTAATACTTACAACGGCAAGTCCATCCATCTTACAATCACTTTGCAGACCCGAGTAATAAGGGAAATAAAGGAGAGAGAAGAAGAAACGGGGAAAATAAAGGAGGAACAATACCAGAACGAACCCGAGAATGGCCTTTCTCCCACCCGAACAAACCATCTTGACGGGTTCCTGCCTGTGCACCGCAGTCGCCTACACAATCACCATCCCGCCGCTCGCCTCGCGCCCGCTCTTCCCCAACGCCCTCCCCACCCCAGTCGACAACACCACCAGCCCGCCCACCATGGTCGACACGCGCCTCCCGCTGATCGACATGGACCATTGCAACAGCTGCCGGCGCGCGTGCGGCGGGCTGATCCAATGCTGGCTGATCTGCCCTCAAGACTGGGTCGAGTTCCGGCTGCTGTCTCGGCAAGAAGAAGGGCACGCCTCAGTGGCGGAAAGGGAGGCGTACCCCACCGCGAGCGTCGTGTCGAACCCGTCCAAGGAGCTGCTCGAGCGGACCTATCTGGGGCACTACTCGTCCTCGCCGCAGGTGCACCGGTGCTTTTGCAGCCGCTGCGGGACGGGGCTGACGTGGTGCACCTCGCGCGACAGGGGGCCGAAATGGACGCTGGGAGCCGTCGTGGACATCGCGGTCGGCACGCTGGACAGGGCGAGTATCGAGCGGGTGCGCGCCGACAGGCACATGTGGTGGGATGACGGGGTTGAGTGGGTAAGGAGGATGGTCAGTGAGGGCGATGGCGGGTTGATCAAGCATCCGACGTATCGGCTTGATGAAGAGGTTGCTCCTGTTGCTGGTGCTTCGGCGGGTGTAGGTAGGGTTGGTTGAGGGTTTGAGGTTGAGGCGTGAACGCCCGCGTGAATCGGAGGAGGGCTTGGGAAGTCTGGACGGTTCGGTTCGGCAGGGAGAGTGGACGCTGGCTTCGTTCGGTCAAGGGACGATGGCACGCATGCATTGAAGCTGACTGAGTCCCGTCTGGAAATGGAATATGGCTTTTGCAGATTGAGATCAAACTCTGATCCTTTAAAGATGCAAGCTACCACCCGATAATTATTCAACAATGGCGTTGGGAAATATTACTCAGTGTGAACTCAGAACCTCGAATATGCTGCTCATGCTAGGTGTCGTTCTGATACTTTTTCCGGGAACAGATTGTGGGGTCCGTGTGGGTGACGGCTCGAGCAAATCCAGTCCCGGCGTGTCCGGCTCCGGCTCCGGCTCGAGCGGAGAAAAGGTGAATGGGAATGCGCTCCTGTGGGGGTTGAGAGGCGACGGCGTGGCTGTTGTCGTTGCGGAAGGAGGAGTATCGCTGAAGTAGGCGAGCAATAGCTGATGCAGCTCAGCTGTCGCAGTCGGTGAAAGGAGCATCGGACGGCTGATTCTCTTGTAAGATCGGGGCCGAGGTTCGGGGGACAGACTGTTCGAGGTCATGGGCCGCTCGGCAGACGCGGGTGGGGATAGTGTCAAAGAAGGACGGTCGGGCTGAGAAGAAGGCTCCTTAGGAGGGTATGGCGTGGCCCGTGTGGGGTTGGTGACAGAGTTGATGGCGGATTGCCTAGTCGTCGCTGGCCATGGCGAGGCCGTCTTGGGTCGGATTCTTGGTTCAGGTGCAGACGAGATCCTCTTGCTGTGCCGTCGCTCCAGCTCTGCCTGCAGTGTTCTCACGGGCGACGACGACCGATCGTATTTTCTGCTCGGCTTTGCTGCAGCATGGTGTTCAAACAGAGCAATTGCTTCCGGTACTGGCACATTGCTCGGCGTGGTGTGGTTCAAGTCGTCCAGGAGAAGCGCGATCTGGGTGTCTTCGAGCTCCCCGAGCAGCTCGAAGACGCGGTCAATTGACGAGCGGGAGCGACGGTGCGCCTTGGTCGGCATGTTGGTGATGGTTAGATTATTATAGGTAACGAACGGATGGGCGAGACTTCGCCAGCGGTGACTACGATAAAGGAAAGGACCGGCAGCTCGCGATGAGCTTGTTGTTGCGGATGGGAATGAGGTCCCAAAATACGCTGTCATAGACGTATGTGTATGGACAATACGAACTTGTACAGTACAGTACCGTACCTTCGCACGCTAATAATCAACGTTACCCGCGAGGCATTATGGAGTTTCCTTGGCTCTTTCCCAGCTGCCAAGCCCGACTTCCCTCCCTTTTCCACCTGTAATGTGTACATACAGTACGCCATACTTTTCAACAGCAAGGGAGAGGGTTGAGTTGTTTCTTGAAGAGCTTGAATTCCATGACGCGACGCAATTAAGATCAAGGAGTTGATGTTGGCCGCAGAGGAAGCTGGGCATACCAGCGCCGTTTGGTATATAGGCAAGAATTTTGCTATGTTATTTGTCTTCGGACACAGAAGGACCTCTTGGTCAATTTAACTGTGCATGCCCCGCTGCAAACCACGCAACTCAAAGAGACGCTACCGTTTTTTTTTTATAAACTCAAGATCTCGAGTTCGAATCAAGGTGTGTAATCTTTTTTCTGGTGCTTTAGGAAATTAGATCTTGAGAATTTTATGCCATAGTATGGTAGAAGCTACAGATACATTAGTTGGGCACCTGCATTTCACAGGTATTGCTGGATCTCGGTGCCACTGCAGTTGACAGTACGGAGGTTTTCGGCCCGGGGGCATGACCCACGCGTACGCGAATACCGTACTACCGTACGGAGTACAAATCTTATCATCTTCACCATCAACCATCTTGATCTTACTTCCTCCTTGTCCGGGCAGACCAATTTTTCCTTCAGAGCCCGTAACAACTGGTGCCCCGACTCGCTGAATCAAGCTAGATCGTTGCAACTTGTGGGTGCCTTGCCGACACTACGTTAACCATTAAAGATTTATCTATCACCATTCGATCAAATAACCATCATCTTCATCCCCAGGATCAATGAGATGCATCAAATCCATCGCTTTGGGGCGCCCGGAACTAACCTCAACGTCTCCAGCTTCCAGAAGCCGGACGACATATCTCACGCATCATGAAGATGATCAGATTCAGTGACTTCGTTTCAAGCTCCTTTGTTACTTCGATTCCCCAGACCATTCTTCACTCCCAGAGACCATTCAGCAGCCACTAGCCTAGGAACCTTCCAAGTCGACGGTCGACCTCTGCACATCATCTGCGTACCTCGGACCATAAACCGGGAAGCGAACCTAGGCGTACATTAGCGTCGGCATCGCGACCAGTCAGCTCCGCGCGCTCCGCTGGATTGTGGGTGGGCATCCGGGCCGTCAGTCGTTGCACCACAACACAGGCCGAATCGCGCACCGCTGCCTTCGAAGCCATCATGCACGCTCTAGGCCAGAAAGAGCATGTTTGGCTGCCGAGCTAAGGGCACGCAGACCGCTGCTCGGGTAGCCCAGCTAACACTCGTACTGGTAGTGTTGGGCTACCATGTTGTAGTCATGATGCTTACCTGTCTCTTCCCGGAGCTAAGGCTCCTTCGTCCTGGGCATTCCAAGCTTCCTTGTCTTATACATTTCAGAACGCCTGCAATCCTTCCGGCATGTGCCAAATACAGCCTATGCGCTTCAGTTTTGCTCCTGAACTCAAACTATGAAGTTCTGCCTTCAAAACGCCATCACCATTAGCATCCCGGGTCCTCCGGTGGCTATGGGAGCCGCTATCGTCATTATCATCGCTGCTTACACCACAATATCGTTGGTGAAGAAGAGAGGCAGACTACGTCTCCCCCCTGGCCCACCGTCCGAGCCCTTGCTTGGACATTACCGGGTCGTGCCCCTAGATGCCGCCTTCAAGCAGTACAATGAGTGGGCAAAGGAATACAGTACAGTATTACAATGGGTTACACCATCATCGGTCAACACGGCTAACTTGAGATGACCGCAATGTCCCGTCAGACAGCGACGTACTCTTCTTCCAGACCTTTGGTACAAAATGGATCGTCTTGAACAGCCTTCGATCAGCAACCGAGCTCCTCGATAAGCGAGGTGCCAACTATGCGGATCGACCGCGCTTCGTCATGTTTGAGGAGTTCGTCTAGCTATGACCTAACGTGTGGTTGTGTATCCATAAGTGGCTGATCTGATGACGGATGTACAGAATGGGTTGGTCGCCGACCCTCACCTGGCTTCGCTGGGGGGACAAGTATCACATTCACCGGAAAGTCCTACAGCCACCATTCACAAAGTCCAAAGTGGGCGAATATGCAGGAATACAACGTCGTCAGGCGCTCATCTGCTGCAAAGGCATCATCGACAACCCCTGCGATTGGGTCAGCTCGGTCAGACTATTTTCGGTGGCCATTGTGCTGAAAATCGCCTATGGCCTCGACGTGGATGGACCGAGAAGCCCGTGGGTTCGCCTGGCCGAAGACGCGGCCAATGCAGTTGGAAAATCCGGCGCTCCAGCGAGCTCTATCATGGACAGGTTTCCCGCGAGTGAGTCCTTGCCTGTCTCCGGTGGCTTCCGCGATGGAGTCTGACGGAACCCGGCAAACAGCTCGCTACCTGCCTGACTGGCTCCCTTTCATGGAGAGACTCCGTTATGCTCGCACCTGGCGGCCCGCTATTCAAGACATTACTAGATTGCCTTTTGAGGCCTCCCTGAGGGACATGGTAGGTTGTTTTAGACTTTGGCTTGGCTGACCCAGATTTATCTAGCTGACCATCTGCTAGCCCCAGGACTCTACTGCAGAGAGCGGATCGTTTGTCCATTCGAGGATTCGTGTCTGGCAGAAAAACCACGAGAAGGGTTTGCCCAACCTGTTTACGCTTGAGGACATCAAGGGAGCAGCCGCAACCATCACCATCGCGGGAAATGACACTGTAGGTGGTGCGAATCCGACGTCTCGATCCCGATATTGACCCTCGCTTGTCTAGACTGCAGCTACCGTCATGCTGCTCGTGCTCTACCTGATGCAGAATCCCGAGGTGCAGCGCAAAGCTCAGGGTGAGGTCGACCGCGTCTTAGGCAAAGACCGGTTGCCAACCTGGGAAGACATTGCCAACTTGCCCTTCACCAAATTAGTCCTGCAGGAGACGTACCGCATGAACCCGCTTTCACCTCTCGGGATTCCCCACGCCAGCGTTGCCGATGATGTGTACAACGGCATGTTCATTCCCAAGAGTACCATCGTTTACCCCAATGTCTGGGCCATGATGCACGACGAGTCCGTTTACCGCGATCCTTTTCGCTTCTGGCCAGAGCGATATCTGCCAGAGGACCAAGGTGGAAACGGGGAGCCACTCCCGATAGGGAACTTTGGATTCGGAAGGCGGTAAGTAGTAGGCAGAGTATAACTTCCATTCCAACTTGGAAGATATGTTCCACTGACGGCGGATTTAGTATTTGTATCGGCAAACACCTAGCCGAGAACAGCTTGCTCATCCTCCTGGCGACTATGCTGGCAACAGTTGACATTGATTGGCCCCTGGGGCCGCAGGGCAGGCCAACCCCTTTTGAGCCGGAATGGTCATTCAGGGGGCAAGCGTGAGTCGATGGAGCAGCTACAGCGACAGCTACCTACCCATGCTGATCTAGGCAACAGTATTGTCTTACCTTTTAAGGCGTCCATAACGAGTCGCTCCGCGAAGTCTAAAGCTTTGCTTGATGCAGAAACCGACGTTTTGTAGCGCCGAGGATGACAACAATGTGCCCGGGCATTAACACCCCATGTACTGTCCTGTACGAGCATTTTTCGGAGCTCGTCTAATCAGGGCGGTGTCTCATGTTTGCATATGCTCTTCGTCGGCTTCCTGAAGCCAATATCCTGCACGGGTGTCCTGACCCTTGTCCCCTGATCTCTTTTCTCGGTATTCCAGAGCCCCCTTTCCGTACCGTCTCCTCATCCATTCCCTTCCTTGTCTCACTTGAAAAAGTCCAGCGGAAACCCATCAGCCATCGCCTGGAACCCAGCCACATTGGGATGCAAATGATCCCCCCCGTCATACTGGGCCGCCAACTGGCTCTGCCTAGCCGGATCGGCCACAATCTTGGCAAAGTCCACCGTCGCATTGAAGGTACCACTCTTCAAAATCCAGTCGTTGACCCTCACCCTGCCCGCGTCCCGCGCCGGGTTCGAGTACGACTGCCCGCTCCCGCTAAAGGGGGTGATGGTGGCGCCGATGGTCTTGATGCCGGCCGCGTGGCAGTCGCGCGCAATCTGCGCAAAGGCTTGCTGCAGCCTGGTCCCGAGGCTGTTCTGCGACCCGCTGTCCGTCCCCCCGTTGCCAATATCGTTGACCCCCTCGAAGATCATCACGTACTTGATCCCGGCGACCTGCAACGCGTCTCGCTTGTACCGGTTCAGTAGTGTTGGGCCGAGCCCGCCGGATAAGACAGTGTTGCCCCCCGCAGCTTGGTTGTTCACGCCTATGTGTGTGAGTCCGGCTTTTTGCATGCGCGCGAGGAGAAGGTCGGGCCAGCTTTGGGTTCGAGTGGATGGGTTAGCTACGATTCTGGATACCTAACCTTGGTAGTGATGGGAAATAGGGGGTGCAACTCTCTCACCGGTTGTTAGCATCATCCGTGCTCCCACGCCCGTCGGTGATGCTGTCGCCCAGGATGACGAAGGCGCTGTGGTTGGCCGGCGCCCAGGCCTCGACAGCGCTGAGGAAATACCAATGCTTGGTGTTTTGTCCCGAAATTGTTGCGGCGTTGACGCGGTTGCCGGACTGCATGTGCGACGTCGTCCGGCTGCCCGGGTGCCCCGTGATGCTGTTTCCGGACTGGCCGCTCTGCGAGTACAGGGAGACGGCGATGTTGCTCTGTGGCTCGATCTTGAAGTTGATGGGGTCTGTGTACGCAACCTGCCCCCGCGGGATCGTGATGGAGGCGGACCCGTTCCGGAAGGTCAGCGGTTTGACGGTGGCCGTGTCGATGCCCGCCACGCCGGCCCTGCCGCCCGCGGGCAGCGCAATCGAGGCTGCCGTGATGGGCAGGTCGCTGCCGCCAAATGTGTTGCTGATCTGGATCCGGATCCGCTCCGCCCCGATCGACATGTGCAGTGTCTGTCGGAGAGTGGCGTCTCTAAAGACCGCTCCGCCGCCGGTCTGGGGGGATATGTCAGACTCTCAGTGGCTCATTCTGGGTCTACGGTAATTTGAATAGGGCAGGTGAAGTGGGAGGATAGGGGAGTCTCACGAATTGTGAAGGGGGCATATTGTTTTGCTCGACCAGCTGCGGCATCGAGGTCCAGGTGGCAACCCAATGCCAGTCATCGTCTGCTGCAGCCACTTCAAGTTCCGTTGCCGCCCGAGGATCCAGAACATGGTCCCCCACGCTGACGTCGCCGGGTTTGGGGATAGCAAGAACACACTGGGAGGAGAGCAGCAGAGATGCCGCAAGCGTGGCCCAAGGAGATGTGGGTTTCATCTTGACCCTCCCGGCTACAGCCTACAGGAACCTAAACATCAACAACCAAGGGAAACTTGCCCAAGGAGCATAGTAGCTGGGGCACTTTATACCAAGTGATCATCATCTGTGGGTTCTCGGGTGAATTGTCGGGATATTTTGCGTCCGAAGAATCACAGACCCTGATTTAGCCAGAGCCACGACCGCCCGCGAGGACATTGGAACGGAGATTTATCCAGCGGGGATAACGTATAGACTGGGATCTGCGGGAGATCTGCCCCCCTTCGGCACTAAATCTGGGGAAGCTGTCTGTTCCTTGCATACATGTCCATGTGCCGTGGGTGCCACAACAGCGGAACGGTCGGAACATGCAAGAGAGGGCACCGCTCTAGCATTTGTCATCGAAGTCCTGTCATCTTCAGGCTCTTACCTAATCTTCAACGTCCATCCGAGTTCTTGGATTTCCCAAGGGTAATACCTATACGCTTCGAATGAGGATAGCCCCTGATATGTACAGATTGCCCTGATAATAGGGGGAGAACTTCAAGTTGTTGCGAACCTTGCGGCACACATGTCATATCATGATACCACTGTACCTCTTCAGTCTGAGAGTCCCAGAAACAGTCGAGATCATAGCACGACGAAAGAAACCAAGAAAACAACCGACAGTGGAACGACAGGTGAGGCGGCTTCCGTCCAGATTGATCATTGCTGAATCAGTCTCGTACAATTATACCGGTAGTAGCCAGTTGGTCTCAAACACCCTGGCGGCTCGGATGCTGTTGTCACTTCATGCTTGCTTCGCTCCGCTCTTAGCGGTCAACATCTGAAAGTTGTCCAGCCAAGCATCACCCTTGATATCCTCCCAAATCCTATCGATCCGTCCGACAGCCGCATCACTAAGCGGACCCTTCTTGATCATCTCCACCGTCTGCCTCAACTGCTCATGCTTCCTGGCACCCAGCACTACAGCATCCCCAAATCCACCATCCAACTTCGAATGGTACACAATCCACCGGTACGCCAACTCGGCATTCGACACGCCCTCGTCCTTGGCAATCTGTTCCCAGACATCCAGCGCAGCAACAAAGCTTGGCTTGTTATACAAGCCATTGTAAACTTTGTTCAGCGGATTCCCCTCGCCATACCGTCCCTCCTCGTCGCTTGCCAGTTGCGCCCTGGTCTTGGACAGGAACCCGCCCGCAATGGGGCTGTAGGCGTAAAAGGCCATGTTGTGCCTGCGCAGGACGGGGATGATCTCGTCCTCGGTGCGTCGGGCGACGGCTGAGTAGTTGCCTTGATAGACGGTGGGGACGACAAAGTTGTTTTCTTTGGCCACGCGGACGGCTTCGTCGACCTCGTGCGCGAGGAAGTTGGAGAGGCCTAGCCGCTTGAAGGCGCCCTGCTGGTAGAGCTCGTTGAGGCCGCTGAGGGTTTCTTTCCAGGGGACTCGGCGGTCCGGGGCGTGGATGTAGTACACGTCAACCTGGAATTGTGTTCATGTTAGCGGTCGTGACCTGGTAGTGGTTGTGGCTGCCAGACAGGGGCACTCACGGCGTCGGTGCCCAGCTTCTTGAGGCTTTCCTTGCACGCTTCAATGACAGCATCCTTGGTGGAGATCTTGGGGGACGCGCCACCAGGGAACTTGGTGTCGATGGTGAAGCGTGACGCTGCGCCAGCCTTGCCTAGCACCTGCTCCGAGGCGCCGTAGATCTCGGCCGTATCGACCACCTTGATATCGAGCTCCTCAAGGAGATTCAGCCACTCGACAACCTCCTCAACCGGAGGATTGAGGAATGTCACGGTGCCAAAGACAATCTGGATTCCGTTTGCCAGCATTTTTGTGGAGTGATTGGGGGCCAGGGCCGGTGTGATGCTTCTGCTGAATCATGATAGCGATCGAGGATGTTGGGATGCTGAAGGCCCTTTATACTAGGTAGTAAACACTCAGACCTCAAATTGTACCCCTGATTGTGTAAGCACCGGTAGATACTAGCCATGGAGGTATTGGCTTGGATTATGCAAGCATGGACTCCCATGGAGTGTAGCAGACACGCCTCACTCAGTGGCGACATGAATCCAGTTGTTAGTCCTCGGGATAAAACGAGGCCGAAAGTCGCCGGGCAATTTGTAATCGTCGAAGATCCTAGACATTCACAGCGCTAATGGATTGGCCCGACAGCCGGCATGTGCACTAGCCCCTGGCGATGTCGAGGCTCAATTTCGAGCCATGTTGGACTACTACCTATCCAGATCTTACTTGGCTGTAGAAGTAGTATACGTGTCAACATTTGTACACCGTGTCGGACCGTGGGGGTTACGACCAACACAAGTACTAGTAATACTTTTCCCTAGTTGGAAATACAAAAGTACCATACCTGTACACTGCATGTAAGCATGAATCCAACCTAATGTTGTAGGTGTTCTGTAACCCCGTTCTACTGCTACACTACTAAGTAGGAGTCCTACTAGTATCCTAGTACCTCGCGGCGCGTCTCTTTACCCCTGATCAGACGGCTGATGCCGTGGAGTATGATTTTTAAGCCCACAAAACGTTCTATGAAGGCGAAGTGGAACTGTCGACGAACACTGGAGTCAATAGCTCAACTTCGAGCTTCTTGGTGACCTGTGTACAATACAGTACTATTAGTAGTACAACATTGGGAAGAGACCTACTAGATCATAGGATTTGCCTAAGACGGTCCCAGGATCACTGTTTCTACATCGTTAGAGTTTGGAACACCATGATAAAGAGTATTCGTAGTGTAGGTGGGGCTCTTTGAGCCTCAGCTTAGAGCCTAAGCTCGTTACGAGCCTGAGCTCTTTGTCCATGTCTCACCATGTCTTTCACTGGTACTGGGACAAACGCCCACACCAGTCTATATATATAGACCTGTTCTCCGGAACCATATTGGCAGCATCTTTTTCCTTCCTCTCAATAAGCTATCTGTCCCCGACCTGGGCACGGCCAACCTGGGGCTGGGACAGGAAGGAGAGAGTACCTACTAGAGGTTGATGAACAGGGTGCGGGCTAACTTTGATGGAATTGAAAACAAATGAGTTATACTAGAAATCCAGGTAAAGTGATTAGAATGGACTGAAATGGAACAGTCCTTGGCTAACAAAATGCTAGATACCTATCTGTTATATATATAAAGGCGAGTTCCCACCAGGCGGATTCCCCTTCTTCTCTGCCCTCTCACAACGTTTTTCACTCTCGACTCCATCCCTGCTAACTTTGAATCAAGAACTGAACATAAAACAACCATCCACATTACCCAACGACTACTCGAGCACTCAGGCACTTGAGTCAAACTCGATATGGAGAACACATCCTCCGCCCATGACCAAGGCGACCGCGTCCTGCCGCTCGGAATGGAAGGGTTCGCCTATGTTTTCACTTCTGGCACCGGAGAAGAGTATGTCTACATCCGTTATCTCACTCAGGGGGCTCAGAGCACGGTTCAGCTTGTGCTGAGCACCCAAACTAACGAGATTGTGGTGCAGAAGGTGTTTAAGATTGCGGTTGACCCGCCGAAGGCCACTGCCAACCAGCCCGCAACCCCAATGGGCGACCATGCTGACCCGGATCGCGAGGTCATTATAATGCGGCATTTGGCGGCTCTGCGAAAGAGCCCTGTCAACCCAGAAGCCGAATGGCTCCATCCTCGCTGGCCTGAATTGATATCCAGCCATGATGCTCCCGTCTCGGTCGTCGAAAAGGGCGAAGCCAAGACAATTCTCTCACGGGTCAGTTACTGGGGCCTCTGCAATGGCGGCTCGCTGATCGACTGGGTTCGCGCTCAGGCCGACAACAATTACACGGAGCGGCCATGCTTCCCCGTGAGCATCGTGGCCCGTTGCATCGGTCAGGTTTGTGAGACTCTCGAGTTCTTGTACACGGCCGGCGAGGAGCCCGTGTACCACTTTGATCTGCATCTTGCTAACATTTTCATCCATTTCAGCTCCTATACGCCCGACCTCCCGGACTTCTATCTTGGAGACTTTGGCTCTGCTCGCATTGCCAGTGAGTCCCTCGCTCACGAGGCAGCAAAGGACCGCCACAGAGGGGGTGACGATGCGATTCCTGGCCGCCGAGTTTGGGACACGGGGATCTTCATGGCCTCACTCTCCGAGTTCGTCTGGCGGCCCATGTTCCACCATCACCTTCATCTCAACACGGAGCGAAGGGAGGACATGCTAGGCCTTCGGGACCTAATGTCGAAGGCCGCTTACCTCCAGTCAAAGGAGAATACCGCGGCCCTCACAAACCCGCATAGTCGGCCCCCCTCCCTGCTGGGGGTGATCACAGCGGCGAAGGAGCTGGAGAAGAAGGCTCGCGACATTGAGTTGACCAGCGACAAGGAGGCATACGACAAGTTTATTGCCTTCTTCAGGCCAAGGCCCGCAAAAACTCCGAGAATGAGAAGCCTTTCATCTTCACGGAGTCGTCTGACAGGGCGGCTGCCGAAGAGGATGCGCACAAGAAGAAGATTGGCGGTCCATGGACAATTGTCCGGACAATCTAGCCGCCACACTGCGCATTGAAAGGAGGAGGGAAGGGAGGATGATCGGTTGAGAAGATTCAGAACAGGTACGTAAACGGTAATTGAACTCTTTCTTCCCTGAGTTCCCTCTTTCGGGTAACGGAATGCTGTGATTGACTTTAGGCAGTGACCTAATAGGGAATAGTACCCAGTATCGCGACTTAAGGATACCTGGACCTAACTTAAGTTAGGAGGAAAAACTACCCCTGATTAAATAGCTACGCACCTACCTACTAGGGCATAATTAGTAGATGCCTACTGTGATGAACTATAATAAAGTCCCTTGACAACCACATGGAACGTGTGACGCGTTAAGAGTCACTACCAGTTCGGTTATCCAGGATACCTAGGTAGTCATCGTGCTTATAACAACTGCAGAAGGGGCCAACATGAGCGATAATTGTACTATTATCTCGTAGGTGATTCAAGTCCACAATGGCCCTTGTAGCATGTCGTAGAAGCCGAGGAGTTCCCGCCACCGAAGTTCCTTACAGGGAGTATTACTGGTGGTATCGTCTCGTTCCCGGTATGAATCTGTCGGTGAAAAGTAAAAACAAAGGTCCATGGTCTCTCATTGAAGTGTGGTCAAGAGCCAGGACAGTCAGGTCCTCTCACAAAGTTGGGCTCATCTTAGTCTTGAATTTACCCCAAGGTCTCAAGAGGGTGAAGTAACCTCAACTTTCCTCCTCACGCTGCTAGTTCAAGTTAGTTGTCTTTCTCTCATTAACTCACTCACCCACTCTCACTCTCTCACTCTCTCACTATCTCACACCCCCCTCACGCCATCACGCCATCACGCACTCATATCACTCACACTTTCCTTTCCAACAACAGCTTTCAATCAATATCTCTACTTTTTTTGTAAACTTAGCGTTTCATTCCGTTTCCCCCTTTTCTGCTGTTCCTGAGACTTTGAGTGCTCGATAACCCTAACCCTAGACTACCGTTCGAGTTTTAACCCCGGGTCATTCCGCGAACATTTCTCCAAACTTGTTCAGACCACATTCAACATCGTTGTTCTCACGGAAGTAGCTAATAACTACCAAATAATTCCCCACAAATCACTAATCGACCATGACGAGCAGCAGCACTCGACAGGGAAAAATCGACTCTCTCATTAGCAGGGACGACGGAAGAAAATACTGGGAAGGTGTCAACGCCGATGTCAATGGCATGCTCGGCGGCTACGCGAACGTGAGCAGGGTCGACATCCAGGGCTCGCGCAACTTCCTCGCCAAGTTGGGCATCGGATGCAAATCGAATCAACGTGTCGCAGCTCATGCTTTGGAAGGCGGTGCTGGGTGAGTCCAGTCCAGTTGCTTGAAAAGTCCCTGAGGTTGGAACTTTGGTGTCTGGGGCATCGTGAGTGAAGATCTGTTTGGCCGGCTAACAAAAATTGCCCTGCCTTCAACAGTATCGGCCGAGTCACAGAAGGTCTGCTGCTTGACGGCATTGCTGAAGAGGTGGACGTGATTGAGCCCATCTCCAAGTTCACCGCCGCGCTGCAGGGAAAACCTGGCGTGAGAAGCGTCTTCAACATGGGCTTAGAAGACTGGCAGCCAGAAGAGGGCGTCAAGTACGATTTAATATGGATTCAGTGGTGTGTAGGCCACTTGACGGACGAGCAGTTGATTCACTTTCTGGGCCGGTGTAAGACAGCATTGAAGGAAGGCGGAGTTATTGTCGTCAAGGAGAACAATTCTACGACCGAGGCAGATGATTTCGATGAAGTCGACAGCTCTGTCACCAGGTACGTGTTCAGGTTCCTTGTTTTCTCCTGCTTAGTCGCTGCTGACAGCCTTGTGTGTCAGGGAGGACCGTAGCTTCCGGCGGCTTTTTGGGGAGGCAGGCCTCCGACTCGTCCGGACCGAGCAACAAAGGGGCTTCACAGGAATTGGCCTGCTGCCAGTCCGAATGTATGCGCTGAAGCCAGCACAATGACAAGGAAGGCACATTGTCTCCTGCCACAGGATATCCAGCCGCAACTGTGTGGATGTGTGTTTAGTCCAACCCTGGTGACTTCCTTGACGCCATTTGTGCGATACCGCCAGATCTGACGAAAAGCGCCATCCCAAGCCAGCTCCTTCAACCACCGAGTCCGAGTCTTATCATCCACTCCCCGCAATTTCCTTCCCTTTCCCATCGCCATCACCTGCAGAATGCTCCTCCTCGTTCCCATCGTCATCATTTCCATCCTCCAACTGCACGCCCGCAGCGTCCATCCCCTCCTCAGCATTCTCAGCCTCCAACCCGCCCGACTGAGCAAGGAAGTAATCGACCACTTCAAACTTGTCGCCAAAGCTGGCCAAATCCAACGGGACGTAGTTCTTGTCGTTTGCCAGCGCCGGCGACGCTCCATTCTCGACGAGCAGCTTGACCACGGCTAGGTGCCCGCCTAGCGCAGCCCAGTGTAGGCCCGTGTTGCCGAACTCGTTGGGCGCATCTAGGAAGGATTGCTTGGTCTCTTTTGACACCGAGTCGGAGGTGAAATATGATAAGAGGAGCTTGACCATGTCTATGAACAGGGTTAGAGTGTGAGACGAGGTGAAGTTATTGTGGATACTGGAATGAGGAAAGAAACTCACCAAGGTGCCCATTCCCGGTCGCCATATGTAAACATGTCGATTTTCCCTCGTCCTTTGCATGGGTGAGAATATCCGCAGGCGTTGTGTTCTCACGCTCGGCAAGAGCTGAGAGCAGGGTTGTGAGCTCATCCTTGTCACCTATGCGCGCCGAGTACAAGAGATCATCGATCTCGTCATCGCTAAGGTTGGGTGCCATTTCACTTATTTCTTCTTATACCAGACTCTGGTCCTGAAACGGCAAGAAGAGAGGTGAATGAGAAAATGTGAGTAGGTGCAGTGAGTGAGAGCTCGACACCTTGGGCTAATGGAAAGTCAAAAAATTTGGGAGTTCAAGTCAACACTCACTGCAGTGGCGTTGGCCCAGACAGTGCGAAAGCACATTGTGTTGCGAAACCGCACTGTGTGCTTGCAGCAACCAAATTGAAGACTTGAAGTGTTCCAAAATTCCAAACAGAACAGTGAGAACACTTGCTGGCAGTCGTGAACTCCGCTGAGCAGTCAACAGTGAGAGGAAATGTTCCTCAGAAATGTCTCTCGGGAAACAACTCATAGTAAGGCGCTGAGTGGGCATCCTTCTTTCACTTTTATGTCTTGATGGCAAGCGCTGAGATTGTCGACGCTTGAGCTCAGAGACAGGAGTACATAAGACTGTTGAACTTCCAAGTTCATTGTCGAGAATAAGACAAACTTCTCTCAGAATTGTATCTGACAAGTACCTTATGTAGGTAATGTCTCAGGGCAAGTGGCCAAGATCGTTCCATTTCATTCATTTTCTCTGACATTTTACCAACCAGGCACGAGGATGATGCACCTCACAGACTCACAGAGTCATATTATATATATTCAAATGCTAGACATAGCATTGCGTGTTACTTTTCACTATGAAAAACTAAGTAGCATGTGTTCACTTCAACTGACCAACTCTGTCAGGTCCATCAAATACGAGAACTTCGAATCATAGCTAAAGGGATCAAGCATCGGAACCGAATACTATTAGTTTTATATGGATGTAGGTTGAGGACAGCCAGCGATTTGGTCCTCGGTCCTGGCATATCACATAGGTGGCAAGTTGTGCAAACTCTTGCAGCACAAGATAGGTGCCTTGCCTATTAATACGAAACCAAAATACCGTCAATGTGACCTTCACCAAACCTCTAGGACTCATTAAAGGAGAAGCCATATCCACAATACCCACAGCAGTCCCGCATTGAATTCCTTCAGGCTTTTAGCACATTAGGTACTCAAGGCTACGCTCTGGAAGAACATCACCTACCTAGTCACATGCAGTAGCACTCCGTAAAACATCGACTTGCTGACAACACATCGAGGTAGGTCCCTAGGCTAGCATGCCTTGACCTGCACTGAAAGACTATCCGAGTCCTAAGTACCCTGGTTCATGACACTTAGTAGTAGTAACCGGCCCACAAAAGAAACCGACAGTATCAACTCGCCATAATGTGTTACCACAGAAAGGCAATGTACGTAGACTGCGGCCACCTCTACGAAGACAACGGCGGGTGGCTGCTGGTCACCTGCTCGAAGAGAAGGGCCAGGGGAAGGTGTAGGGGTATTTTTACCGACACGTACACCATGAAACTCATCTCTGGTGCTTGTCCGGAATGCTCCGGCTACTACTATCGGTAATATTCAGGTTATGTCTACGCAGTAAGCGACATCAACAAGCAAAAGTGCCAGGTAAAATCGGACATCTATGTGGATTGTGAGGGCCGGACAGTACTAGGAATGAGAGGGAACATTGTCTTACTCAAAAAGGGGAGCCCAAATACCAAGGTACCTTAGGTATTCCCTAAGTCTTATCATGCAATAGCTGGAGGGTCCATCCTTTAGTAGTAAGGATTACTCCTACAATGGCGTACTGCTTATTCGTATCTACTTGTTGAACACCACCACGCACTTGGGCCCTTAGATGAAATTGAACAGATCGCTTGTTTGCAGAATCGAGTGCCGACCAGCTCGCCATCGTGGATTCGTGATGTTGTCCTTGAACAGTTCATGTTCACCGACAGGTGAAGGAACGCCTCTCAAAAAAGGGGGTATATATACCTTCATTACCCCTGTCTCGTCCCAGCTTGCTTCATCAAACCCTAACTACACTCGACTTCCCGCAAGCAGAATTCGAGCTCTACGATAGACAGCTACCTTACCCAACCCCTTACCACAACAATCTACGCCCATCTTACAAGCTATACAGCTTGCAAGAAAGGAAAACGGCAGCCATGTGCACTTACAGCAGGACCAAGTATGCCTGTCGCCACGTAGTGGCCAAGCTGGTCAAGAAGTGCGATTCTGCCACGGATGGCTTCGAGTGCTTTGCCAAGTTCTACCAGAAGGTCGACAAAGTGTACGAGAACGATGTCTGCTTCGCTTGCTGGCACTCTGACAAGTGAGTGAGCCACTTCACTTCCTGAATAGGTAGGTAGGAAGAATGAGAAAGCATCGATAGGTGCTATTAGGACATAGAGTCTACCAGATACTTGGATCCGTGTGAACAACGCCCATGACCTCTCCAAAAGTCTCCATCCCATGCCCGCTCCATCTCGTGCTCTCCCTCCCGCGCCTGTTCTATCCCGTGCCCTCTCCATCTGAGCAGGCCTTCTGGCTTTTCATCTTTGATCACTCGCCGCGCACTTGAGTTCTTGGCCCATGGGCGCAGGTCACGGTGGGTTGTCTGCATAACCAACTGCCAAGCAGCTCGCCATCGTGATGTTTGTTCTTGTACAGTCCATATTCCCTGACAACGGACAAAGGCCCTGGTATCTCCCAGGGAAAGGCTATTCATACCTTCGATTGCCCCAGCTCATCTCACCATTCAACACACATCGCACTCGACACCTCCGAAACGCAAACAACTTGAATCTAAAGGTACTGTGGTTTTGAGAGGAGAAGTTACCGCAACTTGGAGTTCTGCCACGACTCGCTATCCGTCGAACCCCTGCCACCTGCACTAATCTACCTGTCATAGCAACCCACTTGTAAGAGGGAAAGGAATCAGGTAGCCATGTGCTCTTACAACAGGGCCAAATATAGCTGTGGCCACGAAGTGTTTAGACGGTACAAGCCGTGCGAGGCTGTTAAAGCTGGCAATGACTGCCTTGGCGCGTTTACGAGATGGAGATCGGTAAAGTGTACGACGTGGTCTGCTCCGCTTGCCGCCAATCCGGCAAATGAGCTGCCCGGCCCCCTGGATATATGTAAGAAAGCATCTAGCGGTGCATGTTAGGAGGAGAAATCCTGACATGAGGATGGGGACTGGACCTCGCGCGAGGGCTGAGAATGAGAGAATAGAGCACTGATATCCCCGATATTATCAATGATGAAGCGTGACTGAATCACTATCGTATATACTTCCAACTACATATGGAGTTACTAACTACAGGGTCAGACTGCAAGATTATCTTAGAGAATAGTCCTGCTGAGTACTTCCCGCTATTGTGACTGACTCACCAAGAACGAAGATAACAATATAACGATCTCATCATGAACCTTGAACTAGCACGGAAGCTTCGCGTCCAGCCAGCGAGTGATGTCGCCAAAGTTGTCCACGGCCTGCATCTCAGCCTTGATGTTGAGAAGTAGCATCCGCTGCAGCTCCAGCATTTGCTCGAACTCATCCTCGCCGCAGCCGTCCGCCGCAGCTATTATCTCCTTCATAACCTCTACCGCTTTCTTCCTGTCACGCTGGGTAAGAGGGCACACTGACTCGATTGGGCCAGGATTCATCCTGCTCATCCTGGCTCTTTTTGCAGGTCTCTCTTGCTGAGAACCTGTATCATCAACCTGAAGTCAGCATGATGTGCTACGCCCGGCATATTAGGAGACGACTGGGAAGTGTACCATAGGAGGAGGACGCTCCAGATTCCTGGCTGGAACCGTCTTGACTAGCTCCACTTCCATCACTGCCAACACCTTCTTCATGATCTGAAGCATTGCTCGAGAGGATGTCGTTGCTGTGAATGCCAAGCCATCTTAGTCGTGGCACGGTGGCGTCCTGCTCATGTTCGAGGCGCCGGCTCCCATTCTTGTAGGTCCGCATGATCGCGATGCCGTCAGGGTCAAAGTCAATCAAAGCAAAGATGTTCATGTTTGAACGAAGTGAGTGGAGTAAGCAAAGAAAGCGCCGGGTGTCCAAGTCGGGGAAGCCTTTTCCCTATCGCCGCAATCTCGTCAACAGGGACGTCAACAGAGTTTGGTATGCCTAAGCATACCGTAAGGAGAATGCCGTGGCCAAGTTGCGAGCTCATGGCATAGCCGGAGGCGGCCAATGTCCGGAACGTGGCCTTCAAGAGCTTGTGAGCTGTGAAATTGATCGCCCAACTACGGAGTATCATACCTCCTTCTCGATTACCAACACCCACTTTATACAGCGGAAGTCGATCTGTTGAATTGAACTGACGGGAGGCAAAAGTGATCCCTGCGTACTCAAATCGATCAGTAAGGCAACGTCTGAATTATGGCAATGCAATTTTTTGTACCGTGCTGCCTAGGAGGTCGTAGCTGTTGACGGAACCGTCGTTCAGAACCAGATCTATCGGTCCGGATACCAAGCCTTTGGCTGCAGCCACCTGAATTGAATTAGCCCACCTGATCAGTTTGGAGAAATCTAGTATGTGAAATCTCGGCGGGCCATTGTTACTATGTTCAGATCTGTGCGGCCCACCCCAAGTGTGAAGGCCAAGTTGTCAACCATGTCGTCCACCATGCTTTGCGACTTGAACAGTTCCGGGTTCTGGTAGTATATGTTCCTGAACACGTCAACTACCTGCCAAAGGAGCAGTCCACTCGCTCAAGATCTCCGAACCTCTTTGTGATGAGTTTTCCGGACAGAAGAGCTTCATGGGACAACTGGAGGATGCAGAACAGGGCTTCTTTTGAAGGCAGGATGGCGTTAGCGTGCATGCGAGGAAGACAAAGCACAGAAGACCGTTACCAAACCGTTTTGCCTCCTGGATTGTGCGTCCAGGGAACCTCACTATATCAGATTGACGGTCGTGGTTTTGACTGGACCGAATACCCGGGCCAGCTGGAGCAGACCGTACCGTTCGATACGGAATGGGCAGCTCAACACCAGCAATTACCGCATCCAGCATTGACTCCATGAGGCTCTCAATCTTGGCGAGTGCGCTACTATGAGATGTTAACGGAACCGTGACCAGGCTACTGGAGCTGGAGTTGATGGTGGCTGAAACTGGCACATTCTGTCCGGAGGAAACGACGGAGTTCTGCCAGCTCTCAGGGCGCCGTTCTTGCCTTCGTGGGATCGAAGGCATGGTTCATTGTGCTCCAGATGAGGATGATCTGGGTTGTCTGATGATCGCAACGACTATTGAATAACCAGCTCATATAAGACTTGATATCACTGAATATGTCTGTAGCCCTAGGAAGAAGTGACCCTGGTGTCCATGGTAGAAGAGTGAAGCCCGCCGTATCCATTGCCTTGCCTCGCGCATCACCCCACTTGTTGAGACCCAGGTTTAGGCAGCTCAAATCGCTCCTTCCTCTGCAGCAATATACCTCGCCAACTGGGCCTGTAAGTACGCTCGTAAGGTACTGTGCGACGCATTTCACACAATCATGGATCAATCAGATCAGGGGTCCAATGGTTGGGAAGGTAGTCAAGTTGTTGTTGGAACCTTTCCTGGTTGCATGTGATCGAAGCCAAAATGTCAATTGCAAAAAAAAAGCGGAGATTGACTGTTCTTTGACGGGAGTCTCCAGGACCCCGAGATCGACCCCGAAAGATCGAAGTGGGATGAACTGGCCAATCGGATTGGCGAATTGAGACCCATAAGCAAGGAGAGCCGGGACTGCCCCGTCTTTCAGGCTTTCAGCCTCTCAGGGACTGAGCTCGCTTCTCTGCCCAACACCACCACAACGAGACAAGGACACTTTCGAGTCGAAATGGGGCGAAGAAAGGTCAGTGCAGCGGTTGCACCCGAGAAAGAGCCGCTCCTGGAGAAAGGGACTACCAGGAAACGGCTGAGTAATGCGGGCGACCACGACCATGCCACAAAACGGCAGCGATTAGAGGAAAAGACCGACTATTTTCGATGGCGCATGTGGGATGACCATGGCCGCCAATCATGGCGCTATCTGGAGGACGACGACGAAGCCGAGAAATGGCCACAGACACTCGCCGACAAATACTTCTTGGGTCTGCCACTGGTAAGCAATTCCGGACTGTTTTGTCCTTTTGCTATCACTGACCTGGCCTCGTTAGGGTCTCCCCGATCTTCCGAAGGCCAAGAGCCCGATTGATGCCGTTCGAAATGGACTGGAATTCTTCGAGAAGCTTCAATTGCCTAGCGGCCACTGGGGTTGCGAATATGGGGGGCCAATGTTCCTCTTACCCTGCGTCGTCCTGGCATGGTATGCGACCAAGACACCGATCCCGTGGCACCACGCAACTGAGATCAAAAACTACCTGTTTGCACGTGCGCACCCCGAAGATGGAGGATGGGGCTTGCATATCGAGGGCGAGACGTCCGTCTTTGGAATCACTCTCAACTACACGGTTTTGCGCGTCGTCGGAGTCGACGCCGACCACCCGAAGATGGTCAAGGCCCGGGCCACGCTGCATAAGCTCGGAGGGGCGACAAATGCTCCGCACTGGGCTAAATGGTGGTTGGCAGTGCTGGGGGTAGCCAGCTGGGATATCGTCAATCCTGTGCCGCCAGAATTCTGGCTTCTGCCGGATTGGGTTCCCTTCGCGCCATGGAGATGGTGGATTCACATGCGCCAGGTTTTTTTGCCTATGGGATATCTGTGGTCCAGGAGATGGCAGGCTGAAGAGACTGAGCTGGTTCGCTCCCTCCGGAGAGAACTCTTTGTTCAGGATTGGGAGAAGATAAACTGGGCCGCACACCGCAACTCTATCCATCCTAAGGACAACTATCACCCTAAGACGTGGCTCCTCAACACGGCAAATTGGTTTCTTGCCAATATCTGGACACCCTTCATTCGCCCGAAAGCGCTAGTGGACCGGGCCGAGGACTGGGCTATGAAACTCATCGAGATGGAGAACGAGAATACAGATTGCCTCGATCTCGCTACCGTGTCGGGGCCCATGAATCTCGTATGTCTCTACGCTCGAGACGGCCCGGATTCTTATGCTGTGCGGAGGCACAAAGAGCGGGCTGAGGAGTTCCTCTGGGTCAAGGACGAAGGCATGCTCGCCAACGGAACGAACGGGGTCCAATGCTGGGACACGGCATTTGCTATCCAGGCTGTCATGGATGCGGGGCTCACTGAAGATCCTCGATGGCGGCCCATGCTGCTCAAAGCCCTCGCGTTTCTCGATGATCAACAAATCCGTGACAACGTAAAGGACCAGGAGAAATGCTATCGCCACCAGCGTAAAGGGGCATGGGCCTTCAGCAACAAGGACCAGGGCTATGCCGTGAGCGACTGTGTTTCAGAGGCACTCAAGGCCGTCATCATCCTCCAAAAAACTCCGGGCTTTCCCACACTAATCGACGATCAGCGCATTTTTGATGCGATCGACACGGTCCTGACCTACCAGAACCCCAATGGCAGCTGCTCGTCGTATGAGCCTCCTCGGGGTGGCTCGTGGATGGAGATGTTGAACGCCGCCGAGGTGTTTGGTAACATCATGGTCGAGTACGAGTACCCGGAATGCACGACCGCTGCTGTCACTGCCCTATCCTTATTCCATAAGCATTGGCCCGACTACAGGTCCCAGGAGATTGAACGCTTCATCACACGCGCCGTCACGTGGATCAAGAGCGTACAGAAGCCACATGGCGGCTGGTATGGAAGCTGGGGCATTTGCTTCACTTATGCAACCATGTTTGCGCTTGAAAGCTTGGCGAGCACTGGGGAAACATATGGAAACAGCATTCACGCCAAAAGGGGATGCGATTTCTTGATCTCGAAGCAAAGGGAGGATGGCGGGTGGTCTGAGCATTACAAGGTGTGTCAAATCCAAATCTCACCCCTCATCCAACGGATTGACTGATGCGATGACTTTTCCAGGCTTGTGAGACTGGTGAATACATTGAGCACCCTACCGGATCTCAAGTCGTCATGACAGCATGGGCTCTAATTGGCCTAATGAAAGCGGATTACCCTCATACCGAGCACATCAAGAAGGGCATTAAACTGATCATGGACCGCCAGCAACCGAACGGCGAGTGGTTACAAGAGGCAATTGAGGGTGTCTTCAACAAAAGTTGCATGATTTCATACCCCAACTACAAGTTCACTTTCACCATGAAGGCCCTGGGCATGTTTGCCCGAAAATACCCCGATGAGACGGTCGTGTGAACTGAGGTCGATGGGGGAATCTGGCCTGGAAAAGGCATGGTTGCTTACCTTCTTTTTTCTCTTTGGGAATGAGACATGAGCACTGATAATGGTAATAAAGTAATGGAATGCCTGCATGTGTCCGTTTCTACAAAATTCGTTGTGGTTGTAACTTTTGTGAGAGTACAATAATTACCCGTTGGCTGAACCTTCGTAAAGGGGCCACTATTTCATAATGATAGTTGGCCCCTTACGAAGGTCAGCCAACGGGTACAGCGAGTAACGATGTTATTACATGCAAGAAGGCGGTGAGTTTGCTCCCAGGACCCACCTGAAATTTAGAACTCGCAGTCGGCAGAATCTGGAAAGCTTGCTTGTTACCCCGCCAAATTTGGAGCTTCTTGTTCGTGACCTGAGCTTCACCATCCTTCTGCTGCTTTCGATTAATCCTTTCTCACCATTTTCTTAGGCTGGTTCTTCCCATCAGCTGCAAACGGTCCCTTTCCTTCGACAACTACTCGTACCGAAAATTCAACGATTTCCTCAGCTCCATCTCACCCGAATCTCGAACACGTCCAAAATCCGGGTAGGTATTCATTTCTCGGCCCTCGCCCCACCAAGTGTGCCCGTGTACCTTGACGGGCTCGTCATTGCAGTCACTAACTTTTCTATCACCGCGTGTAGACATAGCCTTGTTCGGTTTCCATCATGTCGGCAACGACGCTCGCCCATAAGGGCTGCGAGGCCGTAAAGAACAAGGATTGGGAGGCTGCCATCCCGCTTCTTGACCAGGCACTCAAGTCTTCCGACTCCCCCATTTGGCTCCTTGCTCGCGCTCAGGCCCATCAGCAGCTCAGGAACTACGACGCCGCTCTCCGCGATGCCGCACTCGCTTTCATCTCCGCGACTGAGCGCGGATCTGGCAACGCGCGCAAGTACATGATTGACGCCCAATACCGTCGTTCTGTTGTCTACTACAAACTTGGTCGCTACGCCGATGCGGACTGCTGCGCAAAGTGGAGCATGCTCTTGGCCGAGGGCCGCCCTGCTTTTGAAAAAGATGGGGTTGAGAAGAATGTCGACGAGAACGGCAATTACACAGTTACCTACGAACAAGGCATTGCGGACAAGCAGGGACAACCGATCGATTCTGCTTATGACCGGACATACAGACGCCAGGTTCTTGGTATGGTTCAGGAGCAGTCCGAGTCCGTGGCATCGAAGACAGGATTTGAAGCAGAGTGGAAGCGGGCTTACGCCTGGCGGAGCCAGGTGCTCGCCACGTTGAAGACGGTCCCCGAGGATCATTCTGGGCGGAAAGTTAGCGTTACCAAGTTCCCAGACAAACCCAAGCAGGAGATGGCAGAGAAGAAGCCAGAGCCAAAACCGGAATCTCAAGTTGGCGATAGTGACGACGACAAGCCGGTTGAGGTCAAAGGCCCGGCCCCTGGAACGGTACCTGACGAGCAGCTCAAGCTCCGCGTCGACTTCTATCAGACCAATCAGACCGTCACAGTGGCACTCTTTGCGAAGGATGTCAAGAAGGAGGATCTCCAAGTGAACTTCTTCCAGAATTATGTAAGTCACTTCCTTCTATTCCGGAAAACCTGCTGGCGCCCGGCTAACCTAAAGCAGGTCCAAATCTCACCCCTTCCCCGCGCTGCTGATCCATATGTCAAGCCTGGCGACCGCGAGGCTGCGTCCACCTTCATCCTGGGCGGGGAAATCATCCCTTCAGCCTCGCGTTGGTCTGTCACTCCACGAAAGATCGAACTGGTTCTGCAAAAGGCCAACGCCGGCCTGAAATGGAGCACATGGGGCAAGGAAGAAATTGGTTTAGTTGCGGCAGGAAGCGACGGCGATGTGCAACCCGAGAACAATGCAACGGCCACTGCAGCAGCCGCTCCGGCCGCACCGCCAGCTGCGCCACCTGCTAAACCGACCAATGCGCCTGCATACCCCACCAGCAGCCGCTCGGGACCCAAGGACTGGGAGAAGCTCGGCGAGGGTGAAGACGAGTTAGACGAAAAGGACGTCAACTACTTCTTCAAGCAACTCTACAAGGGCGCGACCCCGGAGCAGCAGCGTGCCATGATGAAGAGCTTCATTGAGAGCAACGGAACAGCGCTCAGCACGGACTGGGACGATGTCAAGAATCGCACGGTCGAGACAGTTCCGCCTGAGGGCGTGGAGGCCAAGAAATGGGAGTCTTAAGTCTCTGACGGATAGCAGAGCAGTCACAGCGGCCATACGAGAGGGCATAATTGCCTGTTGGCTCATACTTCGTAAGCCTCGGTCATCTAGCCAGTGGCCTCTGGGGATTACGAAGTATGAGGCAACTAGTAGTAGTGAGCCCGTGACTCTTCCTCTTTTTTATCTCAGGCGTTCATGGGATGGCGACAGCGGTGGTTTGGGCGGATTCCCGGGGTTGTACTGGAGTTTCGGGATGGACAGGGGAATCAGGAGCGTGCCTTAGTTTAGTCCTAGACTGTCATCGGACACGACGCTTTCCGATCATCTCATCCATGTTTCGTTGGTGCTCCCTTTCGATGTATTTGACTCGGCAGAGGAAGACGACGATCCAAATACCATTCCCACTTTCAAGCTGACGTGTAGCGTTGCAGTAACTGCGCCATTCCAAACCAACCCATCACCACCATGCAGATAAGCGGCTGTCGCTGGGTCGTAGGCGGAAGGTACTAGGTATATTAAGGTCTATATCATAAGGGGTATCATGCGCGAACTCCCGAGTCTAGTCTATATGCGCTTTCCGTTTAGATGCAGAGCTGCAGGTGCCGTTTGGGAATGCTGGTGACCGCACCTTGTTGTCCTTGATCTCTTCCACGCTCATATCCATCCTCACCTTAAACCGCTTGCCGCGCCAGGTCACGGTAGTCCCTAGCAGCACAGCCCATGTCCAGATGGGCAATGCAAGCAGCTCCCTTCCCAACCAGGCTGGCAGCCACTCCTGGAGCGGCCTCTGGGCTACCCCCCCACGGCGGGTCGAACCCAGAGCAAAAGCAGGTGTGTTCTCATCCACATCAACGGCCCGGAATTCGAGAAGCTTGCTTGTCAAGCAGCGATCGAGAAGCATCCATATGGTGACCACCAAAGCCCAGATCGCGCCCATAGCGCTCCATGCCTGAGGAATGCCCAGTACCTCGTGGACTACGGGCAGCGTGGTGAGCGCAAAGCCAAAGTGTAGGCCGCATAGGAGCGACTCAACTCCTGGTTCAACGAGGGTGGCAGCCAGCACAGTCCACTTTCGAACGCGCAGCCAGCGCGTCCGGCGGGCAATGTAGGCGCCAACAGACATGCCGGACATGGGCTGGATCGCTACCTCGCCGAAAACGAGGCCATGGTTCTTGAAACCAGGGATTTCAGACTTGAAAAACAGGTCGCCAATGAGATGATCCTCACAGATGTACGACGCAAAAAAGTCCAGACCCCGGCCTCGTGAAGCATCTGAGGCGGAGAGCACCGGGTTCTGGGAGGGATCGGTCAGGCGATCCAGGTGAGACTTGCGAAACATGTTGCTCTTTCCAACTACGCAAGGCGCGACGCCGACGGCGTTGATGGCGCTGTAGAACTTGGCATGGCTGGTCGACATGAACATTTCCTCGAGCCTGCCTCCGTGGCTCCAGATATCCGTAGTCGCACGCGGCCGGAGATCGTTTCCCGACGAAAGGCTCTCTTCCTTCGGGGGTGTGTGCGTGTCAATGTCGACGACGAGGGGGAGCTGGTGGACGAATTTGTATGGTGTCGCTCTCGCGCCATCGGGACGGAATCCGCAGAGCTTGTCCACCAACCTCCCTGCAGAGCCTGTGCCAACCCAGACGTTGCAGTCAACAATCCATATTATATCACCCTTCGCCTCCCGATACCCGCGACTGATGTTGCGGATCTTTGGGTTCGGTCCCAGATTGTTGGTGTGGCCTTGCGGTCCGTGCAGCAAGGGGTCGTCTTCCTCGACTAGGACCTTCGCGTCCAGTCCTGGGAAGTCTGCAACAACTTGCTGAAGGATGGGATATGCCGGGTCCAGTGTGGATGCGACGCAAAGATAGATGGTCAATTTGTCCTTTGGGTAGGCAAGCCGGAAGGTCGAAGCGAGGCATGCATAGAGCTCCGGCTCGACGCCCTTGACCGGGCGTATTACCGTGATGTGAGGGACATCGTCATGTCTCAGCGACGGCGACACCGGCTTCGGATGTTGTGCGGAGTGGTTGCGGAAACTAGGATTTGCCCTGATCAGCTGGTGGTAAAGGCTGTTGCAGCGGAGAGTCAGCCCTTACAGTTTGTAGATGCCGATGCTTTGGACAACAAAGACGGTGCAGCTCCAGATCAAGCTAGCCAAGGCCGCGCCTTGAACTATGATTGACATTGGACCATCACCAACAGTCATCAAGGGTGAATAGGGCCTGAGAAGGAAAAGAATCTAGGAGACAAGGTGGTGCGACGGACAATCCGACGACAGAGAAATAAGGTCAGCCATGAACCCCAAATCCATGTGGGGCATAAAAGTCCTCCAATTGATGTTCGGAATCCACGGCAAGTCACGAAACGACACGAGTCGTGGAGTCGGAAAAGGGGCTGACGGCGAAGGACGCTAAAGAGATAATTACAAAAGTCCGAGGCCGACCAGACCGCAGGTATAACAGGCAGCCCTGGTGGCATCTACAGGTGTTGTTGACAGCTGATGAAAGGTTCCCTTTCTCGCTCAAGATTTGTGAGATGTGATTTCTCTGTCTGTCACTGGCCAGCTGGCTGCATCCCCCAAAAAAACGTCCTCCTGTGAGGTCAAAGGTGCAGGGTCCACTGACTCCACTCTACAAAAACCCGTTGCCCCACCTTCCCGAGCAGCCGGAAGGCATTGCTGCCTCAACATTCAGGCCTTGGAGCGATTTTCCTAGAGCTCAAAAATCTGCAGCCAAGCCGAGCTTTCCCATTTGCATCAGATCATGCCGTATCATCGACAAAATCTTGCTCCAAATGTGAGGCGCAATTTTTCAGGCCTCATTCCTACTTCCTCTCGCGCCCCTAGCGGCCTTCCCTAGTAACAGGGACAGTCAAGATTCATTCTTCCTGTTGTCGGCGGACTGGGCGGATATTCCTCCCTCGGAGTAAGTAACTCAAGCCACTCATATCTTGCATATCCCCATGATTCTCCTTCCCTAGGAGAAGTTGTCCTTATGGTCTTTCAGTATGCAAATCATCCCTCCTCCGGGATGATTCACCAGCCATAGCAACCTGCTCCTATATGCTAGGCACTTGCCCTGGGCAACCAGGGGCTGTTGGATGGACGGCCCCAACTGTGAGACCTTGGTGCAACTCCTCCTCCCCAACCTATAATTGCGGTGATGACACTCGAAGATATTCGTGCTTAGAGCAATGTACTTCAGTGTACGCTCGATGAATGCCATCTATCATAGACTACAACGGTATCTGAGCAATTGCTTCCACGGAGATTGCGGTTGGAAACGCCATATCTGCTTTGTGCTACCATCAGCGATTGCTAACACATACCGCATCATCAGGCGACATGCGGGTTCATGAATATGGCTGAGACCGCAACAATCACCACGACTCCGAACGGGAAACATGTCAGCAAGATACCTGGCTTGGTTTCGCCAGCCAACGTGCCAGGCACTGTGGCTGAATCGAAGGCGCCGACAGCTGCTCATCCAGCACCGCCGCCGAGGACGCCGTTGAATCAGATCTACGTGCTCCCCGCTCCAATTCGTACCTTCCCTCTTCCCGCCTTCTATCCACACAATCCGGTATCGCTTCTCCACCTGGCCTACGTTTGGCTGAGCCAAATCTTTCGTCCACCACCGCCCGAGCCGTCGGTTGTGCACGTGGGAGTGTGGGATCCTGAAACGCGATCTGTGCATGTCAAACACCCCGCATCCATACGGGCCCTCTGGGAGCAAGGCTTCTATGGTAAAGGCAGCCTCAGCCGAAGTGAGCCGAATTGGCTGAAAAGGGAATTGGCCAGACGAGGTTCGCCGGAAGCCAAAACGGTCAGCGAGTTGCGCACCGAGTCGAGACGAGAGGAACGACGGCTTGCTAAGTGGGAGCGGGCAAAGGCAGAACTGGAGGCGGTTGAACGCCAGAGGCTCGCAGAAGCCGAGCTCCATGCCGCAGCTGCTGCACAAAGCAAGCTTAATGGTGATTTCAATGGACATATTTGGGAGCCTGCCGAGTCGACAGCGCTTGCGAGTTCCTCGCTGGGCGAGAATATCAAACTAGCCCCGGCAGAGGGTTCGCTCGATGCCGAGCCCAAGCATGATGCTGGTCGTGACGAGTCTAATGGATACCATTTCCAGCTTGTCGAGCCGGCCCTTGGTTTAGCAGAACAACTGGCACTTCCCAATTCTTCAGCTAAGCCTAATGGCTCCGCGCATAAGACCAGTGGGCAGCTTAAGGCCCCTGTGGGGCCAATGGAATTGCTATCACTACCCAATTCTTCAGCGATGCTCAATGGCTCCACAACCAAGTTCACTGGGCAGTTCATGGCACCGGTTGGACCAATGGAATTGTTATCACTACCCAATTCTTCATCGAAGCTCAATGGCACCACGGTCAGGCTCACCGGGCAATTCAAGGCCCCTGTTGGACCGATGGAACTGTTATCACTACCCAATTCTCTCTCGGATCTGGAGCTGAAAGCGCCCTGTGAGAGAGAGATCCGAGCTGATCTACTTGGGAGTTCTGTTTCTAGCCATAATGAGCCGAAATTGGTCAACGATGATGAGCACGCGGTCGAGGCGAGTGCCCACGCTCATAGCAGCCAACTCATGCATGAACTCTTCGTCAACGGTGATCAGCCTAACGGCCACATCAACGGGGTTTATTCCTTGGCTTCCAATTCTTCACTCCCCACCCCAACCGCGGAACCAAGCAATGGGACCAAGGATATAAGGAAGCTCGAGCCCCCGAAGCGCCGAAAGAGCGTCCGCTTCTCTCCCAATGTCGAGTCTACCACCTTTCAACATTCTGATCCTCCGAACACCAATCACTCTCCGGATGTTGCCTCCAAGGTTGATACGCCTGAACCTATCAACGGAGAAAGCATATCTGAGCCGGTCCCCTCCAAGCTCTCGCCTATAACTGGGCCACTCTCCATGGAGACGGCGTATTCGAGCCTCGACACAACGACCAACGTGTCCGAGGTGGAGAACAAGGAGCATTTCCAGCTCTCACCAGAAGAAGCATTCTTCCTTGTCTTTTCTCTAGGGGCTCTATCGGTTGTGGACCCTGTGACCGCGTCCCCTATCCCGCCGGAGCATCTACTGAGACTTTTCCGGTCATACTCCTATTTTCCTCCCCGATCTGGTGGTCTCAGGCCTGATGACCCTTTCCTTGTAAACTATGCTGTGTATCACCACTTCCGCTCGCTCGGCTGGGTGCCCCGTCATGGCATCAAGTTCGGCGTTGACTGGATCCTCTACCAACGTGGGCCAGTCTTTGACCACAGCGAGTTCGGCATCATGATTCTGCCCGCGTTTTCTGATCCGGCATGGGCCGAGTTTGAGCACGAGGTGCCCAAGAGGTCGTGGTCGTGGCTGATGGGCGTCAACCGGGTTCTTTCGCATGTCCTCAAGAGCCTGGTGCTCGTGTATGTTGACATACCGACCCCGATCGTGTTCGAGGAATCGATGGAGAGGGGAGGCATCGCAGCTGCGCTGAAGAAGTACACTATCCGCGAGGTTATGGTTCGGCGGTTTTCGGTCAATCGGAATAGGTGAAGAGGGGTTGCATTCGAACGGCGTCTGGGGCGGTTGGCATGTAAAGTACCCATGATATGGCGATGCTCTTGGATTGCGAGTACCATAGGAGCGATAAGCGAGTATCTAAACGACTACAACGTTGCCTAAATACCGTCTGAATCATATCGGTACTCCAAATGCTCTACAGTCTGCACCCTCAGTCAACAACCCTCAACTCCTCCCCTTATTTCCAACAAGCCACAGCTCCCTGAACCTCGACCCTTCCAGTTCAGCCAGTTCCCGCGGCCGACCCGTCTCGACGATCCTCCCCTGCTCCATCACCACGACCCTGTCAAACGCCATCACCATCCCGAGCCGATGGCTCACCATGACAATGGTGTACCCCGCAAATTCCTGCATGATGATGCGCTGCATGGCCCCGTCCGTGTCCAGGTCCACGCTGGAGCTGACCTCGTCGAGCAACAGCACCCCGCCGTCGGCGACTACTTTCTCGCCAGCCTCAGCTGCTCTCTCCCTTGCGCGCGCCCGCCGCCGCAGGATGGCCCGCGCCAGGCTGAACAGCTGCCTCTGCCCCTGCGAAAAGGTCTCGGGCGACATCCCCGCCTCCATACCCCCGCGCGAGGCGACAAAGTCCCAGAGCCCGACGGCCTCGAGCGCGGAGCGGCAGTCGGCTGCCGTGCTCTGCCCCAGCGGGTCCAGGTTCGATTGCACGCTGCTGCCGTCGGGGAGGAAGACTGCGTCTTGCGGGATGGCGATGACACGGTTGCGGAGGGAGGGGCGGTGGATTTTGGAGAGGGGGATGGAGTCGATTGTTATTTCCGGCGGGTGTGTCATTGAGGTTGAGGTTGGCAAGGGATCGAGGAGGCGGAGGAGGAGCAGGAGGAGGGAGGATTTGCCGCTGCAAGGATAGGGTGGAGATTAGTAAACAAGGCAGGAAGGGAGAATGGGGTTGCTAACCTGCCACTGCGACCGCAGATGGCCACTTTCTCCCCTGGAGAAATGTCGAGGTGCAGGTCATTGAGAGCAAGATGCTCCGGTGGACTTGCCGTCTCGCCCTGTGCATCGTCGTCACTAAAGCCATGTAAGCAATGTGACTCGTTTGGATATGCAGCGAGGGCATGCAGTATCGAACCTCCCGTATGATGCTGACACTCCGCTGATTTGGATGGCACCCTTCAGCGGCCACTCTTTGGGGGGCACGACGTCTTCGCCCTCCCTGCTCTCGGGTTTGACATTCTCGCTAAAAGACTTCAGCCGACTGACGGCTCCGATAGACGTCTCCAGCATCGTGTAAAACCGAATAATGGAAAAGAGGTTCTCGCCAAACGCCATAAGCGTGACAAGACTGGCGCCGGTAAAAGCCGTGTTGGAACGCAATTGTGTTGAGAGCGTCACAACGGCAAGGCCGAGAACTGCCACTATCAGTTGCAGAGTGAAACCGAGCCATCGCTGGATCATTGCGAGGAGGTAGGCTGGTCGCTGAGAAGTGTCCAAGAGTCTGTCATTCCGGGAGACGCCTTCCTGGATCCATCCGAAGGCGCGGAACGTGGCGATTCCCTTGATGGTGTCGATAAAGTGCGAACTTCATGAGTGAGTCAGCAGCCTGGTATACTCGACAGACAAGAGTAAGGGTACCCACTAGAGAGGGGACTTGGCTTCGAGGTCCAGCAGCCTAATCTGGCGAGAGGTGCGGAGATAAAACATCTGCAAGACGTACATGGCCGCAAAGAGGATTGGGTAGGTGAGTGCGAGATACGGGGAAGCCGTAGCAATCACCGCAGCCATGCCTATACAAGCAAAAGCCGCAAGTATCACGTTGATCATGGCCATAGGAAGCTGACCGTCGATCAGCGTCATGTCCTGTGAGAACAGGTTGGTCACGACACCAGTATCGGTGATGGTGAAAAATTTAAGGGGCGCGTTGAAGACGGTGTTCAGCGCTTCACGGTGTAGTTTTGCCCCTGAGATATTCACCACTGAGCGAAATCCCACCATCGCAACAGAAAATAGAGAAGCCAAAGCACCTGTCTGCAATAAGGCATACACCCCATTGTAAAAGCCGTTAAAACGGGAAGGGTTTGGCGATGCGACGTCTTCAGACCAGAACTTCAACCAAATGGTACCAAAGTTGAGGAAGAAACCCCCACCGATGCCGAGGACAACAAGGGCTGTCAGACAAAGCGCTCCAATGCGTGAGAAATAGTGTCTGTATACTGCCCAGTCACCGGTAGCCCTTGCCTGCCCCTCGACTTTGGAAGAGGCAGCAGTTGGTTTTGAGCGTGGAAGGGCTTTGAGCGCACTCTTTTCTAGCTTCTTACTCTCTGGCACAGAGTCATCCCCTAGCAGAGGACCTCTCTCGGTGACCCCGAGATTGTGTACATACTTCTCATTAGCGAGAAGCTCCTGGAAAGTGCCTTGCTCAACGATCGTCCCGTCCTGGCCAAGGGCAATGATATGGTCGGCGGAGGGGAGATGTCGCACGGAGTGTGTACACAGAACTGCTGTGGCGTGCCTTCTTCGGATAAGGCTGGTAGATGAGAAAACACGGAGGAAGACCTGTTCTTCGGTGTCCGCGTCGAGACCACTCAGAATATCATCGAACACGTAGAAGTCTGTGTCGAGGTACAAGGCCCTTGCCATGGAAACTCGCTGTTTCTGGCCCCCGCTCAACGTGACCCCATTGCTCCCGACATTGGTATTATCTCCCTGTGGCAGGATTGACAGATCCGGGCCAAGCATGGTAGCTTCAATGACTTCTTCGTACCGCTGTTGGTCGAATGGGGAGAACCCAACAATATTCTCCCGAATCGTTGCGTTTGACAGGTACGGTGTCTGATCACAGTACCCGATTTTACGATTCGAATTAGGAGCCATGATAACTTCTCCCTGTGACACGGGTATTTCACCAAGAAGAGCCTTGCACAAAGTAGACTTGCCAGAAGCCACAGGCCCGACAACGATCGTAAGGCAAGAGCTGGGGATCTCGAGGTCAATATCCCTGAGGCTCAGTTTCTCGGTATGCCAGCCGAAATTTCCGTTAGTAACCTTAACTTTTGCCGTAGTTTGAGAGTTAAGGCTCTCCGGTCTTGGCTTTTCCTCGGCAGTAGCTTGATTTGGACGAGGTAGCCCATGGAACGATCGAAAATCGGCGTGTGCTTCCTTCTCAAGAAAGGCTTGAATCCGGCTCAGGCAAGTTAAAGCGCCGAGAAGCTGGGGGACTGCCTGGAAAAGCGTGCCCAAAGGGGTCGCCAGAAGCGTGATATACGATATTGACGTGAAGATGAGCGTCACATCCAATGTTCGAGCAGCAAAGGCGAATGTGATGACTGGTGATAGGCAGAGTGGCGTGAAACCCACCACAGCGGCTAAGACGAGCACGGTTCGGAACCTAGCCCCTGAGTTGAGCTCGTCCACTCTCATGGTCTGAATAGACTCCTCGACGGGCTCGGCAAGTCCAGAGATTTTGAGGTGTTTCATCTGGCCAATGATGCCAGAAGTGAGACCGACTCGTTTCTGGATTTTTCCCATCCATTCTTTTTGCCGAGGCCCCGTGAACTTGGCCAACGCGGCGGAGCAGACAACGCAGGCACCGATGACGATCAGAGGAGCAACGAAGGCAGGACCAATTTGGCGCGAGAGCAACCAGCATGCCAGCGCAACCTCAATCGTATTTGCCCAGAACTCGTGAAGGTTAAGGCAGCCACTGATAATGCGCTCAACATCCGTGCTCATTAGGGTAAGCGCTTCAGAGTCACCGCCCGCTGTCAATTCTGCTTCTATCGTTGCTCGGTAGATAGTCCCGACGAGAAGACCGCGAACCATGTACATGGCTCGCTCCTGATAATACCAATAGAACGCACCGGAGGCGGCGATGCCGACGTAGATGAGAACGCTCGCCCCGATAAGTCCATAGCCAAGGTTTTGCGAGGACTCGCTGGCGGGCCGCTCCAGGTAACCCAGCAGAGTCTCGATGAGAAAGGGCTGACAGAAGTGGAAGGCACCGAGGGCGATTCTAGGGCCGACTGGGTATAGAAGAGGTACCGCAAGAGCTTTTGTGAGAGCTCTCGCAAGTCCATGTTTGCCTTTTACCTGACGCACGTCGATTCGGCCGGCGTATCTGGTCTGCAAAACCTCGGAAGACATGTTTCGGTCCAGGGGGAAGAGGTCATGGAGGTCCAAAATCTTGCGGTAGCCCGTGAGAAACAGGCGATTAAGCCAGAGGTAGGCACCAAGCCCGTACAGCCCGCTGGTTTCCTCCGGACTATGTTCCTTGACATCCCAGCGAACGATCCACCTAGCCTTGGACTGGGATTCAAGGACGATGAGGGATGCCTTGACAGCGACCCCAGAGGTCCAAAGGCGAGAGAGGACAAGTTCATCGCTGTTAGTGGATGCCAACCACAATGTCCGGACATGAGCAATGTCGAATAGAAGCGCAATGAACAAATATGCACTGAGGAGGATGGATGGCCGGGGACTGCGCAGATGCTCGAGATTCGAGAGAAGGAGCATGCATAGAGCTGATGCCAAAGCCAAAGCATCTGAGGGGATGAAAAAGCTCGCGAATTTGCGGGACTTGGTGATGCTTAGGATCAGAAGGGCAAGTTGTATGATGGTATATGCGCTGATCGCGATCTGTTGCACCTTTGTTGAGTGTACCGCGTTTGCAAAACACCATCCAGGCGCTAACTGTCCAAGCAACAACGTACCAACTTTGCGGCCCGCAGTAACGAGCCTCCCACAATAGAAGGATTACGGGTGAGGTGGGCGACACGGGCCAGAGCGACTGCAATGAAGATGGATGTTGGGATCAGGGAAAAAAAGATCTTCTCAAACTTGATGGTGAAATCGAAATCGTCGCGACATCCTCGTACGGCAGGGCCGAACGAGTCATCGTCGACGCATCCCGAGAAATCTAACATGGCTCGCGGAGCGCATGGAGGTCAGGCTATTAAGCAGGCTTTCTATGGAAGCTTCAGATGGTTGCTGTCTTGAGTCGGCGGCAGAGTAAGACCCTTGACAAAGTTTTGAATCTTTGATGTGTTGGTTAGAGACGTTTTGTGTCACCCGCAATCACGCGTCGCTTATCAACCTCCACGCAAGCAGAACCTAGTGTGGTAATGTATGGCCTGGGCCTTGGTTGCATTCAATTGGCAAGAACGGCCTGACCGGGTAAAGCACAGTATGAAGCTGCAGCCTGGAAGTTTCTACTTGCTAGCGTTGAGATTGGGTGACTGCCAAAACTGGAAGGTGAGATTGCGCCGTCGAGAATCCGACCTCGAGCTTACGAGTACTTATCTGGGCTGGCGCTCCGCCTTCGACGGTGCAGAACTTGCATTGTTCCAAGCGTCTCTCATATGATGATTTCACCTTGGTGACTGTCCATCGACAAAATATAGGTACCCTACCTTATCACAAGGCATTCATCCTGCGACCTGCGAAAAGCTATCAAGCTCCTGGTAGCAAAGTAATCATGTGTCTCAGCTTGCCGCCATGTTGCTGATGAGCCCGGTAATGCTTGCTTCTTATTGCCGTAATATTTTCGTTCACTTGAGTCTTCTCAGCGGCGAGATCTCCCCATCGTGATAATGATCGTGATTGGAAACGTATAACCTACCAGAAGACTCCGAGTTGGGAGGGAGTCAGTAATGGTTATTGCAGCAGCCCAGAGCTTAAGTAAGTGTGCCAGGAAGGTGTTTATCTTTCTGATCTTCAACCCCTATGAAGGGCCTAGTACGACGGGTATCTCCATTCATGGTGCTTGTTGGCATACAGTATGCCATAGAGAGAACGGCACAGGCGGGGGCTGGTCCTTCTCCCCCAGGTACAACTGTGTAGGCTTAAAATCCCTTCTCACCCTCTTCGCAGTCAGCCTTCCCCCAATCAGGTACTCATCCCTAATAGATCCCAGCCGGGACACGGCTCCGTCAGAAACCTGATGGCCCACCTGAGGATCTATGTAGAACAGTATATCATAGCTAGTGGCCACCATCCTCGCCAAAACCCGCCCGGCACCCTCTGCTCCCCCCTGATATTTCACGCCGGCAACCCCATTACTACCAGCAACCCCATAATTCACAACCGTATACTCCATCTTGCCCTCAGGCGGGTCGTCCCAGCTTACGACGCCATCGAAGAACGTTAGCTTCTCGCCGTACTGTCGCAGGTGATGGAAGCCAAATGATCTCAGTTTAGACAATGTCTGCGCCCAGTGTGAAAGTATCGTGGCCCAATCTTTCCCAGAACTGACAAGCTTAATGTCCTGGACATATAGATGCTCAAGAGAATGACAAAAAAGCGAGACAAAGGCAATCAAGACGTCGGGTACCATGTCCTGGGTCGATTTGAAGTCCAGGATTTCCAGTTTCGATTCCCTATTGGGAATCTCAGCGGGAATTGCAGCCGCGAGAAGTCGGTAAAGCTTGCACGGGAAGAAACGGAGGTGAAGGGCGCGAAGGGATTTAGCGTGGACAACGAGCCCTGCCAAGGGAGGGACGAAACGTATTAAATCGTCATGCGCGAAGTCGTATACCAGGGCAAGGTCGATTAGATGTGACTCCCACAAAGGGCCGGGCGCACTTCTGAGGTCGGACGGGTGAAGGTTGCTGACCCAGTGATAGGTGGGTAAGGCGCACAGGATACGGAAGGATTTGAGGGGAAGATTTGCTCTTGCGACTGCAAGGAGGCCGACATGGACGGTGTCTAAGAGAAAAGGGCCGTCGAAGGGGACGGTCCATGGCTCGGGACTCGGCAAGATATCATCTTTGATGCAGAGACGGCCGAGGTTGGGAAATCCGGACAGCGTGTTGGCAAGGTCGGCAATGATGGCGTTCACGCCGGGCGAAAGATTGAGCGGATGGTCTACCGGAATGCGTGTCTGGCAGTAGCGTTCGGATCCTGTTGGTAGATAGGCCGAGTGATGGCAGGATGCGCTTCTTCCAATGGTGACTTGCAAGACATGCAGGCGCAGGTGGTCATCTTGAGCGATGCGCTGAAGGCGTTGAAAAGGTCCGGGACAGAAGTCAAAGGTTATGGACGAGAAGAAGGCGGTAGTAAAAGCCCCGGCGGAATATTTATAGAAGTGTCCGCAAACCAGGCGGAGGTTGAGGATATCTCTGCTTTCAAGGCAACAAGCTATGTTGTCGACTAGCTCGGCTGGAAGGCAATGGATGTTCATTTTGTTAACTGATGCGACGGGTGAAATTGTGAAGGCCTGGCACTCCTGGCAGTTGAGAGAAGTTACGTGAAAGTGAGCTTGGTGAGGATGGATGACTTTGTCAGCCGGCACTCCATCATCCCGCCAGTCACCAGTGCAGAAGAAGGAATTCGCCAGCTGGGCAGAATTACCTGTCTTACAGCTGCTAATCTTAGTGAGTACATAGGAATGTAGGTATAGAATGAGAAACGACATCCCCTACAATCGCTTCTCTTCCCAATCAGAAATCCTCTTCTGGTGCTAGACAAACTCATTGCTATTGTTGTCCATCG